TGCTTAGTCGGCAAATTTCCAAACTTTTTGGCAAATACAGGATGGCCCACCCACTTAGTCGGCAAATGGGACTTGGAAACCCCCCTTGAGGGCGACGTGCCTGAGCACACTGATTTAGGCAAGAGAGGAATTGCGACGCCCTCATAACCTTAAAACTTTGGAAGCGAAGGGGCCTTTTTGATGCCGTGATTTTTTTTTAACTTCTCAGATCTAACCTTAATAACTTCTGTTCCCAGGCAGTATAAATTCATAAATAACCAAGCCATCTTTTCTAGCTAGATTATTTTTGGGGATATTATAAATTTAAGCACGAACGCTCTCTCTGGATTTTTTCAAAAGGATCCAAATAGTGTGAATGCTAATGAGGGCAATGCTAAAGAATAGGTTTAATAAATCCTGCAAAGTTTTTTCAAAAAGAACTTAGTTTTATACGATAAATTTTCCGTCACTTAGGCTATTGAGGTCAGAATTTCATTCTGAATTGTTTGTTTGTTATTTCAAGCCTCAATTTGCTTTAACCATGATGTCTATTTCTTTTGCTTTTAGATGACGGTGAGAAATACTGCCAAGGTCGGAAATGCAAGCAACCGGGGAAAAGACCTGCAGTCAAGGTAAATTAAGTTAGATTGTTGGAAAATGTGCCTCTTGAGTCATTGTCAGTAGAACATTGTGACGTAAAACATGCGCTGTAAGCTGCGGAATAATCGCTCCTTCGTTGCTGCTGTGTAAGCTGCGGAAATCGCTCCTTCGTTGCGCGTAATGGTTATTTAATATGATATTTAATAAGGTTATCAAGTTAGAAGCATTTTGGGAGTTAGGGCTAGGTAGATTTAGGGTTATGGCCACGGCTAGGGTTAGTGTCAGTGTAAATCTATCTCTACGATCTCTTCGTAGAAGGCGAACTTTTAGTTCATGAAAGCACGTTACACGAGCATGGCTAATTTTGATTTCCTGAAAAAAAAATTTAAAAGTTATGTAAACACCCTTTAGAGCTCCTAAAGAAAGAAACTTGCGATTGGCAGAAGTCATTTTCATTCAGAGGTGGTTTGTAAATGCCTAGATACAGAGATTAAGCAGGCAACCTCTCTGATTATATTCGAAATTTTGCTCAACAAATTCTGTTTTTATTTGGGGAGAGCTTTAACATTAACAACTATCATGGGGAGAGTCATGGCATGCTGTCAGAATATTTCATAAATTACTAGATGCGTTTCATATTTTACTATGGTACCATTCGCAGCCCAAAGCGTTGAAGTCCGCCGGTCAGGGTCTTGGCTTTATGTCCATTGAAAAACTGAAATGTGGACTGGAATGACCGCTTCTTGAATAGATAAAGCCATGAGACTGTGTTGGAGCGTGTAGGATAATCTTCTTTCTATGTCCACTCCAATACATTTGTTGCTATAATTATAAACGTCTATGTTTTTGTAATATCGTATGACGTCATAATACTGTGTAGCGGAGGAGGCCATAACGCCTACAGTTTTATTTAATCACTTGCATTGAACAAATTGAGCTTCTTTTAATCATTAAAGATATTAACATAACAAACTGACACGCCTTTCACCGCGGGAGGAATAGTCACTCCAACCTTTGTTATAAATTTTTAAAGGCCGTTGTGATGATATTACGCACTGGATTTCGTTTATTCGTTCCTTTGTCAAATGTTGCTTCTGTGCACATGAATCATCATGTCACTTTCGCATCTGAAAGAATATACCTTTGAAATGCTCTTTTGTGTAGTAAGTGAACGAAACTACCATGTTAATACCTCAGTCCAATTCAATAATTTCTCAATTCGAACACTATCAATCATAATGATCGATCGTCATCATAATAATCATCACCATAATTATATAAATCATTATTGTTATTGTCATGGTCATCATCATCATAAGGAATACTTTTCCTCTAAAACATGCCCAACCAATCAATAACAAAACGATGATAATAATTATAATCATCATCTGTTTCGCCACCAGTGTAACATGCCTTGTTGCCTTCAAGTTTTTCTTGTTATCTTCAAAGCTGCCTGTTATTTTGGTTCCCAGTACGCTACAAAATACAAATTCTGCATGAAATTGTATTACCCATAGCAAGCGTAGTTCGAGGTGACGTTTTAATACTAAAGCTTTAAAGATTTGCTTCAACTTAACCCCTGCAGTTTCAAACCAAAAGACTTTTTCCTGTTTCCTAATTCGCTATCCGTTACCAATTCGCCCACGTGGGTCGAATGTAAGTCCTTTGCGCTCACAAAACCGATCAGGACATAAGCCGCACAGTAACGGTCGAGCTGCATAAACTATGGCGCTGGTAAAAGCATTCAGTGTTAACAATTTACAAACGCTTTTCCAAGGAAAGAGACTTGAACATGCGAAAAGTTATTCTACGGTAAGCTGCACGATGAGTAAAGGGTTGAAATTCTGATATTATTCTATTGTTGATTATTCTACTGATGATACTATTGTTGTGTGGTTCCTATATACTTGCTATTCATTCGCATCCTTCTGTCCGTTTGAGATTGGAAGATTAAAGATGTTCGCCAAAGTTCTTTAGTTTTAACTGCAGAATAATTATTATTGCTTTGTGCTTTAAGTGTTTATAGTTCAGCCATCTTAGTCGTTTAGACACATCAGGGGTTTGTGTCATAACGAAAATGTTAGAGCTATTCGATATTAGCTTCAAGTTATTAGCTTCATTGTTCATAGTTTTGTATCTTGTTGTTAGTTTTTATGTATGTTTTTGCAAGTTACTACACTGCAATATGTTTGAAAAAGTTAGGGTCTTTTCCCTTTGTTTAAGACATTTTAAAGAATCAGATTCTCGTGCCTTTTTTGAAATGGACACAAATGCGAGTCTTCTAAATGTAGAATTTCATGGGAATGAAGTATATTTGTATATCCTGAAAGTAAGAACTTTAATGTAAATGAAGAATTGTAGCCAGGCTCCAACGCATAACATTTATCTGATTTTTCTAATAATTTTTAAAAAATACAGTAATGATCAATCTAACAATTATACAACAGCTAAAAATAATCTTGTTTTGAATGTGTGTTGAACAGGCTTAACTGATGGCTAAACCTTTTATATTTTTCTCCTTTTCATTAACTAAAAGAATTTTCACATGGTCACGTTTAAAGATTATGCAAGAATATATTTGGGCTCAAGATTGTTTATCAAGATTGTTGAGCTTATGTTATTCACTATCATCTCCGGATGTATAAATTTCGTTCCAACTTTGTTTCCGGAATTATAGGTTTATGTTTATAATTTCCGTTCATGTGGAAAACTGTTTTTTTTGCTATCCTTAGTTTGTATATGTTCACGTAGAAAGATGCTTACAGATGTTTGCTTCTGAAGTTTTTTAGAAATATTTGTGTATATCCCACTTACTTAGAGATATTAGGTTGTTTATCGAATATATTCCGGATCTATGAATATTTTTAACTACCATTCCGGATTTTTTGTGTGAGGTCTAAAAACATTCAATGAATTACACTCCCTACTACCTACAGGGAGATAAATTTATTTCAAATGCTAACTATTTGGACCTATAGCAATTCTGTATATCGCATAGTTGTTGTGAATGACCAATCGTAGGTTGACTCTTCAAGGAAGATTTCTAGGTTTACTAATTTCCTGGTGATTGAGCTGAGCATTTTACTCAAAAGCTGAAACTTTCAACCATTGTGTTCTGCTCACCAAGGTGTGTCTTTTCCTAACTATGCGGAATCGAGCTCTCTGAAACAAACATTCTAACGGTAATCTTCATTATCTCTTGAGCTTATGTTATTCCCATTTTTCTTCAGATCTGCCATCACACCGATTGTCAAGAAGGCAACAACATGAACCCGCTGCTGCTTTGCGACGACTGCGATCAGTCAATACACGTCGGTCAAGCAGTCTGTCATCTCCGATTCCAACTTCCCAAGAACTTCAAGAGGACAGCCTCGATTAGATCTACAAATTCCGACTCTGGTAACGAAGAAGAGACAGAGCAAAGACCGCATTTGTATGTTGTTCCTTATTATTTCTCTTTGAGTTGTTAATTTGACAGTTTGTGTTTTCTATTGTTTTAATCTCTGCGCTCTTTAGAATTGCTTTTGTGGATACTGCTATGGTAACAAAGGATAGTTTTGTTTTATAACCTGCCACTTTAAATTAAAGAATCAAAAGCAAGACCCATATAAACTATCATTGTACCAAAGGGTCTCCATTCTCTACTTGTGTGTTGGCATTGAGTTTGGGGTTATTAGCATCTGCCGTTTCACTTTCGTGTCTTCTTCATATTCACTTCCAATTAGCTATGTTCGTTTCACACTCTATTATCTGGATTTAAAAATATTTTGTGGTTAAGATACATTTCCTGTGAAATTCGATTCCAAGAAATTTCCTGGGAGCAGTGCCAACTTACTCTGCTCCTTTTTTAAGGCCTGACTTAAAGTATTTAAGATGCTGTATTGCTATCCAAGTTTTGATTTCCTGGTTTGGCCTGTTACAGTCTCTTCTAAAACTAGTTTTTCTAACTTCGTTTTAAGACTTTCATTTTTACCATGCCATTTTCTTCTTCAGCTCAAGGTTTTCTTAAGTTGCCTGCTTCTTATAGTCCAAACCTATGTTCTTTTGACTTTGGAAACTTATTTCAAAGATCTTATCGACCTACAGATTTGCTAAATGATTTCATTTCTGATCACTGAGAACGACTGTGAATTGAAAAAATGAAAGAGTTTCGTATGTTAGCAATTATTGTTTATTCATTAAACAGCAATACTTTTGAGTATCTAAAGTTGCTTTTTTGATGGTAGAAAGTATATTACTGTCTGTTTTCTTCTTAATATTTTCTTTTTCTCAATTCTAAATTGTTAATGCTATTTTTATTCTTTGTTTACAGTGACAAGAAAAATAAAGGTTATGCTTCTGCCAGAAGGTTTTTCAATATTAATTCTAGTGGAGGAGCTGCGAAAAAGAAAGTTTCAAAGAGCAAAGCTAGCGAAGTAGGTCTCCAGTATACAATTTTTTTGCATATATACTTCGTATATAAAAGTTAGATAACAAACTGATAAGCTATGGTGCTGACACCTTTTTACTACATACTTAACACTTTTTATTGCAACTTTATGGGATAGCACACAGTCCGCCGAAACCTCGAATGGCACTATTTTGCGGTGCAGCTCTCGGTGATCGTTCTTAAAAGGATTGTTGTGTATTTCTTAACGGGGCAGTTCTCGGTGATCTTTTTTGAAAGGACTGTGTCGTTTGATCCCTTGTATATTTTTATCGGGACAACGTGTTTCAGGGTCCGTCATCCTTCGAATTTTCCCCTTTGTTATCAGGCCAATGCTCTGTAAAAACTTATATTGTATTTACTTTTTTGTTTTCAACGACCTTTGTTTCGATATCTAAGATATAAGACATTTGCAAAAACTATTGTCTTGTATCTCGCCCCTTTCTTAGATCTCCACCGGAGGGTTTTTTGTCATTTTACTGAAATATTGATTAGATTTATTTAAAATAAATTTACATCAAGTTCACTTGCAGGCTTGTTGGTTTCGCCGAGAAAGAAAGCGTTTTTTGCCTTCCTTGGGTCAGCATTTTTATTTAGCTCTATTGAAATCCCAAAATGAGTTGTACTGCTAGATTCAAATGTCTTTCAGTCAATCTTGCTTATCTCTATCCTCTGAATTGTCAGAGAATGACCCAGACTACGATGTTGCCTTTTTCCATAATCAGATCACTGCTGCAAATTTGACATTCGTTGATCAAACCAGGTCGAATGTTCCTTTGAACGGTGAAATTTAGAGACTTAATTGTCAAAACCGTTTCTCGGTGGTGTTAATACACCTATGTGCTGAGCCGTTCTCTCTTTCTAAGAAGCCAGATATTGAGGGCATGACGTATATCCTGCCTGGTTCTGCTTTGACATGTTTAGCGCTGTTTGTTTTCGATCGCCTGTCTTTCCGCCTTATTTGATCAGAATTTAGGAAGCATATCGTCGACCTCCAAAGAACCAAATATTCCAAATGGTTATTTCCCGTTTATAAAGCAGTTCACTTAATTGTCATATTTCTGACTTTTTTCAAAACATTCTCTCTTGAATATAATCCAATTTTTCAGCACATGCTTTTTGCAGAAGAAAGGTGTCCTATCTACTTAAATCACCTTTTCTCTAGCCCTCTCGACTTTTCTTGAATCGTTTTTTATCGGCATGTAGAATGCGCCACCAACACATCTTCTGTTAGCTTTATGTAAGCTTAAGGTTTGTATTTTTGCCGCATCGCTATTCCACTGATCACACTGAATTGCCAAGCAAATCACGACTCTAAATATGTATTTTAATCCCCGGTTTTTTAACGAATATATCATTAAGAAATAATTACGTCATGCTTTATTATTACCATACCATTTTCAAAAAATTTTCTGTTCATCTCCAAAGACAGTACCATGCTTGCTTATTTTTATCATCACAGTTTTTTTGAGTCACTTGGAGAAAACCTTGTTAGCAAAGCTTTTTTTTCCAAGTCTATGTTTGAGTTGGACCACGCTCTAGGAACTCGGGATATTTTAACTGGATATCTGTTTCCTAACTTGGTGTTTAGGCCAAAAGATGTGCCAATAGTTGGGCTTTTGCCTCCTTCGAAGCATTTTTTTCATTATCATTCCTTTTAAGCCTTATATGACATATATTATTCAAACCACACATCGCCTGTTTGTACGATTATTAATGATTGCTATTAGATAATTGCTGATTTATTGGTAGCATGACTTTTAGCATCAATTATCCACTAAATACAAATATAACTTTTAATGCCTTATGTACAGTAACGTCCATTTCTTCTTATCGTGTCACTACAAGAATTCTTTAATATCTTTTATATGTTGTTTCATGCTTGGCACTGTTATTGCCACATTCAAGGGTAATTTTGTTGAATTTAGATGGGGTAAAATGAAGAATAAATGGCAAGGCGTTGAGATATAAAAATATCTATATCTTTAACGAATAAAACTCTTGAAAAATGATGGCAGTAACTTGCAGGCAGCGTAAACAAGAATGCATAACGATGCTGTCATTTGCAGAGTTGAATTTTCAATGCAGAACAGTGAAAGAATGACCCTGCCACATCTAGAATTATGTTTGTATTTGGCTTTTCTGATAAGCCTGGCCATGGATTCAACGTAATCACTGTAATAACAGAAGAAATGATTAGAACTAGTCTAAATGTAAATACTTGCAGACAAAGGACCCTAAAAAACCGACACGATTCTTACCGTATCTCTGAACCAATAGTGCTTTGTTTGATAAATCCCTCTATTGCGAAAAGTGTTCACTGGGTTTCATGTCTTTATTTGAGTTTGCCTAGTTTTGATAGCTCGAGGATTTCCTTGTTTTCACAGGTCATGCTTTATACAGTAGTAATAATAGTTTAATTTTTAGCAAAGAAACCACCTCTTATGCTAACTTCAAAGTCCAACATTTTTTATATTTGTGGCAATTTGTTTTTGCTACGGTCATGGGAGGTCGGTAGTTGGATCGCAGAATTCTTTGATTTTTCGTAATCTACAAAGCTGGTTTTAATTAGTATCGTCCATTGAAGGATTGCCTGTTTTTGGAAAGAAACTTCATTCGGTCAAAGTCTATCCGTTAATCGAGCTATCTACGTGAGGATTGGCTAAATTTCGTCATCTCTAGTTTCAGACCAAAGAAAATAATGTGCTGACAAGGTAGTCGCTGTTTCTGAAAACGTTATTGGCTGGTTATGGTCCAGTATTTATCCCTAATTGAGGAGGTTCTTAGAAGGTCCACATCGTTCCATTTCACGATGTGATCAGCAATTATTGCAGCAAGAAGTAGTCACATGACCATAGGTTTGAAATGCTCACATTGTGATCGTCTATCGCAATCTACTGCCCGTGTCACACTTCGTCTGGAGAATTGAGATGATGGTATTATCGTATGATATAAAGGCTATTATCGTATTGTTGTTGGCTTTTGACTGAATCGACTGATAAAGTATTGTTTGATTTCGAGTTCTGGTTTTGAATTAGCTTCAGAAATACGCATGACGTGTTGAACACGCTGCTAATTTCTTCCTTGTTCCCAGGGAAAGAGCTAACCTGCTGAAGTCAAGGAAACTTCTAGAATGTTAGGGAATTTATAAATAGCCGCAACAACAGCGCAATGAAATCTGCAAACGTTTCTGTATTTGGATTTAGCTAAGCATAAACCCACAATGGAATCACTGCCGTGAACGTTTTAGAAATAGAATTTGATACAAAAGTTGAACGCTCTAAAGACTTTCCTGCTTCACCATTAATATGCACAGTTACTTTTTTATTGACCCGACTGGAGATCCTGGAAAACAATAGAAGAAACTTAACTAGAAGTTAAAGTGACCTCTTTTCCTTTCTTTTTTACAAAGATTGATTAAAAGCTTGTGGATTGTTTCTATATTGGCCAATTTAATTCTGAATACGGCAAACTTGTTTCTTTGGCTACGCATGCTTTGACAGAGGACAGTTTTAATCAGATGTTGTTTGATGTGATGCTGTAGGTCATATGATCTTTACCTTACTCGTGTCACCACGTCTGACTGGAGTTTCTGGATATTTTATCAACCAGAATGGCGAAGTTGAAACTGCATTGCTTTTCTCCAAGAATTTGTGTCTTTGAGGATTTTGCTCTGTGTTTCTGAAACGTTTTTTCGCCTAAGCAAGGCAAAAGTAGATCCGCAGTACTTGGATTTTGAATTCGTGGTTATCATTTTATTGCATTACAGTTTTCGGAAGTTTCGCTGGAGTTTTATAGTGATGTCAATTAATGGCATAAATAAGTAAACATTTTTCATTGCACAAGGAGATGCGCCACCAGCAGGTAGAAAGAATCGAGACAATGTTTTGACCGATGTTCATGTCCAGATCATATTGCCTCTTCGTTGATTAAAAGTCAATCGGGTTTGCAGTAAAAAAACAAATAATAACCCATATTTGCAAAGCATTGCTTCTGAAGCATTGATTACACTGTTCAGGTATTCCGAAGAACTATATAAAAGGATTTGCTTATCAGATTGGCCATAACGTTGACTGGGGAAAGTGCTGCAAGGATATCTTCTCGGCTGTTTTCATGTTTCCTTGCTTTTGTTGTTGAAGCACCTTCATGATGCTTTACTGCAGTGATGTAATCTGATTTCGAATGTAAATATAACTTGATCACACTGCTCGTAATGTCTTCCTACGCTATACGGCCGCGAAGAGTAGGCAAAACTGACTTGGATTCAAGTGATATGCCATCTGTCAGGGTAAACCCCTTGAGACTTAGTCTGCAGAGAATTTTCGAAAAATCGAAAATAAAGCGAGCATTTTCGTCAACATTCGATCTTAGTCGTGAGTCGATAGATTCGGAATTCGATAGTATGATGAATTCCCAGGACACGGATTCGGATCATGATGCTGATTATGACGATGTTTTTGAAGTAGAAAAACCGAAGTTGCGACGGAGGCATTCGTTCACAACGATTCAAGCAATGGCTCAGACACTTGTAGAAGAGGTTAGTCAGTTTACAGAATCGGACCTAACCCCGTCTATGTTTAGTATAAGAACTCTCTATACATCCTAGTTTCGTGCATGCATGGACACGACCTCGTAGGTGTGATCCCCAGCTCAAACACACATCATACATCGCTCTCTGCTATTCCCCCATGTTATTCTTAGCTCCTGTTACTATACATACCTTAGAAATGAAATTTACATACAATGCTGTCTAATTTTTCGCTTTCTTTAGAAAAACCTGTCCGTCATTGGATTTTCCTATGTTTTGAAAAGCGTCCCCTTATCTTCCATTAAAATCATCGCTGGAACTACTTGACCTGTAGATCAAATTCTGAACATCAAAAAAAAACATTTGTGGAGCCGTTTTTCTGCGAATGATTTGCTTGCTTGAGAGCTGTTACTGTGTTCTGAAATGTTGACGGTTGAAGTGAAACAGAAAATTTTTCCCTCACCACAGAACTATAAACCCACAAATATCCGCAATGATCCATTTAGCTCTATTCACATATGTCGATAATAATACTCTAATAGCATATCTTGTCTGTGTTTGTTGTCTGTTGCTATCACCATTGTCACCTGTGAGCTGGTGAAATTTTGAAATAAACCTCACTTGAGTACCTGCCATATTTTTGTTCTAATACATGATTGGCGGAATCCTTCATGTTTTCTTCATTGCTTTTTAGGGAGGCAAGCTGTAGAAGGTTTTTCAATGAATAAGGCAACCCTCCGTCCTGGGGTCAAAGAGCATGCGCATGGACGGAGGGTTACCTCACTCATTTGAAGATTTTCGCTGGCTCGTCTCCCCAAAAATTACTGTTTGATCTAAATAATTTCCTCTTTGTGTTAGAAACTGGACAAAGACTGTAATCATGTTTTATTTTAATGGGTGTCGATTCTTTAATTTTCTCTGTTATTTTCTTAACTGAGAAAGCATTGGCAGGCATAAATATATATACTGATCCAAAGAAGGGCCCGCGCCACTGATCTTAAACTAGAAGGGCCACCAATGTAAAGAAGTTTTCTCTTACCCCCCTAGCCCCAATTGTGGAAAAAATTTTGCTGATGCTGTTTGACTTGTGTACTTTGGCTCAAAGTATTTGTTATAATCTGAAGGTTTATCTATATGACTTATTTAAGCTGTTTTTATTCTTATATTTAGCGAAAAGTGGTAAGCAATGGCCCCCTGGCCCCCTGTTGCGCTGGTCTTTAAAGTGCATTTCTTTGTCTGTGTTGCCTATCTTTGCACGAGTAGATGGTTCTAGCTTCGTATAACTTGAACTTTGACGTTGTTCATTTTTCGATAGGCTTTATCCGTAAATCCAAAATATTGGTTCTTAGGAGTAGAACCTTTGATATATGCTGTACTTATTCGGGGACACATCTCTCTACTGGGCAGTTGCTTTGTTGCACAATGTAATTTTAAATGTGCACTAGCTTTGGTACAAAATAAGTAAGCTTTGGCTCGACTCGACTCTCTTTCAACATTTATTTCTGATTTATAGTAAATTTTAGAAAATGTTTTCTTCTTTTGTAGACTGTAGAACGAAAATCTTGTTTAATTTTCCGCGCACAGCTTTTGTTGCTAATGAATTTCTCTAAAACCCTTGTAGCTCATTAATCGATTGTAGGCTTAGTTTTTGTGAGCCTACAAGTGAAGGCAATCCTACAATATATTTTACTTTTTTATTTAGCGGCAGCTGAATTCTAAACCAACGTAGTCCTTCTGTATTATAGCTCCCTTGGCCTACCTATAATTGCACCCAAATAAATGTTTGTTTTGGAGCTGCCGGACTGCACTTGTATTTCAGTTAATCAAACTTTTCAGTTTTTTCTGATAACGAGCTGAGGCAATTTTTGTCATAATTTTCTCCGTTTAAATATCTACAATTAAATGCCTTTAACTTAAATCAACTTTTAATTGTGTTTTGTTTACCAGGACCCGGGACGAGAACTGTTGAGAGTTCGCTTTTACGAGCCAGGGTGTGAACAACCCCATGATTCTGAAGTCATCAATGCAGTAAGAGGGAAGTCCCTAAAGTAAGTTTGCCATTTCCAACTTTTTCAGCAGTCAGATCTGAGCTACTCTTATTAAAACGTATAAGCAGGTTGTAGGTCGGCATGTCATATCTCTCCAAGTCATACGTCTCATGTAAGACACACAATAGAAACTGGGTGACATTTTTGTTCTACCTAAGTCATCAGTAATTTGTCGCATTCTCATTATTCTTTCTCTACTGGTAACTTTGCTGCATTTGTTCAGCTGTGCAAAGCTCTCTTGTTTTCTTCCCTTTGGAAAACGAACCTGAATAAGCTCGTTATACATCACGTTGTTTTATCTTTTGTTGTGTATGCTGAAAATGTGATAATGAATGTTGTTTTGAATGGAGCTAGCAAAAATTGGGAAAGAAAACAGTGTATGTCTTATCAAGGGTCATTCTAAGGTACTTGCTAAAAAACTGCTTATAACCGCTACACCATTTTAAAGGCACTAAAAGGCCTTAGAATATCATAGAGTCGAAATGGTAGTTGCTAGTTTAAAATGCTCACTAATGACTTTACTTCGCTCTGGACAGTCTGTATTATAAGACATTTTCTGTAACATTCTGGCCTGCCACGTACACCAATCAAGCTCAATTTTTCACCTGTCTCCTTATTTCTTCGAATTAGCGCCTCTTTTTAATAAGTGCCTTTTACAAGTTTGATAATTTAATTGTTAGTAATAGTTTTAAAAATATTTTTCTTGCCAAATTATGTTGCTTACATTAATCATTCTTTTTGCTCACTTTTCCATTCATGCCGCCCTCTTCTTAGTGCTGCTATTACCGAAAGGTATCCGAAAGATTAGTCCTTTCATATGGTGACTGTTTAGACACTTGATAACGATAAAGATTAACACCAATAATCAAAGATTTTTTACAACATTTCTTTAGATCTCCAGCTTATTAGATACACAGTTTCGTGAAAAAGGCGATCAAAAAGTTAGGCCTAGTGTAACAACAGGAATGGTTACAAACTGAGGTCATTCATTGATGTATACGATAATGTCTCTTCTGGGTGAGGGGTGTCGAGGGGTAATCATAAAAAACAAAAGCTACTTATACCCTAAGGTGGTACATGATATAATTTTTCATGCATTTCACAGCTGTGTTTTTTGAAGCCTGCAAACGAATGCCATAAACGAACAAACAAGGGAAATAGCATAATAGTGGGTAGAATGAATGACTGCGTTAACTACACCCGGCACTGCCCTCGATTTAGTAGCACACCTTCCCTCGCAACTTGTGCCGCAGCATTTTTTAGAAAACGATATTTTCTGAATCTTTAAAGCAACTCCATGTTGTTTTTTCTTTTTTTAGAGAATCATTGTGGCCACTCTTTGAAAAACGCGGGCTGAGTTTCGAGACGCATTCCGCATGTCTTGATGCCTCAAACACGCCTTTACCTTTAGCATTTGATATTTACCCTCTTGGTGGAAACATTTTGCATGTTAGAGGTGAGTTATTTGTGTACAATTTAGATCCTTTCCCTTTTGTTTGGTGCAGTGTTGGTCTGCTTGATACCTAAGCAATTTGTCAGCATCGCAAAACATAAAAAGTAACGGTTTGTGGGACTAACAGAAATTTTATATAGGAAAAGTGCTTTAGATACACCATACAAGCCTGCAGCACATCGTAGCTACAAGTTTTTTGTTTTAGAAATCTGTCAACCTAAACACTCATACTCTAACTGACCAATCACACTTTGAATTACAGTAAACAATCAAATAAACGGCATACTTGATGTCAATCATCTTAAATGAATCACGGCGCTCGTCCTATTCGATATCTGTCTTTTTTCACGTCATGATTTGCCCCAGCAACGAATATTTAGCTTAATCCTTTGCAAAACGGTAGTTCTTCAGAGCCGTGCACTTATCCTTTAATATAATCAACATATCGCTCTATGCTAGTGCGATAACCGTATGATTTTGTTTTTTCAATTATAGTAATTGTTTTGCTCTCTTGCTAATGATTTTCATGCTAGTTCGTGATTTCTCCATAGGATTGCTTGTAGTTTTTCTAAATGTAAGAGTAACATGAATTGCCATTTTGTCATTTTGTTACAGATGTACAGGTTAACTTTATATAGATATATTAACTTTTTTTACGAGAAAACTTTGCGAAATTCACTATATGCTTCAAGATATCTCTAGTCTCGTTCTCACAACAAAAATTTTTTTGTAGCAATCGAAGACCTCAAAGTCGACAAACGAATTATAGAAATTGCGAAAAAAGCTTATCACCGAGATGAAAGCAAGAAGGAACAGGTTCGTCCTATCCATTAAATCATATTAACATAGATACTTGGTCGTTCTCATCATAAGTTTACGAAAGTTGTTATTAATATCAATATTTTGAACCATTTGGAACCTCCACTTTGGAACTCCTGTAACTGGAACACTTTTTTAAGAACTGTCCTGTTCAGAACCGTTTTATCTTGAAATGTTTGTTTGGTACAGCTCTGTTTGAAACACTCTATTTGGAAATGTTCATTATGAAAATGTTTTTTTTGGAACTTTGCTATTTGTTTCCTGGTTTTTTCTGCTTCCAGTGCTCCTTGTATTAGAATTGTCGTAGCTTTTAATTTGTATAGTTTGATCCATATGGAACAGTTGTTTTTGAGCGTTAGCCTATTGCTACTAGAAGCCCTCAAAATATCATTATATGAAAATTATCATAATTTCCCCGTTGAATTCGAAATAACTTGTTCTAGATTTATTTGTATGTGAGAATTTTACTTAGCCAATACCAGAAATAAGAACATTTCAAATATTGAGAATTCGTATTGAAGGGTTTTTAAGATTAAGGCTTTGGGGTAGCAAAAAGAATTTTCATAGAACACAAGTAATGTTTTCTTAATGCCAGCATTACAGCACCACCGTCATGTTGCTTAACAGTGTTGCTTTGGTCTTAATCTAGAGTCAAAAAGGCAGAAAAAACCTCTTCTCGCATCTTGGTGATGAGAAAATGCAGTCATTTGATCAGGGAAGAGGAGGCCCGCAGAGGCGATCAGGAATTTATGAAGTTCCAAAGTTGAAGGTATGTCTCCAATTTGTCTACAATCGTTTTGATTATAAATGGTTGCAATTAAGGTAAAGGGTTAATTAAGGTCATGTAAGTTTAACTGATCTATCTGGAAATCCATATGAAAGGAACATTATTTAGTATAGTGTGTTTTCTAGCTAGAAGATCAGATTTGCTCTGTTGAAGATTGCACCAAAAACGACCTAGTATAGTTTTCCCTGTCTTTTGCATTCCTTGACTTAGCATAAGAGAAGGTTAATCATTTGCTTTTATTGCTTATGGTATAATTCCCACGTGTACCTTCAATTAGTCTTTCCTTCAAGCAAAATATACAATCTATTATTGAATATTACTGTTAGCTACTCTGTTGTGTAGTGCAGGATATAATATATAGTGGACTGTGTAAACTTTATTGTCTAGAAACGAACGATGCGCTGTTAGTTAAGCCTCAGGCAGAGGCTGTCAACATTTCTGTTGAACACACACTCAACATTGCTGGGCTATCCTTGATCTGGCCAAACGGTTCCAACATTTGACCGAACATTTAGCTAAACATTAACACGTGACTCGTAACTGCAAGTCTTTTTCGACAACTATATTTGTTCCAGCGCCCAGCTACGTGCTACGTGCACTGAATATTGTCGAAAAGAGTGGAAAAACGTTCTCAACATTGCTCCTTCAAGATAATGTTCATAAGAAGATGTTCAAGGCGGCCAAACGTTCTAAATATTTACTGAGCATAAATGTTGGACGAACTTCAGTGAAATTTTGAGAGTGTTTGCTGTAACCTATCCTCGATTCAGTAGTTGAAGATTACAGCCTTTAAGTGTAATTCATGTTCTATTTTTCAGGATGTTACGCGAACGTTCAATGATGTCTTAGATTTCTATAGTGTGTATGGAATAGATGGAGATCGAGGCGAGAATGAAGACGAACTTGATGGAGAATGCGACGAATTTTTTATGGTACGTTAGTTTTTCAATTTCAGTGCAGCTTCTTCAGTTTTCAGATGCCGTATGAATAGTTTTTGGACCAGATAGTGTTTCACGGAACTGAACTCTTGAATCTTGAATCTGACTTCTGCGATTTGAACACCGTCTTTCTCTATTTGTGAAGTTAATAAGCCTTATAGTTTGATATTTCTTTCCTTTTTAGGAAGAGTCATGGACTTTGGTTATCGATCACCCAGAGGTGAGTTTAATGTTTGATGGCTGGCCTTGGCTGGCCTCTTAATGTTGATATCGTAATCTTCTTGAATACCTTCTTGCTTTACTACCCATGTCCTTGATTAAAAGTTTGCGCAGATATTTCAAGTATCGCAGATATTTCTCAAAAAGACAACTTCATTGTTATATTGTGATCCAACGGAACGAATTTATTCTTCCAATGAACGAGTTTATTATCCACCTTGAAAGTATGAAATTTCTGGCTTTCATTGCTGACTTAACTTTACTATCCATTTAAAGGAATTACCTAAAAAGAGAAAGGATCAACAGGAAGCGATTTGGGAACTCCTTACAACCGAGTCCAACTACCTGCAGAGGCTTAACCTTATCAATAAGGTATAATGGATTATGTTTTTCAAACATTATGATATTTCTGTTTATCATACTGCTAACATAGCTTATATTTTGTGAATTTTCCGGCGATATTAACGTCTTTCCTTTAAACATCTTTCCTAAAAAGTATGCCCTGTCAATGAAAATGATAGCTTCAGTTTATGTTCCGTCTTGACAGCAGTTTGTTGTTATGCTAAATATTGCATGATTTAGATACTGAAAAACTGATCGAGAAAAAAGTTTATGTTGATTCTCGCAAGTTAATTTGACGTGTCTTGTTTCTTTCAGCTCTTTCTGCGAAGTCTGCAAAATCTTCAGAGTGAAGGATATTTGCAAGAAGTAAGAAAAAAATATACAATCTATGTTTTCATATTTCTTGAAATCCTTTTTAATACAATCATCTGCAATTTCTATTCTTTTGAATTTTCCATGACAGCTGTCTCTGTGTCTGCTTACAAATCCTTTATTTGCTTAAAGCGAAATTCATTTTGATGCTTTCGTACCTAGATCGATATTTACCAATTATTTGGTAACATTGAAGAAGTTTGGGAAGCTAATTCCTCATTTTGGTCGAAATATCTCAAGCCAGTGATTGAAAAGGTATGTTATCTACTCACATAAACGTTTGTTCCTTTGTATCTAGCTACCAGTTCTAATCATGATCTGCTATGATCATATTTGTTTGATTATTAAGACAAGAAAAAGGCTGCCAGTACCATTGTAATGATACTATCTTGAATCAACCTCGTATCAAGTAACGAAGCCTCGTATAGATCCGAGCTCCTCATGTTGCACTTATTGCTGTTCATGTTTCCTTCTTAACATTGGACGTTTGTAAAATTGGCATAGGCCATTTTCAGTCTTATTAGTTTCTCGACTATCATGTTACAGCGATATACTCAACATCTATGTGGGCTGAGCTTGTCTTCAAAACAAACCCTTCTTTTATCTCCTTACTTCTTACCTGTTTCATGCTCTCTATAAGTGCTTTAATTATCATATGGGCTATCGAATTGTCAACTTTTGCAAAGCGCCTCGCATCTACATGATCTACCATTCTTTATCCATATTGTATGCTTCCGAACTGATTATATTTAATCTTGGTGACAGGCACGCAAAGATAAAGAAATGCTCTCGCCTGTGGCATTATACGAAGGTTTTTCACGTGTAAGTTGAAATGACAGTTAATATTTTTTATTTATTATGAAAGTCCTTGGATTAGAAGCAGGTCATATTAGAGAAATCTATATTTTTCGATTGATATTTTGTCTTCATCGAAAATAATATTTCCATGAAAGTCAAACCTGATGTGAAGAATTTCTATCCTTCCTGTAAATCGTCATTCGTTGTATTCAGATAGGAATTTTTCTTTCTGTCTGTCGTCTATAAATGCATGCTTGCATAATTATGCTTTGATACTTAACAAGAGGGTAGGGGGCTCAAAATATATGCTCAAGAATTGAAGTTTTACCATTCAAAAAATTTAAGCATTGAAAGGAGGTGTGTTGGTAGCCTGGATTTTGACATCGAAAAGAAGGGATCTGACATTATTAAAATGCCTGACATGAGAGTAGGGAGCTAGAAAACGTTTAATCCTTTCTTTAATGTAGCGGATATGCGGTTTTAAATAAATTTCATTTTTTGCAGTTTTCGGAGATTTTCCATCCGTATATGAAGTATTGTATGGAAGAAGCAAAATGCTTGCAATATCTGAAGACCATTAGTAATGAAAATGAGAAGTTTAAAACTTATTTAAAGGTGAGTATCGATTGCACGATTTTCTTAAAATGGCTGGTAGATTATTTGTTATCCACTCTTAACATTAAAAACATGTAATGACAAAGTGCAGATCTAAAGAATAAAGTTCTAGATGATTTTGCTGGATCATGCTTTGTGCTTTGCTAGCAGTAATGATCTTAGTTGATCTCAATCTCAAATGCTTGCATATTGTTTCACATATTCAAAATCTTAAAACTTATTTCTTGTAAAACGATGCATGGCCACAGAGAACGAAGCACTTGACGAATAAAAATCCACCATCAGGATCTTTATCTAAAGAAAAAATTAATTATTTATACCTTAATAATTACGGTACGAATTGAAAATAATAACATGCTTATAAGAGAAATTACGCGATGAAAAATAGTAAAATAATGAAGAGAGTTCGTACGATGAAACGGGTTCTCACAGTGGGGAGATCACAGCGCTAGTGTTGGTTTATAAAATTTTCAAATCGAACGATATCTCCCTTTTTTAAGTGTTTGGCATGACATCTGTTATTGTCATTTATTAATATCCCTACTCGTTTCATGTACTACTTTTGTATTCTTTTGAAACGTGTGGATAATTATTTACTTCATTTCCAAACCTAGTCCATCATACTCTTTAATTTGCCTCCCTAGTGGTGCGAAGACCACAAACTCTGTAATCGTTTAAAGTTGACGGACCTGTTGGTAAAACCAATGCAAAGACTTACGAAATACTCGCTGCTTATGAAAGCAATTCTAAAAAAGACACAGAATCATGACGACAAAGCTGTTGTCCAGCAGATGGTAGGTGTTTGAGATTCAACTTATTATAAACCGTTTAGTCATCCATGTGCTCTTTCATATTTGTACTCTGCCGTTTCAATTTAGAAATTCTCCTAACTTACAGCACTTTGGAGCCTCAGTATACAAGCATGAACCACTTTTATCTTTAATGATTCAATCATTTTATACACCGTTTGGTCATCCATTTGTTCATCCATATCATTTTTGTGCTCCGCCGTTTAGATTCAGAACTTCTCTTCTTTTACACCACTTGGGAGCCTCAGTACACAAGCATGAATTATATACGTAATTATGTACTTAAGGAAGTCTTTACTGGTTCTTATTTTTTGAATCTTCGAATTCCACTCTAGATCCGTTGCGTGGATGCATTTGTGGTGCATGTGAATTCTGCTTTGCGAATACGTCACGAGCAAAAGAAAATGCAGGGAGTTGTCGAGAAGCTTGATTTTTACATGCCAGTAGAGCCAGTGAATGACGAAGTGGAAAAAGTAAGTGTTTTGTCAGATCATGCCCTGTGATATATAATCAATCTAGCTTTATTTATCCTAATCAAGAATGTTACCAATGGGAAGATTCAAGATAGGTGATATCCCCCCTTATTTTCTGGGGAGGAGTAGGGATGTGCCAGATACAAAGACGTGTCCTGGGTTCCACTCGTTCTCTATTGCCACCAGATAGGCTCTCGTCAGTAAGTCAATAAGTAATTACATTGATAATAACTCACTGCTAGATGTTTTAATGCCTACCAGATGTACTTTTTAAATAGGTAATAAATGGCGATCGCAATATTGACTTCCAAAATTTGTACTTTCTCAAAGTAACTTGAAAGATTTGCTTGTCTTGCCAAAGTTTTGGAAATATAAAATCTTCAGTTTTTCTTGACTTTTGTGACAACAAGAAGTGAAATCCTATTGAAAAGCTTCCCAATAATAAAGAAATCCACGACATTGCGAGTTTTAATTAACTGCATATAACTTAACTTTTTTGTAAGATTTCTTATCTTGTTTCGTTTTATTTTGTGTTTTCATTCTATATCATTGATTATTACACGAATATGACACGCTTTGGAAAAGGCAAAATCTTGTGTTGGTTGTAGTCGATATGAGTCGATTCCAGTCATAATTCTTTTAATATCTTTTAGAATTCGATGTGCTTATATATAGATTCCTTCTGCTCAAAGTTTCAAGACTAACCGGCTCTACTTTATAATCAAATCATATTGGGTGTCGAGACATATAAGGGGTCGATTAATATCTTTTAAAATGTAAAGGCTCCAAATTTTAGGGTGAGCAATAAAATTCTATCTGGATCATTTCTGTCTGTTGCTTTTCACGATTTCGTTTTACCTCCTTAGGTGCTTGGTGATTTTTCAAGTTTTGATCTCAACTGCAGTGTCCCATTTCTAACTGCCAACGAGCATCGATGTGTGGTATTAGAGGGTCCCATGAAATTAGCAGAGAAGCAGAACAGGGTATGATAATATTTGCTTTTTTAAAAGCTTAATTACTACAGAGATCATCACAGTCTTAGGATCTTAAGATCAGATTTTAAATAGTGTGAGAAACCTCAATCAGTTTTAAAATCTCAGTTTTAAAGTACTCGAGGTAAAACTCGGGGTAATGGTCTTTAAAATATTTCAGTGAAATGAGCAGATGAAATTATTTCCTTGTAGTTTTCGAACAGCAGAAGTTCTGAAAATAAACTTTGGGATAATTGTTTAAATAGTTTCTTTAAGCAAACCAAATTAAAAACTGTATTTCGCTCATAATAAAAAATATTAGGATTGCGTGTTCATCGATATGCAAAAAAAGTTTTGCCTCCTGCATTCGTTTTTTCAATTAATTAACACCCCACCATAGTTAGCTTTTGTTATGTTCATATTTTCTATGCGAATTAAGGGGAACTTACCGTATTTTATTACAGTTTCCTTTGTGTCAAATATTCATTTCAAAATTCCCCTTTATAGGCGTTTATGCTTTACCAAATCTTCCTTCCCAAGGCAGGAATTTTACTTAAAGTTCGGAATGTTGCTAGGAGCTTGAAGAAGTTGTTGTCTCATACTTAGTCACAAATTCAGCTTTTGCCTTAAAACCCCCTTCGATTTAAACCCGGTTTCTACAGTCTACAAACCAAATCCTCAATTTCCACGTGCCTTCATCGCCTTCTATCATTGATACATTTTTTCTTTTTTCAGACGGACGTGTATTGCTTCCTATTCACTGATATTTTCCTGATTACCAAAGCCAAAAGAAGTAACGAAAAGCTGAAAATTTTAAAGCAGGTAATTTGCTTAATTGATCCATTCTGATATGATTTTACTTAAATGAGATATTTGCAAAGATCAAACGTACCCATGTCACGTGACCTAATTCTGAGGCTTGAAAAATTCTCAGAAGAATACGGAGAGACATCTAATCGAAATTTGAATACAGCTTTTCATTACATTTTTAATGAAAATTGGCTGTTTGAGAAGAAAATCACTCACTGGTTTTTAAGATAGCCACCCAGAAATTCTCTTTTTCTTTTACGATTCATATCTCTTTGTGAAATTCCACCCATGCCCTGGAATATTTAACCTTTGACTTATTGCACTTATGACTAAAGGTTCAGTTGGTTACTAGGCGTGTGGGATTTGTCTGTAGCCCAACCTAAGAATAATTGGCTAGGTTTCTTTCGGATATGCGTCATCTACCTTTTCTTGTCAAACGGATACAAACTGAATATACAGCATATTGGATCCGATGTCTGGAAACGTATTTAAAGCCACGGGCCTTGTCGAGTCAGATAATTGTGCTCATTATTAACAGTAAACAGTATACAAGGCAAAATGTTCTTAAAGAAAAGCTGATTGTCCCAACTTATTCGATGTGTGTTTTATGTATATATAATCTTCGGTTCTAAAACGAAAGCGTACATTAATTATTGGATACTTACAATTCAGTCACCCTCATGTTTGCATTAACTTTGAGGTTTTGATTTTTACTCTCATTTTTATCTGAAGGCAGTCGAACAATGTTTATTTGCAAAAAGTATGCTATAGAAGTATTCATGATGATATAGACTTAGAGGAAGTGTATCTTACAGTGTTAGCAAATACGAAATTATATAAAGGAATGCTGTATAGCAGGCGACAAGAACGTATCATTAAAAAAGAAGAAGAGGACAACATTGTCTATACAAAAATTTCGATATATGTATATTTGGTTTCTTTGTATTTGGTTTCTGTTATTTAGTTTTATATCAAAATGGTGAAAAGTGAATTCGTTTCTCATTTTCAGCCTTTCAGATTAAACAAGGTGATCACTAAGCCCCTTAAAGAATCTGGTGAGTATGCTAATTAAAAACCAAATAATACATGGTGTAACTCACTTGCTGTCACTTTCATTCCATTTTCCTTATGTTAACAAGACACTCTTTTTTATAAGAAAAAAAGGTCGATTTTGAGTACTCCAGTTTCTTAACGTTCTGGAAATTGTAATACTCGTTGTTTTTCTTAAGAGTTTCTTAATTGTGATGTCATGAATGATGTTATGAGGTTCGCTTCCGTTCTGATACTGTATCTAGATGTGGGAAGTATATTTGTGTCTCATTTTCATCCCTTGTGTCTCAAGTTCTAGGCCAACAGGGCAATCATGTTCTTGGATTTTACAAATTTTTGTTCTTCTCAGTTTTATCACTATTTAATAGTTTCTTAATTTTTTGCTTCGAGTACCGAAGTTTCTTAATTTTTTCTGACTGTCCTGTCTTTCTGACTGTCCTGTCTTTCTGACTGTTAAACAAACTTCAAGATTCCTTTTACTCTAGATTCAAGCATAGCCCTTTAATGTTTGAAGAGTTTTTTCTGGTAATGCATCAAAGCAATCAAACCCTTTATTGTAAATTTTTTGCCATAGTGATTGTTGAGAGAAGGTTGGCTAATTTCGCTTTTAAGCTCTCGTATTTTGATTTGATGGTAGAAATCAGTGCCTTAAATATTTTCCATTGCTTTTGGTGAAAATTCCTGCGACACTGACATAATCCCCTAAGAATTGATCTTGCGAAAGAGCAAAGATTCACGATCAAAAATAACTTTAGTTACTATCCTGTGTTAAGCATCAACTTCCTGTAAAAGTGGTTCAAAAGAATTTTATAGGTGGGGTTATCAGGCTCCATATTTGAGTGGATATTGACCTTAGGAAAATTCAAAGCACTTTTCTGAAAAGAATCATTGAAGCATTTGTTGAAAACAGCCCGAACTGCCACCGGCATAAAATATTGCCTGAGCTGTGATCCTTCAACTCTGATAAAGAATCTGATAAAAATTGAGGGTATCATGGTAACGTATTATATTTGCAGTTTGGCCAAACCCCTAATTTATCAATCCATACAATCCATACTAAGGTGTTGTTATTTGCTTCCGTATGATAACATTCAAACAAAAACACAAACGTTTTCAACTTTGAAACAGTCAATGGCTTTTTGAAGAATGCAATTATTTCATTGTAAACATTTCTCATTTTTGGAATTCTTTGAAAACCATTTTATCTAACGGAGTTGTTATGATCGTGCAGCTCTCACTATTCGAAAACCTTCAGGATGTTATTTCATTTATCAAATGTACTCATTTGATACAGGGCTCGTAAGGATTCTAAAACCAGGAAATCGATCAAAGAATAACACCATTATCTTTCCATTCCGGAAAACGTGCAGCTTCCTTCTCCAAAACAAACTGATAACACCGCCCCATTATTTGCAGTCATGCTCTGCACAAGCAAATGTTTATTCAATGTAAGTAAAGCATGTGTTATTTTTTCCTACAGGAGGCTTTCTATTCCTGTATCTAAACGAATACGGTTCTTTGGTTACCGCTTTTGTGTTGCAACCACCGCTTGCAGAACAGACTAAGTGGATTCAAAACATTGATCGAACAAAAGTGAGTGCCCATAAACCTGCGTATTATTTTGCGTTTACCGGTCTTTTATTCCATGCAGTTTACGTGATTCGCTAACAACCTTGTATTGGATGATATTGAAAAGGAGGTTAGGGGCCGCAGGACCGTTGGAGTATATTACGTGTATGTCGTACGTAGAAATGTTACTATTTCCTATTATGAGATGGGAAATTTAGGAAGAAATCTTGGTTCCAATATGTTTTGTTAGTTCCCGTCTCAATCACAAGAGGCTGTAGGTTCTGCATGGCCCATTAGTGTATTTTTCAAAGATCAAAGTAACCCATCGCTATTAAAGTGTTGGGTCATGGAGCGGTCGAAAATGCGGCACGGCTGTTTACACTAAGAGGTATTACCAACCCGTCCCTTGTCCTTATCGCTTTTTTCCATTCAAAACGCCCTATTGTTGCCTCTTACATGCCCTGTATCCCCTCATCCTCGGAACCCTGCGTGAATACTCGAAATTTATTGGACTATATGCTGAAAAGTAAATACCTTTTCTCATAGTTGCTAAATAAACGCGTCGTTGTCATATGCGCAACCAACTATACCATAAACATATCCTGCGACCACATATTTGCAATCGAATCATTCTCCATGTTCCCTGGTGTACTTAAGCTTCCCATTTCAATCCTACCTAGCCAAATAATAAGGCCGTTTGGCTATGACGTCACTGGACATAAGACGTATAAATTTGATATTTATAATAGTTAATTGTTAATGGTAGCTACTAATAATTTCCTACTTTGTTTTATTTATGGTTTGTGTTCTCAAAGTTTATCAGTATTGTATAGGTAATATTGTAAGTAGCAAATTACATTTTGAAATCTAATGGTTTTTTTCAGTTCCGTTACAACAAGGCGAGAGCTGGCCGAGGATCGACGTACGAGTTCTTCGACGACGATCTCAATTCACCCTTCATTCCTGTTAGCCCTCACCAATCACCGAATCAAGAGCGTCGTCCCTCCCGGCAACAAAAGCTATCCAACGCATCGTACTACGATATTCACCCGTCAATTATTGTGACGGATCAGCTCATGGAGCAGAGAAAGCCTCGGTCCTACTCAATTGAACCTCGACGTGTGACCAGTCCTCATATCGAGAATTCGAAGCTTTCTGAAAGCTTTGATACGAGTAGTAAAGTTGTTCGCTCGGTGTCCGATCCTAAAAACGATAAGAAAATTGAAGAAATAAGATCGCGAGACAAGGCTCCTTTCTGGCAAGGAAGTCGACCGGCTTCGATGATAATGCCCGGAAAGGGAATCGAAGACATTAACGCGTTTACCATGAACGAACAACGAAGTCGCTCAGGGTCCCTCGGGTTGGATTCTCCCCCAGATGATAGCGAAGGTCGTCGGAATGAGAGCTTCCGTAGTACGTCATCAGATACGGCTTTAACCCGTTCTGAAATGCTACGAAATGAAATACGGAAGCAAATTAAGTCATCTTCCAGTGCTCCAGAAGTCTCCAAAGTTACAAAAGAGGTTCGAAGACGCTATAGTGATGGCCCTAACGACTCGCCCTACTCTCGTATATCGTCAGACTCAGGACACAGGGCTACATCAGTTTCATCATCAAGCACCTCTGTAAGCACGGAAAGAGGTGGTTTATCACGTGATAACAGTTTTAAGAATCGACAACGAGATATTTCTGAACTAGACGAAATCTCCCAGGATGAAAAGGCAATGGGGAGATCGACGCCAAGCTTCTTTTTAGAACTGGAGGATAACATAGATTTAAAAGAATCGATGGTCGACGAAAATGCCGATGTTAGCATCTTGCCCTCGCTAGTCGATATTGAGGTTCAGACGGAGCCTACGTTGAATCTATCTGATATGTATTGCCAGACGGAGGCTGCAGAACCTCACTGCGGAAAAATTGACCGAGAAATTCAAACTGACAGTATAGAAATGACCTCAAACTTACAAAATATTGATGAACAAAGGGGTGAAATTGGAATACAATGCGACATTATGGAACAAGTAACTTCTGAACTCCTAAATTGGGAAGATTTGATTCCACAAACACAAACTGAGTTAATGCGCAGACAATCGCTTGAACAGAGGCGATCGTTCGGCCTGCGAAATTGTCAATCAGAAACCGATTTGCGAACACCACGCGGTTCCGTGCGAGGCATTCATTTCCGGTCTCTTAGTGATAACGGACCAACAGAAGTAGCTACAGATGCAAATGGGAACCATGAAACGCCTTTAGTTCGAAAGCGATATTCTAGTTCTGCCCTTCAAAGTCCTGGAATGCGTGCTTTGCATTTTCTTTCTCGGTCTTTGGAAAGTTCTCTGCATACAAAATCTCAGTCGATCCAGTTGCTAGAACCTGATAGGCCATTGCGAAAAATGCAGCCAAATTCTCCTGTTTCATTACGACGAGTTGCCCTTCTGAATTCTGCACCCGCTTCAAAACGAAATGATTTACGGAACGGCGAGAGAGGAGAGAGGGTCAAGGCAAAGCAACAATCAAAGCGTGCAACGTGGCATAGTGATTCTGCCGTGGAATTGGGGGCCGAATCTTTTCGCGGTTCACAGGACGATTTGTCAATGTTAGAAAACTTTGCAGGTGTTAGTAATAACAAAGATGAAGAGAAGCCTAAAAGACCCGAGAGAAAGAAGAATAAAGGAAAGAAAAAAGAGGATAAAAAGAAGAAAAAGAAAGATACTGCTTCTCACGGTGGGGTTGTTTCTGGCCCGAACATGGACAAACGCAAAGCCCAGAGGATTTTCTTAGAAAATTCACTTATGCATGAAAAACCGTAAGTCTTTTTTGGTATCTTTTAATATTTATTCTTACGATGACTAAGTAACTTTTTGTTCAAAAATAACATCCGGTAACACCCTGAAGCAGAACTGTGTTACAATCAAAGGCCATTTTAAAGAAACAAAGAAAGGCCTTTTTTACATTATCACCATCATGTCGGACAAATCTTTTACAGGCACCGCAGAGCAGGGGAGCTGGGGGGGGGCTTTAGCAACTTTTTGCAAAAATGCCAAATATTAAGTATCAAACTACAAGAAAAGCCTCTTTTTATACGGTCTTAGCCCCCCCCCCCACTTTATTTAGACCCCCCACTTTTCTTAACGCTCCGCGATGCCTGTTTTAGCCCTGAAATTTCTTCTGCGATCAAAGTCTTACTCCATTAACCGTCAGAAAACAGAAACCTCCTTCTAACCTACAGCAATGCTTGTCGCACATGTTTTAACGAGATGTATTTTCCACAGTATTGAAGGCAGATGCTGAAGTAACTAAAGCCATCTATCAATCCACAATGGCCAATCATTGACCGTGTGACTGATATCCAACCTATTGATTGGTCAATTGTTGGTTGAAAATTCCTAAAGCTCTTTTAAATCTATCCATAGCCCTCAAACAAATATTACCCGAACAAAGGTTGTGGAGTCTTGGATCCCTCTATTTTATTAACTACGAAACTTCTTTCGCAATGTTGCTTGCTTTTTGGTTAAGGACTTTTAAATGATGTCAAAGTAAATTTTTTCTGTTTTGTTGAAGACCGTTTACATCTTGGTTTTAGATCCTCGGCTTAGGCAAGTAATACATATGTTTAAGATAGGGCTAAGATTCCACTAATTCTTTTGTACAAAAAGTTCAATTCATCATGAAACTAAGTTTATTGCTAAACAATTTGAGCTTTTGTCCAAACGATATGGCTTTTGTCTTTAAGGAAACTGTCTAGAATTCCTTGCAGCCTTAAAGTGTCATGGCATTTTATCGGTAGATAAACTCTTTTGTATTATGCAATCGTTACTGCGTAGAGATCGAATCTGAAAAGGAATCTGATAAACTCCTGGTATTTCCCAGGGCGTGTCAGTGTTACTAAAAGGATCCATATTGATATTTTCAATCTCTTGTTCACAGGGAACTGGTATGAGAAGAAATCATAAGGCATTTGCAGGTCAGAAGTCAGGATGACAACGCCTTGCCAATAATGACGTAGTTAACTGTTTCCTTGTAGAATTTGTCCATTAAAGGTAGAATTCAATTTCCGTTCAAGTCATGTTAATATGGCGTTTTTTTTACTTTAAGTGAGCTGTTGGATCGGAATGCCTGTGTACCCACCAGCCTAAAGTAGTCATCGTCACACCCATTACCAGTCTCAACTCACATCATTGCCGCCGGTGTCATCTTCATTACGTCATCATCATAACGTCATCGTCACTACGTTTTCGTCGTAATGTCATCATGGTTACGTTACGAAACCAAGGCTCACAGACAGCAACTCACGCCAGAATGGTTGCCAACTTTATTGTCACATTGTTACCAGTCATAGCAGTTATAAGAGCTTCAAAGTCTTGTCTTCTCTAAATCGTAAGCCACTTTCTAGAAAATGATAAGCAACCAGTTTTCAGGAAAACGATAGAATTTCATATTAGTTTTTCAAAGTTCCATTCTTCATGACGCAGAAACAGATTTGACGTTCCCTGGTCTCGTTAAGTAGTAATTTAATGCTTAGTTGACAATTTATTTTACTGAGGCGGCAGTGCCACGAGAGTTTATTATTTTCTTTTCAATTTTACTTATCCTCTTTGACGTTTAAGTAGCTTTCTGATTGACCCGTGTAACAAATCTGCTACAATTCATTCTAGAGACATACCACCTATATTATTCCCATCAACAAACAATGTATGCGACATACTCTCTTGAGTAATTTGATGGAATTATACGTTGTCCTGTTTATTTCTTCCCATTCACTCAAAAATTCACCGACTTAAGTTGCAAATTGTTTGTGTTATATTGCACATGGCTTTCTCTTGACTGGTCCAACGAAATATAAACAACGGAGTTTAAGTTGAAAATGGTAATTTTTCTCACATCAAAATTGGCCCTAATTTTGGTTTGGAACAATTTAGTTCTGATTATTTCTGGAGCATACCCAGTTTTGTTCCGTTTGTGCTAAGAGTAGAAAATTATTTTAAAGATGTTTCGCCTGACTTTTTCCTGATTGCCTCTTCATTTAAATTTGAATTAGAACGTTTTAAGATTTTCAGTATCTAGTATGACTGCATTTCTTTACATCATTATAAAAGCAACACTCACTGGCTGCAAACTGTTTCTCACATTACATCAGGCAACCAGCGTCTTTCACCAGGCTGTAGTATCTATTAACCCACTTTTTGTTATGAGCTATCTTACACAAAGTTAAAACCATATCGATATAATTCTTGGACAGTTGTCGTTATACCAACGATATTAAATGGTGTGTTCATATTTGTAGGTATGTGTAAATATTCTTAATCAATTTAGGGTTTTCTACCAATTGTCACAGGTAAATTAAAATTTGATAATTTAAAGACACCACTTGAAGACGTGGTATTTTTTATTGTCTGTCGTTAATTGTTATGTTTTGTAGTTTATTGTCAGTGATTTCGTAATTTCCTTATCATAACAGTTGGTGTGTTTTTGCTTGAGTTTGGTTTTGCTTTATGTACCCGTGGGAACAGAATGGTTTCTGGTGCTACACAAGCCTGGGTTAGCTGGTTCCCTTAGAGGGTTGAACTCAACCGAGCCAGCTTCACTTGTAAGCCCAAGTCACGACCCCGGGTTTAGCTGACACGACTTCACCTGAGAAGCTTCAGTAGAAAGCAGCCCGTGTCAATGGGTCAACCCTACCATTGAGAAGGGTTACCCAGAAAGGCGTGTTGATCCGGAATGGCTGCTATTATCATGTTAACGTTGGAAGAGATTTGACCGTAGCCGAGTTGACCCTCTAAGGCGGGTGGCAACAAACCCGGGTCCGTGTGAGCGGGGTCAAATAGGATCAAGAAAACCAAGATTATCCTATAATAACTTTACTTCAAATATTAACATTGGCTCTAATTTTTCTATGTTTTTGGAAAAGAAAATTTTGACGAACCAAGGGACGTTTTTTTTAGGACAGACACACTTGTCTTCAGATGTTTGTCATTTTCAAGGTAAACAGTCAACACTGTAGTTTCAACGTTGCAAAGCAAACAGGCACAATTTTAAAAAAAACAATTGCAACGAAGACAAAGAAGTAGAAAAGAACAATAAAGATACTAAGTAAAACCAATCAGGGGTTTGAAGTTCGAGTTGGGGTCTTAAAATCTCATCTATTGTTGTTTCATTCTTAATAGAATTGTATAGGTTCCCAGGCGAAAATAAAGGAGTGCTCCCAGTGGTAAGGTCGCTTTCTGAGGTGACTCTAAAACCGTGAATTTTTGTATCCAAGGGGATTGCATCGTTCTCAAGTATTCGGGTTTAACTGTAGTGTTTTTACTCTACGGTTGCAATATCGAAGTGTTATCGAAATCAAAGAGAAAAATCATACTGAGTGAGACTTTGTATATGTTTCTGTCCAAATTGAACCAGTTTGGTTTTACAAGATATTAAAGTAAGTCTAGATACTTGTGATTGAATCAAGAAGTATATGAAACAGCCAATTTGCAAAATAAAAGGTAATATTTTCGATTCAGATGCTTGAATACTTCTTGATAGGCCATATTCTATTACCTCTTCTTTGACAAAATGCACCATAACGACGACGAAATGGATTGTGGGTAACTTGACTAATTGCATAGTTACCTGCGAAAGTAATTTTGTGAACACTTGTAATTTACACGCTTGGTGGCTAGTACACCACAAGTTTAGCTTGAGGCAGCCTGCGGTTGCCATGCCGCAGCAGCCACGGGTAATTACTGGTACATTTCATTTAATTTCTAATTCTTTAATCACGGTAACCCCGGCAATCTAGGCAGATTGCTTTTCAGAGGGAGGGGAGGGGGCGTGAAAAAACTTACAAATTAATTAAGTACTATTAAAATTGATACACAAATAAAGTCGAAAAAGAGAATGAAGGGAAAGCAAAAAAACTTTTTATAGCGTTTCTTAAGCCTCATTTTTCGCTTAAAGTGGAAAGGGGGGTGGGTTGTTTCAGTGCAGTTTTAAAATGATTCCACATGTGAGCACCACGATACGGAAAAAGCTTTCTGACGATTTGTTGTCTTCATAAGTGGAATATATAAATCAGCATTTGAACTTTTTAAGTTAATACTTTCCTATGAAGAATTTTTCGTAAATAAATTGGAGAGGTGACTAGGTGCAACACTGTTAATTGATTTATAGACCATTGTAACTGTTTCTCCACTCGTTATGTCTTTAAATGATGGCCAGATGTACCAACAGTGTGGAAGCAGGTGTATCGTAGCCACTTGTAACAACTATCCGTGGTCCATGATTCTTTGATTTTGTAGAGGTTTTTCAGATTCCCCGCAGCTTCCCCACACCGAACAACAATAAAAGGAAATGAGGCACAACTATCCTTTTGCATTGGTAAGAATTTCTTGGCATATTAAAAGAACCCTAGCGCACGAGAAATTTTTGCCGTCTTATGGACAATTTCTACTTTAGTTTCCCCAATAGCAGAGCTTAGACACATTGAGGGAAATCTTTTTTAGATTTGGTCACTATTGGGGAATGTTTGGTACCTTGAAGCCATTGTTTTAGTAATTCTAGGTCTTTGTTAAACATGTTAAACTTAAATAGACATTGTCAAGATTGATATCTTATCATCTGCATACATAGTGAAATTGCTATTTTTCAGACAGTAGGGGAGATAGTTGATAAAAATGAAAAACAAAAGGGGACCAAGACAGGAACCTTGCCGGACTCCACAGTCAATCTCATTAAACTGTAAAGTAAATGTAATCCTGTTTCCTTTAAATCGAGGGTAGCACGTAGCTGCTCATATCTTTCACATCAATACTATTAAACGGTTTCATAAAAATATTTTCAGATGGAGCACAGCAATTTTTAGGACCCTAGCCCTCGATTTTTGCCATTCTGAATGAATCGCCAACTATAATTGCTGTTTTCTTCTTTTTAGGGAAATCATCGATTTTTTCATTCGTTCCGTAATCTCCATTGCAAACACTTGGCCTTTGAGGTTTCATAATAGCAGCAGCGGTTTCAGGGACTGCGAGACCTAGGGCCGAAAACATCGGCGGGGTCCTCGCTCTTTACAATTTCAGGTGCACAACCTCTTTTGGCTACCATATTCGCAGGGCCTGCGGCAATGGCCCCCTGGACCCCCAAAAAGAACCTCTATTGGATAATAGTTAGTGCAAACAGCTTGCAATATGTTTTATCTAGCTTTTGTTGTAATGAACTGTTCTTTTCACTTACTCTGTTGCATTGTAAGTTTTCAAAGCACGATAAGTGTTTTCAATGCTCTTTGCTTTTCACATTGAAAATTTGGAACTTTGATTATATTGTGAGTGACCATCGACAAACAGTTTGCTTAAGAACAAAAATTTTGTTGACGTGCTTGAAATGCATTTTTATCTAAATTTTGTCAAACTCAGTTTATCTCACCGTTCACTTCCACGACAACTAGCAGGGCCCACGCCACAAGGGGGGGGGGGGCATAGCCTCCCCATCTTTTTGTGAAATTTGATATTAAAGCCAGCTCCAATTATTTTAGAAAAATAAATATGTAGATTACAACAAATAAATTGAACCAAAGTCCATACTTGAAACAGCATTCAGAAAATTTTTTGCGACGACTCGGGCTAAATAGAGTAAGAGGAAACGCTCTTTACATTGCTGGCTCTTCTAGTTTAGGATCAGAGGCGCGGGCCCTGACTAGTTAATGGGGGCGAGGAACAGTTTGGCAGCGGAACAGATTTAGGTAGAATGTGATTGCTTTCCAATGAATTGTATTGGTCATCTGAAATTTCTTCACAATTTTCAGAGCCACCATTCCATAAACAAATTAACCACAAGATAATCTTAGCTGAGGGGCAAATCACTCTTTGAAAGTATCGTACACCTCTAGTGTTTTAGAAAATCTCTAGAAAATCTCGTACTCCTATTGTTTTACTTGAAAATCCCTGGAAATCCTTTTGTTTTTGTGAAACTCGTACGTTATGTGCAAGAGTGATTGCCCCCCATTCTTAGCCACAGAGTTTTCATTTACTCAAACAAAAATATACTTCATTACTATGAGACTGGGTCTGACAACCGTTAAGGTCCAATTTGCAACGCTCTGTACACTTACAGTTCTACGTCACATTTCAGCTCACACTGGATTCGAAACAATGTCAAGATCAGTGCTGTAATGGAGTAGTCTTTGAAATAAATTTTACAGAGTTGCTAGATTGGCCTTTGTCAGGACAAATTTTCTAATTTTGGCTTTTTTCAGAGTTGAATTGCCAGCGGTATAGTAATTTGTTAATGTTTAAGTCTGGGAGATGCATTTTTAGCCACTTCAGAAAGCTTGATTTAAAATATTTCTTGCCCGTCGGACCCAACAATATTTGGTCCTACTACGTCATTAAACTTATTTATAGCCACTCCCTCCCCCCCCCCCCAGTTTCAATTTTGTGGGGCCGTCTCTGAAATGGAAAAAGCAAATTATACAGTGTAAACCCAAATGTCAAATATTGTCAAATGTGAAAGGAATTTTTGAAGGAGAAAGTTTCACATTGTTTTTGAGCTTGAAAAGATGAAATCATAACAGCTCAAAATTAAAAAAAATTAAAAATTCTGATGAAAACTTGGTTCCATGTAATTCGATATACACTCTTTCTTGCATGAACTGTCTTAAGCACTCAATGAAATTGCTTCATGTGAGTTTGAACTAATGTCTATCTACTAGCAACAAACATTAGATGAACCATACAGCACAAAACAAAACAGGACCTTTTGCAAAGGCTTGGATTCAAGCTGAAAGTGTAGTTTCCGAGGGCCAATTAAAGACTGACAACAAAAGACTTCACAAAAAAGCCCTGCTATTTTGGGGAAAAGTAGGGGCATGTCCCCGGCACTACATCTTCAAGGGCCATACTTCGAGTCCATTGAGGACCCTAAGGCAATCTCATACTATCAGGGCCGCCGATAGTGGGGCAAGTGAGGTGAATTGCCCCAAGGCCTCAAGGCCTAGGGGGCCTCATAAAGAAAGGAAATCTGCTTTAAAATTGAATTCATTAAAAGTAAAAAAATTATGCTGTCAAATAGTAAAATATTTTAATCGAATTCGCGAACTTAGGCTAATCTGAAGGGCGTGGTCGCAAAAATTTCCTGCTCGCCTCGTTCACATGGGGCCTCGTCTTCCTATTCTGCCCCAGGACTTCAAAAAACCTCTTAGCGACCCTGCTTAAGCCTGATTTACACGAGACGAATTTTTTTGTGCGAAGCTAATTTTTCGCCGCGAATGCGCGAAAAATATGCGCAGAAGTAGAGATTAGAAAATTCGCAGCGAATTCGCAGCGAAAAAGTTACCCTGGGTACCAGACTCACTATGTATGAAGTAAAATTTTATATATTTTATATTCTATTATTTTACATAGTGAGTCTGGTACCCAGGGTACGAAAAAGTAGAAACCATTCCTACTTTTTCGCTGCGAAATCTTTCGCCTTGCAAAATAAACCAATCAGAACAGCATTGGAAGACACCCGACTTCTGTTTTGGTTTCAGATGACCTACGTCTTTCCGCATTCTTTTTCTCAAACAGCCTTTAAAACGTCAAAAAATAGGTTGGTAATTATTCATTTCCTGTTCCTTGTACACAATCCATGTAAGTTGATTTATATTAGATAATTATTCAAACCTTTGAATTTCAAATTTAAGAAAACTGGCTTGAATGTTTCATCGTTCTACCAATATGGCAGAAATAAAAAAAAGCAAGAATTTCTTCAAATTGCTGAATTGTTGGCTGCTTATTGGCCTGCTCAAGAGCAACAGTTTTAAGCAGATGCACTAACAGGATCTCGCATGCTTGTGCAAGCTTCGATAGCGACCTAAGTATTTGAAGAAGTTATACTGGTCTTATAAATGTAAACGTAAACCTCTCTTACCGAAAGTTTGAATTCCCCCCCCCCCTCCTTCTGAAGATGTCGTGAATAAATTTTTCTTATCCAGTATCGCTTTTTTGATAAATTCAAAATTTTAAACTTGCTGATAAGAGCACTCTTCGGGCAGTCGCTATATTCTTTTGTAATATTCGCAGCGAATTCTCAGAAAATTTCGCCAGTGTAAATTGAACTTCGAGTTCGAGAGAGAAATTCGCAGCTAAAAAATTCGTGGCGAAAAATTCGCTTTGCGCGAAAAATTCGTCTTACTCTGACCGTAGTTCGTTGTGCCACTGACCAAGGCCAAAGTTAATGATGGTAAAAGATAGTTCAGAGCAATTAAACGTAAAAGTAAAGTGCTATTCAAAGGCAGTTTGAGGGGGCGTGGCCCTCGAACTTGTGCGCATCCTTTTTCTGAAGCGATAAGAAAGCAGGGATCCATCCCCCTTCTTCATTTAGTAATTCTTCTCTTTCAGACTATCTCTACTACTCCATCCATTTTCCCTTTTAGCAAAGGACACACCTAGAAGTTATCAAAACTGCTGGACTGTAAAATAGTAATTTCATTTTAGTCACAGCGGCCGTGGTAATCTTTCTTTGAAGTCTGTTCTCAATTTTATATCAATTCGCTCTTGTGTTTAATTCATCTACTTGAAGGTATGATTAGCTCAATTCAGTAAAATACTCAAAAGAAACGTATAGCTCTAAAAGAGTGTGGATCAGTCATCCAGAATAAGCGCAGGATTTTCTGCAGGCAAAACTAAACTTTTGGTTATGTCCTATTCTCGAGTTGACCTGTTTGTTTACAAATACTTGAAAACCGCACCAGACATTGAATCTTTCAGTAACAAACAGGGCGCAGTGGGAGTCAAACTATGCATAGGATTTCTGACAATTCTGACAAAGTAGAAAAATTTCTGGCAAAGTAGAAAAATTCCTGATATTTTAAAGCACCGAACCGCAAGCGCGACTATAGCCCTCCTGCCTCCTCCCCATTGCATCTCTCATAACAAATAAAAACAGGCTTTAATTCTGGTTGACCTCTTTCTGTTGGATCTCCTTATTTTAAGTCCAAGGTCGACATCTCATTATGTTTTCGTGAGTCAAGTTTCTGGCGTGGTTTAAAATAAAAAATGTCTTTAGCATAGCGACAGGGGGCAAAGCGGGTAAAGCTTATGAAGTAGCCCCCCCCCCAAACAATGTTATATGAAAGACATGAATTTTTGGTAGCCACGACTATTTCTTTACGTCATCATGCAATTTCTTTCGGTCAAGGACGGTTTCGGTTTTGGTCAGTTGCAAATATATAAAAATTAATCATATTTTGCTATTTTTGCCTTTTTCTGGGCGCTTTGCCAACCCCTTCCCTAAAATTCTTCTGGCGTCTCTGCCCTCAGTTAAAAATATTTAGTAACAGCATTGCTTAGAAATTACTGTTTTGTTTTGAGGACAAATAGGATTTTCGTCCTACTGCTGAGTTTCTTATAGAGATAATCTATAAAAATTTTTGAATGTTAGAGATGCCTTTTGTCGATAAATAGAAAAAAATTTCAAAGCTGCTAGTAAATTTTCTGCTAGTTTCTTTCGCTTTTGGTTCTAGATTCATTTCACAAAACCATTTTCTTGTCAAAACAGCCTACTGTAATATGGTGTAAGCTTGAGGGAGCTCTCAAAGTGTGTCCCCCACTTCTCATTGCACGAAAAGGCGTCGACACGGACAACTCATCTCCCAAATTACTTTGATTAGCACACGCAACCTGCAAAGCCCGGAAAGTAGTTCACCTTTCAAACTGTCAGAGACAATAGTTTTCGCCGGGAGGTAACGAAAGCTATGTATTGTTGCTGACGATAAAACGTTGCGGCAGGAAGTGGATCCGATCTAAAAAAGATCGTTTTTGTTATCGTATGTGAATAATAATAAAAGACCAGCTCGGCTTTCAAGGTATTTTTGTTGCAATAGATGACTGAAATTGGCTGGCTAGATATTACGTAAGTTCTATTTGTCACAAACCAAGTGCGCGAAGTTTTAGGTCTTTTTGAAAAGAAAGGACCATCCTGTACCTGGGATTTCTCAGTAACCTTTGGTTAATGAGAGAATTCTTGAGGCTTGTAACAGTCGATATAGATTTTTGTTGAGTTGAAATACTGAATCTCCGCAACACAATCAAAGCACGGAGGTCAGAAGGCCTGGATACAGAGATTTAAAGCCCCGGAGTTGTCTGCAGATTTTTTGTCAAGCAGGGGATTTTCTATGGTTCTATGATTCACCCCTTGCAGTGTTATCATTTAGTTCCTGAAAACAAACCGTTGAAAAAGTTGGTGTTGTTGTCTGATATCAAAATCTAGAAGGCAAGGCTTATTCACGGTGAAAAGGCAGAGGGAATTTATTACAAGGTTTGTTAAGATCCAAATGTGACTTGATTCCCGATCGTTTATCAGAATTTCCAATGAGACACAGTATTGAGGTTTTCAGACATGACCACGTTGAAAGATTTTTTCACATGGTCATTCGTTCTGATTTTATATGTCACTTTGGTCGCTAGCACCCGAGGGAAAAGCCCTTGCACATTGTCTTATTTTGACTTATGGAAGAAAGCCGATTCTATATTTTCATGCGAGATCCTTAATGTTGGCCGAGCGGATGAGAACTTTCATGTTAGGATTGAAAAAATCATCAAAACCAATCGACGCATAAAATTGGAAAATGAAACGGCCGGATCGACTGTTGGATTCGCTCAAGATTTGCAAGATTTATATTGTGATAAAAGGTTTCAGGTGGGACAAATGCGAATTATTTTCGTGGAATATGGTGATTCGTCGAGTGTTCGTGTACTCAGAGCACCGGAGCTAAGATCTTGGTTATTATCGATCCTTCAAAGCATTCATTTAGCAGGTGAGAATATTTTCAGATTTTGAAAGACTTTCGTAACAGTGTAACTTGACGGAGCCATTAATGCTTTTTAAGCTCAGTAGTAGTTCAGTAGTTCAGTATATATTTTAAAATTCCACTTTGCATACAATTTATCATAAAATAACTATAAAATACGTGCAAACGATTAAACTACAAAAATATTAGGTAACAATACAGAAATTATTGATAACACAATACAGGAAAATATTACAATACTATAGCCAATAACATGAAAAAAATAAGATAAATTGAATGGAGGGAATTTCTTACAGGAGGGAACTCTCTCAATAGCTATACTAATCCGTAATAATCGAGGAGAAAGCACCCACTATTATCCCCTTAATAGACTGAAAAACTTAATTGCAATCAGTTCTAATTATTGGAATCAAAGAGGAAGAATTTGAGCTGCTTTCGACGAAATATAACATGAGAGGGTGACTTTTTTATATCCATAGGAATGTCATTCCAGAATTTAGCTGCAATTAAGCGATGCAAAATGAAGAGTTTATTTTTGCTAATAGCGACATGCGAGGGATACTCAAACCAGTGTTTTAAAAGGACTTTTACTGAATATTTATATGCCTCCCTACACCACCCCAGCTGCAGGAACAGGGGCACTTGTCCCCCAAACTATTTTTTTATATTTTATAAAAAATATCCAAATAACCCATTTTTGGAAATTTCGAGTCACTTGGAAATGTCCCAGCAATGCCAGACGTCCATGCACAGTTCCTGCCGTGTCGGGACCTTACCCTTGTTGTCCCAACACGTATGTCCCGTCGAAATGTCCCGCCAAATGCCACACGTTCATAAGAGCAGCCTATTTGAAAGACCCGGTTGTACAGTCATTACGTTACCGAGAGACGGCGACCATATTTCTTCTAAGTTTCTAAGCGATAATTTACAAAACAATCATTCCAATAGTGGCTTTTGTTATCGCGGAGTCAAATGTGTGACCCCTCCTTGAAAAATTTCCTGAAGAAACAGAAGCAATTACCCCTGAAAGTGACTGCACTCTTTTTATAGGAATAAGTAAATTGAAGTTCAGGCTGGCTGTTCTTAATTTTTTTAAAGATCCGAGGCTTGATTGTTCTAAATTTGTTTTTAAAAAGTTGTTCTTATTAAAAACAGATTGTAATGAGAATTTCGCTTCGTCAAAACATCTCTACTACCTGGCACCGCGGATAAGGGGGGCTGAGGGGCTATAATCCCCCATTTTTGCAAAAAAAGCAAAAAATATTAGAAAAATGAACCACCAATAAAGCCTCTTTTTGTTCGGTTTTAGCCCCTCCCCCCTACCCCGCTTTTTTAGACCCTTGGCAGATTCCTTTTCTTCGAGCAGTTGTTCGGTTAGTTGTTTTGGACATTGTAGACGCAAAAATTTATTAACCAATATTCCGTAACATTAAGATGGCAAATAGGTTCAGTTAGCTTCACTTTCACCTGACCAGATTTTTTCTCAACGCTCCGTGGTGCCGAATGTGGATAGCTCTTGTTTTGGAAACAAATTCCTTTCCCCCGATCTCAATTCTTTGACTCTTTGAGGCTCTGATACGCAGGGTAGTTTCCAATGTACCGGCCTATTATTTCTAAATCTTTGATCATCACTGGGACATTTCAACGAAACTTTAAACCTCTTCCTAAAAGCTGCACTTATTCAAATTTTATCGATATTTATGCATTCTTTATCAGTTCTGTACAGCTACAATCCGACTTTATGAGTTGTCACACTTTCTGTTCATAAGACTGTTGTCGTACGCGACCATGTAAATTTGGGTTACTACATAAAGCTTTACCATCGAACATTATTAGTTTATGAAAGAACATGAAATAAACCTTTTAGTGACTTTATGACTAAGCATTTCGTTAGATAAGGAGAGTATTTGTTATTAGATACGAGCACACGCAGAAAATTGTTCGTCTCTTATCTGGACTTTTGTTAAGTGTTTGATATATAAATATATATTCTAAAGAGCTTTACACTCTTTGGTGAATGTAATAGGACATTATTTGAGTTTTTGCTCAGAATTTTATCTGAGTAATATGTTGTATTGCCTCCTTTTCCTATCACAACTCCATTTATTTAAAACCATATAGCCTGGATATCCTCATTCACTCCAACAGGGTATTTTGCCTTCATTTACTAATTCCTATGCGTAGCTTTCAGGTGTTCATTTACTAATGATCTTGCATAGCTTTCAGGTGTTCACCCCTCACCTAACTGTGTCAACAGTCTCACCCCTGCGGTCTGCTTGAAAACTCTTGTTAAACGTTCCTAGCATGGGCTATACGAGCGATCAGCAGAATATCGACACGACCTCACTAACCTTCGCATAAATCGTATCAATTAGATTCTGCATTTGATAATACGCAGCTATATGGATAATGCTCCTGTTTTTGTCTTTTTTCAGATGTTTCCGCTGTGAGATCACGACGCAGAAGGGACCTTTGTGGTTTTGTACGATGCACCCATGGCGGGTATTGTGACATACGACCGATATCAAAGCAGCCGTACTGCTCCTGTGAAAATATTTTCTGTACAAAAGAGTACGACCCGGTGTGCGGCACTGATGAATTCACGTATCCTAATGAATGTACCATGTACCACAATTCATGTATCAAAAGAAAAACCATTACGCTTGCATACAAGGGTGTCTGTGGTAAGATAAATGCATTGGATCTTCATAGAAGTTTTAAAGAAAAAAACGGAAACCAGAAGTAAACTAAATTCTTATTTGTCTGTCAAAGGCTATTTGACTAAACCTCTGCTTTAGCTAAATTGCTCTGAGCAGGAGAGTTTTGAATAGCCTTTTAAAATAGAAATGTATTGCCAGACTAGTAAAGCAGGATAGAGCCCTGGTACGAATTGAGGAATAAGACTGTGCAGTTTCCAAACAGAAAATTTGAAGTTACTGGAGTCCCCGTTGATCTGTTTGCTTCCAGAGGTGTGGCTACAGCTCAAAAGGCATTTCAAAATTTTTATACGATCTAAGAGGCTCGTAAGATGTTTTAAAGCAAAAAATTTTTTGACCCCTTAAAGGATGCTCTCATGTTAATCTGCCAAAGGCTGTCGAATTGAAATTATGACAGACTGATTTTATCGGTTGTCCGGTTCAATATTGTCTCAAGTTATTTGGTTTTTCAAAGCAAAAAAGTTAAAGTATAGACCAATGACGGTGTTTATGCCTTACTTCCACCGAATTTCACAAAGTATGCAATGAATAGAAAATTTTTTCTTCTGCGGTGGTTAGGCACTGCTGATCAGCCTAAGGTTTAGGGATATGAGGAGTGGATTGGCTAGATCAGTTTAAATTAAACAAGAAACCTATCAATCCCACAACGCGTCCTCTTGTTCCGCACCTGGAATAAAGCTATGCTTACTTTTTGATCACAATTCGAAGTTTAGACTCTGAGGTGTATCTATGTTTTAATATTTTGCTTCTGCTTTTCCGTACTAAAGTCATTTCTTATATGCCTGTCACATTTATAAATGTGGCAGACGCGCATTATCAACGCCTATTAAACTTCGTTATTTATGTTTTTCGAGTTTATTATTGCAACTTTTAGCGAGACAGTAGCCTTTTCTCATGGGCTCTGACAAAGGTTGAAAAGTGGGAGAGGGGGCCAAGAGAAAATTTAACACCCATAACAAAAGATTTTGAAAGAAACTCTATTGTTTTGCAAAAAAGTTGGGGGGCCAAGGCCCCCCTCGCCCCCCTTCGTTGGAGGCCCCGTTTCTAGGTATTTGGCAGTGCTGCAGCAGTGAAATGTACACTCAGTACATTTATTCCTTAACTTGAAAGATTTCAGTGTAAATTGTTTTTGCTTGGCTTATCAATGTCATCTCTTTCCAGGACTGCATACGTGTGCCGATATCAAGCGAACTGGCCATGGGAAGTTTGACGGCGAGTATCTTATTTACCCAAAGAAAGCCTGCACGTCCCCTGTTAAGATCTACTGCCATGGTATGAATGATGCTACTCCTCACGACTACCTCACCCTACCTGCTGGGCCTATCCGCAACTATGCTGTTGTCTACGACAAACGGTTGCGCCCCGAAGACAGGTTTAAATGCTCTAGTGAACCTGGCCCATTCAAGTATAGCAGAGCCGGTGTGACCCGCTTCAATAAGGTTTGTGAGGCTACTGTCTATTAGCTTGAAATCAATACACAATTTGATTTAGTCTTCTTTCAAATGATAGCCACTGCCTGTTGAAATAAAACAGGGGTTGTTTCAAAACTGCTAAGAATTTCGGGACCAGTTTGCCATACCCATCTGACATTTACCAACAATAAAAACAAAACTGGGATCGCTTAACATATTACAGATTTGGAAGAGGTAGGGGGGGGGGGGTTAAAATGTTCTGAGAGGGCAAAAAATGTTAGGAGTCAAAAGAAAGATTATTTTTTGTATTGTTTTAAGATCATTGTTGAAAAGTATTTATGGGGGCTTAAGCCCGCGAGACTTCCCCTCGCTTTCACTGTCCCGAAAACAAAATGCTGGCATCTATCGAATTGTGTACTTTAGTCAACGAAGTTCCTTTTTAAACTTTGGCCATCAAACATCTACTCTTATCTGAAGAAAGACTTGAAACTTTTTTCTACACTATAAGAGCTAAAGATATTGACAAAAAACTGTTGATTGTTAAGAAAGTTTAGGACTCTTATCTTACGTGGTAATATATTAATTGACTTTTGCTAGAAATAAGTCCATAGCATGAAAAGGCTCAAAGTTTGCACTTTTCAAATTTCAGTTAAAAAAATTGATGGTAAAACGGCTGACATGTCAATAAATCCATGTTATTGCCAAAAGCGATATAAATTATGTTTTCATTAAAGTTTAAGGGCTACCATTCAAGTTGACTTTTTGGAATAAGAATTTTTTAATGTAGCGGATAGTTTTCGATACCAAAGAATCTATTCTAATATAGTCTCTGTTGTGTGACGTGATATACTGCTTGGCTACATTTTATCTGCTCTCAAGAAGAATCTCAAAATTGCTCTGAACAATTTTAATTTTAATCCCCATTCCTTTGGTTAAAGCATCCATCTTTAAGAATTATCCTTTGAATTTTAGCTGCGGGTCGACATGAGGACACTTACAATTATTGATACAGATTTCACCTATGCTGAAACGGAGAAGGGTGGTACGGCCGTGCCCTATGGTTCTGCTGGTGATTGCTTCTCTGCAAATACGAGCGACTGCAGACGTGGAAAATTCATGATCGATCTTTCTGGGACTGGACTACGTGTGGCAGACGGGGTTTCTTGGGGGGTTGCATCTAACACTCCCGGATTCAAAATGCAAGATTTCTCAAATCATCAAGGAATCTTGATACAGTCTAAATGTGGTGGATGGTGTGGACATTGTCATCCTTCAACCGCCTTGAAACTAGATCTCGTAACTTGCAAAGTCAGACCAAGTATGTTGTTTATTTTTTTGCCAGTTCTCTTCACTACATAATGCCGAATTATTTTCTACCAGATTACAAAATAGCCTCTTGGATAAATCACATTACAAATCCAGGAGGAGCAACGTTCACTCGAGCTAACCCCCTACCTTGCGGTTAAAGAGCATGCTTTTTTAAATAAAAAGCGGGGTTGGTTGATTCATTAGAATATTTTTGCATTTTCATTTACCAAATAGTACATTTACTGGTTCAGTTAACGACCTTTCATTACATTAAATGGTTGTTATTCGCCTATTCCTTGATCTTGTTCAGTTACAATCGGAAAGGAAGCATACTATGAAACCGCTCGCAAAATTAGTCGCCATGAGAGGCAGACAGGCATAGCTTTCCCAGGAGGCTGTTACTGATATTAACGAGGCCCGTTGGGTGAATACAGATAGGAGGCTGGACCTCGGATGCGTTTTCATCCAAGCCTCCCTTGCTTGTCCGCCACTGATCATCAGCCACATCCTTGTTGTAGTCAGAGTCCTACAATATATCAAAGTGGCTATTGCTTTCGAACCTTGTAACATTGTGTTGTAGTAAAACATGATTAATATCTTCACTACATTCGACATAAAAGAGATCAGCCCCATCAGCCTACCACTCTCTTGATTTTACCATTCTGTTTCCCAAATCATTCTTCAATCAATATTGCATCTTTCCTCGTCGAACTGCATTTTTCTTGCTAACTCCCATTCACACAAGGCCTGGTTGTTGTCAGTGTTGAATTTTCTAACAAGATATCAAATAAAAGCGTGCTACAATGATAATCTGCTTTATCGATCATTTACAGCGGTAATCTTTTCTTTAAAAAATCCCTCTTTCCTCACGAGAAAGTTGTAAGTACGTATCTATCCCGTTTGCAGCCCTGTGTTCTGCTGTCCAATGTCCGTATTACGCAAACTGCAAAAATCTCGAAGAAGGATTTCAATGTGAATGCCCTACAGAATGTCCAAAAACCCGGCTTAAAGTTTGCGGTACTGATGGAAGAACGTATATTAACGAGTGTGAATTGCAGAAAGAGTCCTGTATTACAAAGCGGTGGATATATGTCAAATCACTTGGTGCATGCGGTAAGTGTTAGCTTAACCATCGTATATCAAAGCCAATAAAAGGCTGGAAACTGTGAAACAAAGTAAATAGGAGTAGTCCGCATGTATATTGCTAGTACACTTGTGTGCGACTCAGCAATGATTGGCAATTGCGAAGAAGAGTGAACCGCACCAATCCGCGTTGATCTGCGAGTATCTTTTAGTTAGACTAATCATTAGCTAGAAAGTGTGAAACAAGTCTAATCAAAGTAACTCATGTGTATATTGCGAGCATCTTTGAATGGATCGAAGTGAAAGTACAATGCCTGCCAAAAGTACTTGGAACACCCACCAATTTGCATTGCATTTTATATCTTTCATTCCTTTTCCGAAAAAAATTACTACTTCCGCCCCTTCCTCCTAGAACAATGTTGATGATTTAGCGAAATATCATAAAAGAAGCGCAAAAGAATGTGCTTCCTAGAATCCTTACCCGTTTCATAGTAAACCAACATTGTTCCGTGGGATTGATTCTGACCTTGAAAACTGACGTTAGTGTTCCGAGACTTTTGGCAGGCATTGTAGATCTTGATCCCAGTGATTTTTATTGTCGTTTGCAGCATCCAGATTTTTAACTGCATCCATTTGTGTCACATATAACGTGTTTTTTGTTGAACGATAAAAATCATTATCAAAGGCGCAAGAGATCAATTTTAACAGAAAAAAACTATAGATGAACCTGGCTAATAAATATGACTGTTCCTAAAAAAGCTTAGTTGACTCTTCATGACCCTAACTTTGTGTTGTGAGTCCCATGCAACGTAAATTATTTGCAAGAATTTACGTTTTGCTCTGTAGACACAAGTATGTGCTCCACGAAAGAATGCAAATTCTATGGAATCTGCGTTGAAGAACGCCCAGGCCAAGCAAAATGCGTTTGTCATCATCAATGTGAAAAGACTTTTGTGCCAGTCTGTGGCTCAGATCAGGTCACCTATCCAAATGAATGCACAATGAAGGAAATATCATGTAAACAAAGGCAACTCATTTCTGTGCGAAGCAAAGGATTTTGCGGTAGGTTAAAATGGTTTTCCTTTTAATTCAGTTATGTTTTTATCTACCAGGAGGACTCAAATTCACTATTAAGGAGAAAACAAAAGTAGAAGAAAACAACGACTCTGCAAAAGCAATTCAAATAAAAATTAAAAAGTGATGCTTATGTTATTTCAAATTTGAGTTTCAATAGCCATCTGAAGTGCCAAAGTGCCATCTACCAAGTAGATAGATTTTTCCTTAAAGTGCCTGTGTGCTTCAGTAGTTTGAGGACTAGCGTAATTAAAAATCTTATTGGCAACCCTCAATCCTCTTCTGCAGAAGTAATTCTGGCAATAATCCTACTCTCCCATACTAAGTAAAAAAACTACAAATTCTCCATTAATTCTACCCAGGGGCGGACACTTAGTCAAATATTAGGTGGGGGCAAGCCTGTTGTCTTGAAAAGCTACCGTCACATTTTTCTATGGTTTTAGAACAAAAGACCATTGTCTTCCAAAATATTGGATGGGGAGGGGGGTGACCATCCCCTCGCTTCCAGGTGTCCGTTACTGATTCTATTCAATCTAAATATCTTTCAGTTTACTCAGCAAACTATGGTTTGAGAATGGACCTTGCATTTGCTGTCGGTGCATATGGACCAGATGCCGATGCTATACTAACGAAGCAGAAAGAATTCATAAGAACATTTGTACAATCGTTTCGATATCTTATAGCCAATGGTCGTATGAGAATTGCTATCATTAGCTATGATAATGATGCTAAAGTCGTGAAAAATTTCGATCAAATATACTCTGCAGACCGAATAGAGAGATTACTTGGCAATATAAAGCTAACCAGGGAAGGTGCAAGGGTAGATTCCGCGTTTTATATAGCTGCTAGGGACGTTTTCAGCCAGTCTGATAGTGTACAGCGGAAGATGATGTTACTGTTCACTGATGCAACCTCCTTTCACGATCAACGAGGACTACGAACCTCAATGGAATCACTGAGTTTGCAAGGGGTGAATGTTGTTGCATTTGGCACGGGAAACAAGGTCAGGCTCGCTAGCCTTGTGAAAATGGCGTCGTCAGCTGCTGATGTAATTGTGGCAGAGACCTCCAAAACGATGATGTATTACTTCTATGCATTCTACAGAAGGCTTCTACAAAGTAAGTTTTTTATCAAAGCTTTCAAGCTTTAATGCAAAATATAATCTAAGATTAAGCATTTTAAGAGGTTCGCTATTCTGAAGTATTCGTTAAGGTTTGCTTTATGAAATCAAAAGAAAATATATTGGGCTGTTCAACTTTGTATGTAATGGTGCTCTCAAATGATACTCTATATATTACAATAGACAACACGCGGTTGCCTTTTCACAAGAAAATAATAAGTTATGTTTAGAAAATTGGTAAACAGACCCTAATGTTGGATATTGATGCTTGTTTGGCGATCGATCTTAGAAGCCAATCCAGATTCTTAAGACAACATTCAAAAGAGATGCTAGCCAGATTCATTTCATTTACATGTATATTTAAAAAAACTAAATTTTCCCCATGATTTCCAGAAGTTAATCAGGGTTTTTTATTTTCCAAGCTTTTTGAAACCCCATATCCAGTGATTTGAAAACTGCGTGACACCCTAAAGCAGTTTCCGAAAACTTAAAGACTCATTGCTAACAATGAGCCTTTGCGAGGGTGGCAAATTATCCAGGCGACAATCCAAACAATGGCAGTAAACTTCTACGGATTAACCATAATTGATTTCAGACTGTCTGCAAATGCATTATGGGATGCTTGCGTAGAGCAATGGCTCATTGTTAGCAATGAGTCTTTAAGATGTTAATGTGGTTAAGATGTTAATAAGAGAAAATGTCTGACTGGAATTTCTCTGCCCACAGCAAAGGTCTAAGTATGCTTATTGGTACACATCGAACTCATTACTTACTTCTTTTGTAGCATCCTGTAAAAAGGTGACATGCCATTATGGGTCAACCTGTGTTCCAAACATTGATGGCACAGCCAAATGCGAATGCCTGGATCAATGTGGATCAGAGCTTGATGCTCTCTGTGGCAGTGATGGAAGAACCTATGCAAATTTGTGCTTAATGAAATTTGAAAGTTGTACAACGAAACGTGAAATTACGGTCTTGAGGAAAGGATTTTGTGGTGAGATATTCCTAGCCATGCTTTGATGGATAATGATTCTGTTGAATATAGGGATACGTGTATTTAGTTAGATTATCAATCAAGGAACTTTTTAACAGAGAAGTTTTTTCCCACGACCATTTTTATACTGTTACCGAAGAGAGTTCAGATTTTTCCAAGACTACAAACTTAATATATTAGAGGTTAATCTAGGTCAGTCTGGAAAATGCTAACCGGCCATGATAACCTTAGCTAACTTTTTTATCTGAGCAAACTACGATGAGGCTGATCCGAATGGATCAGTTTAATCCTAAGTAGCGTGGCTAAACTAAGCTATTTTTATCAATCCAAGCCACTACGACGTAACTATACAGACCAATAAAAGTTACTGCACCTAAGTGATAGCCCAGAAATATCAGGCTTCTGGAAGTGGAAGTTACCCATTATTATTGTTATCTAAACCCCTTTGACTTTGACGTTTGTAGCCGTAACCTTTTATGTTTTCCATCTTTCTTTGCAGCTGTTGTAAAGGAAGCTGATATTTTCTTCGCAATTGATATTTCCCGGACTAAACAATCCCTAAGACGGGTTAAAGACTTCATTGTTGAGTCATTACAACCTTTCGAATTTTCAAAAGAGGGAGTTCGAGTTGCTTTGCTCACCTATAGCAGCACTGCCAAATTTGCCTTATCATTTCGTGATGGTGTCTCCAAAAAGGCAGTTGAGGACGCTGTTAAAGACATTACACCAAGAGAGGGTGGCAGACGCGTTGATATTGCCTTGTACCAGTCTGTTGTCGACTGGAGACGAGGGTTACCCAGGAATGCTGTAGTTTTTGTAGATGGTTCCGTGACCCGCAATTTGGCCTACCTACGACAAATGATACGTTATCTGAACCGACGAGGTTTAGTGATAAATTTCATTGCTACCTCAACTGTGAACAGAGATTTCATAGAGGCAGTCACAACTGAAAAATCGAAAGTTCACGTTTTGCGACCCGGAGAGAACTTGAATCGATATCTTCATCTTGTGATTCCCCGGCAATCTAAATTAGGTATGGATCACGAGCTATTCTCTTTTGAATGCTACGCAATGTTTATATCAAGATAAAATTTACTGATTAATCGATAAAATTTTTAATGAAATTTAGGTCCTTTTTTGATGACTAAATTTTGCTGTTGATTTGAGTTACTGCAAAATCGAGCAATTTGAAGCTTAATCGAATTTTAATTGAAAATTGATATTCGGCGATAATTGAAAAGGATTTGAATTTGAACTTTTCATTACTGAAGAACTCTTTTGCTACGCAGTTAGTTTATCCATACACCATGTCAGCGTGAAAAACATTTAAAATTTGCACGGATTTCAATTTTTTAATTTCTTTGAAAAGAGCCAAATTTTTTGCGTCAAAATTTCATCATGAAGGCAGTGATTAGTTTAATTTATTTTATTTATAAGAACATCTACTGATGTTTTCTACAGACTGCCTGTTTGAAAAGCTAATGTGTGGGTATTCCAAATCAGTAAAAATCATTCAAAAGAGACGTATGGTTTTGAAGGGTTATCTACGCAATCATTTTCCAATTTTAAGTATCCTTGCAAAATTAGAAGGTCGTATGTGCTTAGAGTAAATGAGCTCTGTTGCTCTTTTTACACGGGCCTTGGCAACGAGGTTCTTGTATTCTGTTTTGGTTCCAGCTCTATCTGTAAGGTTGACATGGAATCAACACCATTAATATCATCATCTGATTTTTACCATATGACAGGAACAGTGCCGATGATATAGAGCAATGACTACTTAGATTGACTTAAAGTTCTGTATGATGTCTGTATGATGTATGATGAATGTATGATGTAAATCTATATATATAAAAATATGGCTCAATGTAATATACTTAAGGCTACTAATGAAGTATTTAAAAATTCAATTTTAATATTTCAAGGCAAAGCTTTGAATTAGATATTTGGCACTGGGTTTGCATAAGTTGTCGAGTTACCTACCTATCTTATTCAACTACGTTTTCAGTTTCATTTTATTTATGTGCTCCAAGGACACTCATATTATTCATAAACACTAGCAAGTATAAATGTGAAAGAAACGCCCCAATGTTGAATTGTAATTTATAGATCCGTCCTTTTCTTTTACGTTCAGAATTTACTTCTATTTTTTTTATTCAAGGTCAATACGACTTTGTAATGGCTTTTGGTGGAGCCGTTAGCAGACAAGAATTCAGCGCTCAGAAGAAATTGATCAAAGCTTTAATCGGAAACTTTGAAATTTCACCAAGAGGAACACGTGTCGGCCTAATTCATTATGGAAACGATGCAACTCTCATTCAATCACTGAAGGATTCGTACTATGCATATACGACGCTTCCTTTAATAGACCGCCTTCAGCATGGTTTTCCAGGTTCAAATTTGGTAAAGGTATTTACAATCGCTAACCAGATGTACAGCAGTGAAAAGGGTGCTCGGTCAGAATCAGAAAAACTGTTCTTGGTATTTGCTGATAACTTCAGAGAAGCAGATGTAGCCGTCTTACAGAAATTGGCGTATTCGCTACTTGCAAAAAATGTCAGGGTTATAATGGTTGGTTTTGCGGGATATATTGAAGTTGCAGCAGTCAGAAAGTTGCTGGGCAGCGGGCGAAATCCAGTTCTGGTGAATAGCAATGATCAGCTAAATGATGCCTACATTATAAATAAGATAATGGAGCAAATAAAACCAGGTATTCCTATCAGTTTTAGTGCTAATAACATTTTGATCATGCTTATTCCAGTTCTTTTTTCTAACGCTGGTAGGTGTAGTTTAGCATGGTTAACCCTTGAAAACTTTATGTCCTTCTCGGAGAATTATTATCTCGGAGAAAATTATGGAGGCTTCAGGAGTGTAACAGTTTGTTCAAACCGATGTTAATCTGCAGCATGCTGATACTGAATTCTTGTATAACAGTCTATATTTTTCCTTGCTAGCTTTGATTTTTAAAAATTCGATAACTAAGGGCCCTCGATCAAAAACGCCCCCGATCAAAAAGGGCTCCAAAAGCTCATCTTGCTTTCAAAAATTTGAAAGTTCTTGAACGGAGGTAACTAAGTCCCCCTCCCTCTAATTAACGATCACTTTTACATCTTGCTACTGTGTTTGACATGCTCTACACCCTTGGATGCGATTTTCTTTCATTCCGTAAATCAGAGTCCCCTCATAGTATTTTCCTTAGGGTCACAGATGCCCTTAATCTTGATAGATAAGTACAAAAATGAAAATTATGAATAAATGCAATTGTAGCATACTTTTGATATCCTTAAACTTGCTGACTCTATTTTTATCCAACATTTTTCCAGATCCTTGCGAAAAAGTAAGTTGCAAGTTCTATGGAACATGTCATTTGGCTGATGGTTCTCCTATATGCAGCTGTTTAGATCTTTGCGATGAGGATGATTCAAGTATGGTTTGCGGAAATGACGGACGAACCTACGTCAACCGCTGTTTTTTGCAGCTTCGAGCTTGTAGTTCAAAACGTGATATAAAGGTCATCAAAAAAGGCTCTTGTGGTAAATTTCTTTTCTGTTACTTATCATTTCTGATTTATCGATAAACTTGGCTTTAAGAGACTCAGTGCGATTTAAAGTTCTTTATCTCAGTGCAATTTAAGAGGTTTGGCTTTAAGAGACTCAGATCAATTTAAAGTTTTTAAAAATGTCCAGCATTAGACCTATAGTTCTGCAATAGAAAATAATCTTTTGTCAGTAGCTAGCGATCTGCAAAATACAAATGGATTTTATTCCTAGGAAATATTGAAAAACCTCACATTCCCTTTAGTTTTGTCACTTTTAAAGCAGTAAGAGCACTGCTGAAGTTGTTTTAAATAAAGGAAATATAAATTTGTTTGCTTTCAGGTATTGAAGGCGCAAATGACGTCATCGCAGTTATAGATGTATCTAAAAAGGTGAATCCAAAGCTGTTGGAAAAAGTCAAAAACGTCTTCAAACTTTTGGCTGATCAATATGAAATAGGCCCAACAAAGACAAGGTTTGGTGTAGTTTCTTACAGTAGCTCTCCAACGACAACCCTCGATTTAAATGAAGGAACACAGAGATCAACTATTGGCAACATCATAACTGCATTGAAGCTCCAATCCGAAAGTCCACGGCTCAGTGTAGCTCTTCAAAGTGTTATCAGAATTTTGCTTAGCCGCAGTTATACGGAACCCTCGAGGCGAAACGTCCCTGTAAAAGTCATTATATTTTCATCAGATTTAACTGAAGATGCCATAGAGCGTGCTGCAAAATCGTTAGAGGATATAGCGAAACAAAATGTCGATTTATTCTTTTTGGCAATAAGCAACAACTACGAAGCCAGAGACGATGCTATTTCAGCACTTCCTAACGCTGTCAATGTGATTTCAAGTTCAGAGGATGAATTGTTCGGCGAACCTTTTACTACCCTGGTGAACAGAGTATCAGAGAAATCAGGTATGCTTACCAAATTCTACAGATCTCATTGACACAAAGTTTGATCTATTGGAATTTAATTTACTCAATACATCCCCTTTTGGTTCCTGCAATTTTATTGACTCAATACCTGGACCTCATAGTATATGTTATAGCTACCCAGTGCAATCATCTCCATCCAGCTAGAGCCCTTTCCACTATAGTAATTTGCAATTATAAAAATTACTTTTCAACGCAAGATTCATAATCCTTTTACAGCTGCTGCAGAGAAACTGGACCTTGGTTTTATTATCGGTGGATCCCACGGTCAACGTGGTGGAGATTTCTATTTGCAAAAAGAGATTGCAAAAGAGATCGTTAAATCGTTTTCAATATCAAAAGACGCGGTACGAGTAGCTGTTGTTCTTTATGGGGTCACCACAGCCTTTCCTGTTCGTCTTGGATCTTATAATACACTAACCAGCGTGCAGAGAGCAATTGACAATGTGCGACTTGGTTCTCCTGGCAATAATTTAAAGCAAGCGTTGCAAGTTGCCCAGTCGTATATGTTTTCTTCACGATACGGTGGTAGACCAGGTGTCCCAAAAATTCTGATTGTCTTTTACAACAAGCCAATCGAGCCAGGTGCTTTCGTTGTGGCTAAGCAGCTACTTGACCAAGGCTACAAAGTGGCAAGTATCGGTATTGGCCAGGAATCGAGAATTGAAGATGGAAGTAAACTAACAGGAACCGGGACATTAGCTGCCTCTGTCAAGGCCGTAACTGATGCAAAGCAAGTGGCTCAGGTCATTGCAGTTCTGATTCGACCCGGTATGAAAGTCTAGAGACAAGTCTAGTGTCTCATATTTACGAATGATTATTCAGTCTCACCGGGCAGATTATTTGCTCGTGCTTTTGATAGTTGTACCATTTGGGTTCCTTTAAAATTTTATTCGGGTTCAGGTTTAAGCGTGAAGTTAAGGGCAAACCGTAAGAGTTTTTGCCAAGCATATGCTGTCACATCTATTTAATCATGATGCATTTATTTTAATTTTACTCAAGAAATTTTTAATCTTATTCATCAGTCAAGTATTGAAAAAAAAGATTACCGATTTCGCAACTTTTTTACTTCAACATTTGTTTCCTTAAAGTCGAAATTTCTTAGAATTAATGCAAAAGAAATGAATGTAATCACCACATCTGTTTTTATGTTGTAGAACCTTGCTCAGAGCTCAAGTGTGAGCATTATGGAAAATGCTTCACTAAACCTGGATATACAGCTAATTGCATATGCCCGTATTGCAATTACGAGAAGGACTTGAAACCAGTCTGTGGCAGTGACGGCCTAACCTACGCATCGGATTGTCACCTGCGTGCCTCGAGCTGTCACAGGAAAACACATGTCACGGTTGCGAGAAATTCTTCTTGCGGTAGGTTTCCTTTTTTATCATAGGTTTTCATCAAAGTTGAATTAGGAGTCTGTGTAAAGAACAGGGTTTGAATTCAAAGGTAGGTTTGGAAGATTTTTCAGAGTTAAAAATCATCGTCGAAATCGTCGCCATCAAGCTTCCGCTGTTTATTATCTCCGACTCTTCTTTTTCTGCATTGTATCCTGGTGAAACTGGAAGACATTTTGAGATGCCATTGTTAGAAATATGCAGTGTTGATGTTCTATGCCATGATCCTTTCTTTTTCATAAATCTGCTTATATAGAAAGCCAGTCTTTTCAGTATAAGATGTATGTGTTATTGTATAGTGTCTGCAGTAATTGCAAATTGCTGTTAAAAAAAAATTGATACAAAATGAAAATCAGTGACTTATTTTCGAAACCTTATAAACTGTTTCCGCTTTATTTGTAAGTAGGGAACTTTTTTGCAGATATCCAAACGCCAGTGGACCTTTTCATCCTTGCTGACACGTCTCAAGATATACCCCAAAGCACTTTCGACAGAATAAGAGACTTTATTGAAAGTATCGGGAGAGTATATGTTGATTCGAATGGCAAAGTTAGGGTGTCAATAATTGGATATGGGGAGACATCAAAAGTTATTCTTCCAATAAAGCAGGGAACCTCGCTGATGGCTCTACGTATGGGTATGAAGAGTTTTATCCAAACCAAAGACGAACGAAAACTCGGAGATGCCTTAGAAAATGTGAGGAATATCATACAGGGAGATGGTGACGTCAGAAGAAATGCAGAAAATGTTGTGCTTGTCATGGCAGCTGGTAAGAACTCTATTGCCGATTCAACTAAAATGTCAACTGAGGCAGATATACTTAAGCGTGCTGGGATTCCTATTGCAGCAATCGGTATTGGAAGAGCTGCTAAGGAAGATGCGTTCTTATCCATTGCTAGCAGCCCGAGAAACGCCTTTAAAGTAGACAATGCTGATGATATATGGAATGTGATGTCTGATGTCTCAAGGTTGGTAGGAGTAGCTAAAAAATTCAGCCACAAGCTTGACCTTGGTTTCATATTGGGAGCAGATAAATTAGAGTCACCGGACGATTTTGATATGGGGAAGAGCCTTATTGTTGAGATGTTGAAAAGCATTGAGGTCTCACCCGACGCTTCCCGTATTGCATTGATTGTATATGGCAGTGAAGCTAAAGTTGTATTTCCGCTCAATATCGTCATTAACCGCGAAGCTGCTATACAACGCGTCGAAGCATTGAAGAGGCCAGATGGCTCTTCTGGTTTGAGCAAAGCCATAGAGCTAAGCAGACAAGTCATGAACGCAGAGATCAGTGACAGGGAAGGAATCCCAAAGACTGTTATAATTTTGACTAACAATGGCATAGATACTTCAGCTCGATTAGCTGCCTCGCTGTTGATTGCTGATGGCATAAAAGTCAAAGGCGTCATGATTGGTAAGCAAGGAACACAAGATGAAATCCGCAGTATTACAACAAAGCCTAGCGATGCTGTTCAGCTGCTAGACAGTGCTGGAATAAACACACTTGCAACTGCTTTGCTCAGCTCGTTGTTACCAGGTTCGTTTCTATAGAAACATCATAGTGTTTTTTGCATAGCGTCGTTGAATCTCCTCAGAGCTGGATTCATTCGCAAACTTGCTTTCGATATGTTACCATAATAATTCAGTCAAGGCCCCTCCCGAATTAAACAATCTCTCTAATAAACTCTCTCTCTAATAAACTCTCTTGAGATCTTAAATCTTTGAATAAGCCCCTTCCCTCGAATATGCCGTCCCCAAATATCATGTCAAATTCATTGAAAAAGAAACTGAAAATAATGAAATAGACTTAAGACTGATATAGACTAATTTCAAAATCTACTAGTGCCTTGTAATTTTTTTAAATAAGTTTTTATAAACTAAAACAATTCTTTTGAGTGACGAATTTGCTTAAGTCCCTTTTCGAATACGCCCCCTCCGGGCCTTAATCGAATTATTACGACGATTGTATTTTTAACACCTACCCCTTTACTACCAAATTTGGGCAATTTTTGGCAACGCATTCGATTCAAAACTTGGATTCGGTTTGAAATCATAAATTTGCTTTCAATTTAAATCGATGGTATATTGCAATTACTACAACCGACAAATGCCACTGCAGCCAACAGAATTTCTGCATACGCAGGTGCACTTCAATCAAGGCTACATCTTTTTTTTACTCCAAAGTAACAGAAAACTTCTCGTTTAAGCGCTTCTTGTTTCATGTTGTATAACGGTAGTACAATATTTCATTCCTTGTAGACCCATGTGACAAAGTCAAATGCTTATATGGTGGAAAATGTCAAATTGGCACAGATAAATCTGCTCGATGTGTGTGCAAAAAATGTGACATTTCTCCAAGGATGAAACCAATATGTGGAGACGATGGAAAGACATACTCCTCGTACTGTCATCTTAAATTTGCCAGTTGTACAGAGAGTAGAGCTAATAATGTTCTAAAATACGAGCCATGTGGTAAGTGTTTATGCAAAGACTCACAATTACCCTATTTGGTATTGTCACCTCTTTCTTGTCATAGTGTATTAAATCAAACACCTGAGTTTTGAGCGAAATGTCTACAAAGTAGAGCAACCGTAATATCTTGTTAGTTATCAGCTTCCGAATGGTCTTACAACCATGCATTTTCGCTAACTATTATTTTTCTGCCTTTAATACAAATCAATTAATTATCAACTTGCAATTACAAACTGCAAAGGTGGCTTTTAGCAACAATACATGGTTAAAACTACTGTTGTAACCCAAGACTGAAAACGTTTTTTTCAAATTTCGCTACTTCTGACAAAAGTTCCAACCATCAAGTTGCTTTATCTCATCCGATTTTTGTATAGATTCAAGATTGAATATAGGGTCCTGATCATGAAGTAACCGTTGTCGATATTTTATTACTGTGTTTAAGAAATTTTGGGAAGGTCCCTCATTTTTCATTGCATCGCAACCCTGGGGCTGTCATATTTGATCAAAAACAAGACGAGAAAAAATTTCTTAAAAAATTTTCAAATTAGTCTAATTTGTTATTTTTTGTTCTTAATGCAAATTTGTTCGGTGCAGGACTTTTAAGGCCGATTGATTTGTTCTATCTGCTGGACACCTCTGGAGATGTTAGTAGCCGCTCTCTAGAAGTCATGAAACGTTTCATTCTACAGCAAGGTGGAATTTATAATATTTCCCGAGATGGTACCCGGGTCTCAGTGGTGACATATGATAACACTGCAAAAGTCTTGCTGACGGTAGAGCAAGGCAATAGCATTTCTGCTCTGAAATTGGCGTTGGATCAAGTAAGAAGTACGGACAGACCAAGAAACATTGTGAGTGCTTTGCGACTTGTGGAAGAGAGGATAAGAAGAAAAGAAGACGGTTTAAGAGACCATGTTGCCAAGGTTTTAGTTGTTTTTCTAAACGGTAGAAGTGCTGCTCCGTCTAAGGATGAAATAAAGTCTCAGGTAAGTAAATTAGGTCAGTTAGGTGTTCACTTAGTTGTTATAGGCATTGGGAAGAATATTGCAAAGGAAGATGCTGAAGATCTCGTCATTAGGCCTGAAAACCTTGTGCTTGTAAAGGAGCCTGAAGAAATCTTTGGTGCTTCCCCTGTCATATCAACTGTAGCAACTTCCGGGGGAGTTTCTCGTGAAATGGAAGTTGGCTTCATATTGGGTGCCGATGGACCAAACTCCTTAACCGACTTTGCACTGGGAAGGAATGCCGTCCAGCGAATCATAGATAAACTTGACATTGGAGTTGGTAAAGTACAGGTTGGCCTTGCTGTGTATGGTAATGAGGAAGGCTTCTTCTTAAAGCTCAGTCCGGAAAATAATCGAGACACGGTGATTAGAACTATTGACAATGTTGCTTTACCGAATGACGAATTATCAAAAGAGACCTCAATTGAACTATCAGCCAATTATGTTTACAATAAGCTTTTTGAAGGAAAGGACGGCGTGGCAAAAACTGCAGTGATTTTCGTCAATGGATTTATTGACAATTCTGTCAGAAATATAGTCCAAAGATTGCAGTCTAAAGGAGTTAGAATAATTGGGGTTGCTTTAGGAGAACAGGTTAATGTAGAACTTATAAGACCCATTGCTAGAGCTGGTGTATTTAAAGTCGGTCGTATTGAAGATGTCGGCAAGGATATAAAGCCTATTGTATCTGCAATTATGCCAGGTGAGTTATAAGACTTATTCGACCATTTAGTAAAAGACATGCCTAAATGACATTTTTGTTATAAGTTCATTGGGAATGATGTCACGAGTGAGTGGCAATAGGGGCAATAAAGCAGGTTTTACAATTGCTATAAGTTAATGCAGGAAAAGTTGGGTTGTATTTATAAATATTAACCAATAGAAATTTGATAAATATTAACCAATAGAAATTTGATAAGTATCAACCAAAAGAGTCCCGTCAGTCAACCGTCTAGAGATAAAAATAGGCTCTGCAGCGCGTTTATGCTCGGGAAAGCATTGAGAATTAGCCAATTGGATACGTAACAATTAGCCTATTGTGTAGTCCAACCAATGGGACGTTTAAATGGTAAGTGAAATGCGTTAGAAATAGTACCTTTTAGAAAAACCTTAGACGTAAAAATTTATCTTATGGTTCTGTCTATTGCAACCTCCCTTATCAAATTTATTGAAAGTTCAAATGAAGCTATCACGGAACCGGTCGGTAATAATTGAAAGAGTGACGTCATTTTACATTTCCAAGATTATCTTGCTTTCGACAATGTTTACAGAATTATCTTTTTAAAGAGATCTATCTTATACCAGATTTTGCAACCTTGTTTTAGAATCCTGTGCTCGGAAGCAGTGTAGTTACAATGCCCAATGCTTTACACGGCTAGATGGAAGCGGGGAATGTTTCTGTCCAGTATGTGACAGCAATGTCCAGATGAAAGCCGTCTGTGGAACAGACAGAAGGACCTACGCATCTTATTGTCACCTGAAGTACTTCAGTTGCCAAATGAAGAGAAAGATTTCCTTGCTGAAAGAAGAGCCATGTGGTAAAAATGAACTTTACTATAATAAGGCTATTTCATTAGTTTACTTTCGTAAATTGCAGCCTTCAAGTTTGTTTTCGTTATTGTAGCCTAAATCTTTTTCTCTTTTTCTCAGATGTAAGGCAAAATATTCGTTATTGACGTTTCGTAGAAACTTTCGAAATAATAATAAAAGGCATTAAGTGGAGATACTTTCCCGTGATACAGAAATATTTGACCACATTCATCAACTATGTGTTTTGATAAAAGACAATTGGAAAATGATAAGACATTAAAAATTATAGAATTTAGAAGCCCACGTCTACATCCTTATAAGATTTCTTGTATCAGAATGTCTGTACTTATATCAGAAGCATTAGTATATTTGTTTAATGGACTTGTTTAGTAATTTGAAATGTAGCAGTTGTTAGAGTAATTGTGTTTATTTCTAGTGTATTAGAGGGAATTCAATTTTTTCTAGGTACTGAAAAACCTGTTGAGCTTTTCTTTTTGGTGGATACGTCGAAAAATGTCGGTCAAGATGATATAGATGCTATTAAGAATTTCATTATGCAGCAAGGAAAGGTATACAGTCTTTCGAAGGATGGAGTAAGGGCAGCTGTCATTTCTTATGGTGCTACTGCCAAAAATGTGCTTCAGATAAACAAAGGCATATCTCTGACAGCACTAAGAACTGCGTTGAACCAACTGAAGCAGACGAGCGAGAGTAGGCGCCCCGAAGAGGCTTTACGAAGGGTGAAGGACATTATTGTCAACAACAAAGATGATGTCCGACAGTATGCAGGAAAAGTAGCGATTCTCATAATCTCTGGTGGCAAGGCAACATCTGACATCAATTTGTTGAGTTCAGAAGCACGTGCCTTATATCGTGCAGGTGTAAATATTGCAGTGATTTTAGTTGGGTCCGATCTACGGAAAGAAGATCTAAAGACGATTGCTGCCCGTCCAGACAGCATAATTGATGTCACTTCATCAGATCAGCTGTCAGATATGACTTCAGCAATATCTGATACAGTGCACAGTACTGCTAGGCTTGAAAAACCTCTCGATCTTGTGTTCATCATTGGAACTAAAGGGCCTGATGCACTGGCTGACTTTGTAATTGGAAAAGACACAATCAAGGGGATTTTAGAGCGACTAGAAATCTCGAAGGACAAAATCCGGATCGGACTTATCGTATATGGAAAAGGAACAAGACTTCCAATAAGACTAGATGGAGACTTTAGCAGAGACAGTGCTGTAGAGATTGTAGATCAATTATCTGATCTTGGACAAGGGTCTGCGTTAAGCGAAGCTATCGATATAAGCAGGATCTACACGTTCAACGAGTTGTACGGAGGCAGAAAAGCTGTTCCAAAAAGTGCCGTAATTTTAACGAATGAAAATATCAATCAAAAAGCTATTTTGGCAGCAGAGAGACTAAAAGAACGCGGAGTGCGAATAATAGGAGCTGCTATTGGTACGACGGGTGATGTGGAGTCCATGAAAGACATCACAAGTACTGGCGATAAAGCATTTGTCATTACAAAGCGTGATGACGTCAGAGAAAAAGTAAAGGAAATACTAGCGAGATTAATGCCAGGTATTCATGGTTTATTTATATTGATTTGCTTTAATCTTTACGAAAGGGGCAGCCATTCAGCACAGGGTCCTGGTTTTGAAGTACCTCGCCCTCTACCGATCACTGAAATTGTAACACCTGATCTGAGAATATATTGCCAAAAGAAAACCTTTATCACTGTGTAGTCAAACTCATTCCAGTTACATTGAGAAAAGGAAAAAGATTTACATTTTCTTGACTCAATTTTGTCTTTTTTAAGAAATTGCTTCTTGCTAAGTGAAGAAAGTTTAACTGATTCACGTTTTGATCCCAACAATTTCAAAATATGGCATACGTTTTATATAAAATTGAGAATAAGCAAACATGAATTTTTGTTCATGGAAATCTGATTCTGGCTATTTTCTTGGTTGCATCAACATAAATTCGTAGATTTAATGCGTCTATAGTATTTTTTGCTGGTCAAGTTGGGTATTAGTATCTGAAACATTGCTAAATAAGACATTCTTTTTCTGAGTAAATTTTTCAATAGCCTAACCATTTTATCGATACGTGCCTGTTATTCTGGTTCTTCAAGTAGCAAACAGGAAAAAGAAAAGGCAGTAAGGATTTATCACCGAATATATTTTCTTTAAAATCTTCTCGGTACCAAAATGCATTTTCTTATCTTGTTTTTTATTTTTCAATGCAAAGCATAGTAATAGGATATGTAGATAAACTATGTTGTATGTCTGAGTTTAAAGGATTTTTTTAAAGTACAAGCAATGTTCTTTTGAACAGATCCCTGCAAAGATGTCCAGTGCCTTCACAACGCTATTTGTAATTTGCGGAACGATGGAAGGACAGAATGCTTGTGCCCATTGTGTGACAAAGCCAACGTTAATAAAGTAGTATGTGGAGATGATGGGATAACATATGCTTCCTATTGCCACCTGAAATCTTCCAGTTGTCAAATGAAGAAAGTGGTCCGTTTGTTAAAGTATGGTGCATGTGGTAAGAAAAGAGAAGAAATGCATTTTCAGTTTTCTGTTCACAACTCATCACTGCTTCTCTTGAAATGTCATTTTAAAGTTTTCACAAAAATAGTTTTCAGGTTTTGGGGTGCTGGAATGGGGGTGTTGGGGCAGTAAACTGCATGGCCACATGCTTATTTTAAGTGTCAGTCAGGATGTTGCATTTTGGATTTGATTAACTAATAAGGTGCGGTCATGCTTTGAAGACATTCGATAAAATTAATTTAAGTAAAGCATGACGATTGTCATCAATCAGCAAGTTCTTGTGTAAAATGTTTTGAATGAAATGAAATATTTTATAGATATTTTTTCCAGGCATAGAAAAATAAAGTTATCAAGATAATTTTTAGCTACATTTTATTGATAAGCAATCGGGTGCATAAAATTCCATCAAAGGCGAAGTCTGATTGTTTGGTGACAGCATAAAAGAAAAATTTCATTGTTAAAAGAAAATGGGATCCCCTGAAAAAATATGATTCTGATAAGCCTTCATTTTTTCAAGGTGTTTCTAAACCAATTGATCTGTTCTACTTGGTTGACACATCAAATGGTGTATCGAATCCTGCTCTTGAGAAGATGAAAGATTTTGTCGTAAGTCAAGGAGAAGTTTTTAGCATGTCAAAGGACGGTGTTCGAGCATCTCTAATATCGTATGCAGTACAGCCCACAGTTCATTTAACAATAAATAACGGTATATCGCTAACGCGCCTTAAAGAGGCCGTTCAGCTGATGAAAAGGAGCGATGGATCAAGACACTTGGAGAAGGCACTGGCATCAGTGCGAGACATGATAAATAGTGGAAGAGAAGGAGGAAGAAGCGACGTCCCAAAAGTTGTTGTCGTTTTCTTGACTGGGAAAAATGCATATTCTGGGCTTAGGGAGCTGAACAAAGTAGTAGATGAACTTAGGCGAATGAGAGTTAATATCGTAGTCATTGGAATCGGATCAGAAGTAACTGATCGCGAACTTAGAGACATTGCAACAAGCCCCAGCAGTGTCAATAAAGTCATATCAGAAGAAAGATTGCAAGATGCGACAGCTGTAATATCTGGAGTGGTCATGAATTCGCCAGTTGTTTCCACTCGACTGGATTTAGGCTTTATTCTTGGCGAGAGCATGCCAAGCGAAAGTTTGCAGTTTGAGACAGCGAAGAAAATCATTTCCGAGATTTTGTGGAGGCTAGAAATCTCACCTGACAAGACTCGAGTCGGGGCTATCGTATACGGCTCTGATGCAGGTAGGATATTATCAATGGATCAATATTATGGTAAAAGTGGCGTCATTAGAAGAATAAAGAGTTTACCTTCACCATCAAGTGTTTCGGCTCTGTCTCTGGATGCGATGCAAAGAGCAATAAACCTTTTTGCAGCTCAGCCTGGAATGCGTAATGGTGTGCAAAAGACTGCTGTTATATTCATTAACAATAACTTAGACACCAAGACAAAACAGGCGCTGGAAAGACTTGTAAGTCAAGGAATTAAGGTTATTGCTGTCTATTTTGGTACAGAAAAGGATCCTCGCTACTTGGAAAGCTTGAGAAGCAAAGGTGCAAGCATTATAATTGCAGGGTCAGAACCAGATGCAAAAGGAATTGCTAATGATGCTGTTAAATCTGGGTTACCTGGTAAGTTTGACTCTGGAAGCTTTAGCTGTTATGGTTTTTTTATTTTGTTATCTTGAACCGTTCACCTGCTGCCTTATTGCTACAATCTAGCTACAGTTCTTCCTGTGATTATCTTTCGTGATAGAATGAGCTAAGTTTTTTTGCATAGGAACCTCACAACTCGTTTCTCTCTCAAAACGTTCCGTCAATAATACTGTACTTCATTTACTGTTCTTCAATCCTTACCTGTCTTAGGTATGGATTCATGAACTAAATTTATCATGTTAACGCTGCTATGACTCCATAAACCGACGATTTTTTCTTAATTGTACTCTTTTCTCATAGATTCTTGCTCAGGAATTAAATGTTACTTCAATGCTAAGTGCTATGGAAGACCTGATGGGACCAGCGAATGTGCCTGTCAGATGTGCGATTCTGATTTAGAAGGAACTCCTGTATGCGGGAATGATGGCAGAACATATTCTTCAAGTTGTCATCTAGAATACACCAGTTGTTCTCTGAAGAAAGACATCATTGTGGATATGAAGGCTCCTTGTGGTAAGGCAAAAATCTAATAGAGGCAGTCAATAAATACTTAGGTGGCTTGAGTGGCCAATTGGATAATATTTTGTTGACAGATAGCTCAGGCCACTTAAGTAACTGTCGAATGCCTTTAAACTGTATTTATCTACAAAAAATTGAATTCCATGATTTCGAGGAAACAATTGCCTTTGGTAGCTGTCATTGAAATATATTTGACGGTATGCGAGCGATATGAAGTTTACTTATCAAACTCTATATTTATCTAAGTTAGTTGCCCATGTATTCTGCGTTTGGCAGTTAAAGTGGTCATGTTTATAGTCTTACGTTGTTTCTGTAAATGCTGATACTTATCACATACCAAAATTAATTTTATTTGCTAATGAATTATAGAAGGGAGAGTCAATTGTACCTGGATGCGCAATGAAAAAGATAATATAGATCGCCTGACTGGGAAAATAGCCGTCAAAAGCTACTTCTGCTATTCTTAACCAATATGATTTACTTGAAAAGTGTTTTAGGACATAACTTCTTTCATATCATATGTTAAAAATTTTAGAAAGGGACCCTTGTTTATATTCTTTAAGCATTTGGAACCATGCAGTACGCCTGTTTCTTTATTGCATTTGTGATGGATAAAAAGTACCTTTAAACAGTATCTTAGGTTCTAAAAGGCAAAGTAAGAAAGATTATTTGGTAGTTTTGTCTCTTTAGTGTAATTATTTTTTCTGTTTTTTCTTACAAGAACTTAAAAAGTCAGTGGACATCTTTTACATGCTGGATGCATCAATGGACGTTTCTGACAATGAACTTGAAATGATGAAACAATACGTATTCAAACTGGGAAAATTATTTGGCATATCGAATGATAAAAGGATGTCAGTATTCTCTTATGGAAAAACAGCAAGAAATTACTTACCAATTAACCGTGGGACGTCAATTGAGCGACTTGAAAATGGAGTTAGAAAAATAACAAGTACCAAAGAGCCACGGCACATTGGAAAAGCGCTTATGGTTGTTTATGAATACATTGGTAGTGAAGTTGGAAGTGAAAAGAATGTCCCAAAGGCTGTTGTGCTCTTTGTAAAAGGGAAAAGCTCTACATCAGACCCAGTCGAGGTTACCTCAGCAGCTGAGAGCTTGAAAGCTGAACGGGTTGTTATTAGTGTTGTAGATATTGGAAAAAGTTTCAAAGAGGATGAATTGAATCAAATTGCTAGCAGCAAAGACAATGTTGCAAGAATCCAAACAACGGAGGATCTGCCCCTTGTAACTCCAATTGTATCCCAAGCCCTTGAAGGAAGCCCGAAATTTTCAGAGAAAATTGATCTTGTCTTTGTACTAGGAGCAAGCGAAGATGATAATTCCAGTCGATTTAATATTGGAAAATTGCTAATTCTCGAGTTGCTTAAAAGATTAGATCTTTCTTCTAGTAAAACGAAGATAGGGTTGGTTACATATGGAGCCGAAGCAAAAAAGATAGTAACTTTAAGCGATGAGCTTGATGCTGCCAAATTAAAGTCAATAATCGTAAACTTAGAGACTCCGCAACCAGGATTTGGATTACATAAAGCAATTATGTCTGCTAGAACAGAGATCTTCAGCAAGAAACTTGGTGCTAGATATGAGGTACCAAAGCGAGCAATAATACTTTTAGATAGAGATTTGCAGGGAAATTCTATTTTGGCTGTCGAGCGATTGAAACAAGCAGGTGTCAAAGTAATCGGAGTCGCGCTTAAAGAAGGCATGAATTTGCCAGAGTTGAAAGTTGTTTTATCTTCAAAGGATGCAATTTCAAAAGTAACCAAAAATGAAGAGATCCCACAATCAGTAGAAAGAATATTAAAGTCATTCCAGTCAGGTTTGTGATTCATTTCTATATCATGAAGAAATTGGTTTTTGTGATATTGGTATGATAAGGTAAAAGAAAGAAAGAATAATAAAAGCAATATTTTAATGTGAAACTATGTTTATTCGATATCAATCAAGTCAAAGTCTTAAGTCTTATAAATAAGTACAATAGCATCTACCTAGCTTTAGTGACTGCCAAAGGTTTTAGGAAGGTTTAAGCAAATTCTCAATACAATAGTTTAGAATTATCATCTGAACAGCAGTCTCGTTCCCAGTCAATTGGACTTTATGACATAACCAATCGTATATTTTTCAGTTCAATTTTCAACCAGTGAAGTATTTTGAACATCACTACTAAGAATGATTACGACAAGTTGACGTCAGACTTGGCATTTTTCCTCACGTCACGAAATTGTTATGTGTTGCAGTTGTAAATGATTTTGAATTAAGTAGATATCTTAAATTCTCAAATAAGTCTTCATCTACCATGAAGCACCCTCACCTAAATAAGCCCAAACCCTAAAAAAATTATTGTGAAATAGCCCGCCACCCTCAAGTAAGCTTCAAAGGGCTGCCGTATTGCCTCGAAAGCAATAAGATTATCCAAATATAAATTTTACCCAACTGACCAGCTTCAAAAATGGGAAGAAAATTTACCTTAAAAAATTTCTTGCTGCTCCTAGATATGCCCCCATTTTCGAATAAAACCTCCCCATCCCAAATGCCCCCATCTTAAAACATTTTCTTGGAAAAAAAGCCCTGGAGGCTTATTCAAGAACTAAAAGTTAATGCACTTTCTTTGGGCTATGCGTTGGCTACTGGCATCGGGTTCGTTCTTAGTAAGGCACTGTAAGGGGAATGCAATTTTTTATCTTAATGTTGTCGGGCATGAACCAGAAAATAAATATGTATAAATATATATAGTTTACGTTGAAGATGATTGTAAAATGAACTATTCTGGTGAAAAGGGACATTGGTTTTTTATACTCTTCTTACTGTTTACAGGTCCATGTGATAAGGTGAAATGTGAATATAACGCAAGGTGCCAGGTGAAGCAAGACCAAACAACCGAATGTGTTTGTCCTGATTGTGACAGCCAGTCTGAAGTAAATGCAGTATGCGGAAGTGACGGCAGGACATATGCTTCTTATTGCCATCTCAAATCAACAGTTTGTCGAACGAAGACATTAGTATCGTTGGTTAGCAAGAAAGCATGTGGTAAGGAGATTTTGGACATGTTCCTTTTCGTTTGTGGTTGAATATCGTCTTTTATCTGCGTAGCGTCATGAAAGACAGCATAGTTCTAAAACCGTAGTTTTATGACAGCTTATTGCTAGGTTGACATTATCAAATGAAAGGAATAAATCACGATTTTTTGTTTGCCAGTGATATTACCTAAATTGAAAAATGAAAGAAAAAATTGAACACACGTTTTTGGAGTTGAACGACTGTGTGCAAAAGTGTGATATCCTGGAATAAAAAAGAATTGCATGTACGGTTTAGGGTTATTATAGTATTATGGACGTTGAATATCAAAATGTTTTTAACTGTCTTCAATTGAAATAGCTGGACATAAGATACGAAAGTTATCAATTTATGATGTTTTTTCAGCTGTCACGGAGCCTGTAGATGTCTTCTATTTGTTGGACACATCGAAAGGAGTAACGAAGAATCAATTAGACAAAATGAGAGACTTTGTTACCCAGCAAGCAAAGGCGTACAACATATCGAGTGATGGTGTAAGGATATCGGTGCTTACGTATAGCAGCGATGCAAGGACTTTGTTGCCAGTTGGCCGAGGTACATCACCAGAGGCTTTGAAGAATGCTTTAGATGCTGCTGCGTTGACAGACAGTCCGAGACAAGTGGCTAATGCTCTTCAGTCGGTAAGGAGGACTATCGTCTACAAGACAGACGGCGTGAGGGATGATGCAGGAAAAGTAGTAGTGTTAATTGTTGCTGGTAGGAACGCACGATCTGGTTTGCCATATGTCAGATCGGAAGGAGATGCTCTGAAAGGAAGTGGAGCTAACGTTGTTGTGATTGGAATGGGCGACGACTTGGACGAAAACGAGATGAAATCTGTTGCAACTAAGCCAGATCGGTTTGTAAAGGTGAGCTCAGAAGACAAACTGTTGGACGCTGTTTCAGCAGTATCTGATTCGATAAGCGATACCCAGAAGAGTTCGTTGAAACTGGATTTGGGATTCATATTAGGAGCAGACGGTGTTAATGCGGAGAAGGACTTTGAGCTGGGAAAAGAAGCTATTAAGGAGATGTTGAGAAAGTTGGACATATCGAGCGAAAAGACACGATTCGGCTTGATTGTGTACGGACAAAGTGCTGGAATGGTATCACGACTGGATTCTGTTAATAGTTTGAAAGATGCTCTCAGTGTTGTTGATAAAGTTAAGATTCCTCGTAAAGGATTCGCTTTGAAAGAGGCGTTGGAAATGGCGCGGACGGACTTGTTCGACGCCCTATCTGGAGGGAGAAGAGATACTGACAAAACAGCAGTGATATTCGTTAATAAGGAGATGGATTCTGCATCGAAAGCTGCAGCTGAGGCGTTGAAAAAGGATGGTGTGAAGATATTGGCTGTTTCTTTAGGTGAAGCAGATGCTAGAGATTCACTGAGAGATGTTACAAGCACGGACAAGGATATAAAGCGAATCGCTAGAAGGAGTGATATCGATAAGTTGGCGAAAGACTTGGCATCTTCCCTGACGTCAGGTAATTGATATGTACTGCAGCTGTAACTGATTTGGTTTTACGTGTATGGATTTGTTTTCTGTGGGTTGAGTTTTCGCTACTGGATTCGGGTTCGTTCTTAGTAAGACACTGTAAGGGGAATGCAATTTCTTATCTTAATGTTGTCGGGCATGAACCAGAAAAAAAATATGTATAAATATATATAGTTTACGTTGAAGATGATTGTAAAATGAACTATTTTGATGAAAAGGGGCATTGGTTTTTTATACTCTTCTTACTGTTTACAGGTCCATGTGATAAGGTGAAATGTGAATATAACGCAAGGTGCCAGGTGAAGCAAGACCAAACAACCGAATGTGTTTGTCCTGATTGTGACAGCCAGTCTGAAGTAAATGCAGTATGCGGAAGTGACGGCAGGACATATGCTTCTTATTGCCATCTCAAATCAACAGTTTGTCGAACGAAGACATTAGTATCGTTGGTTAGCAAGAAAGCATGTGGTAAGGAGATTTTGGACATGTTCCTTTTCGTTTGTGGTTGAATATCGTCTTTTATCTGCGTAGCGTCATGAAAGACAGCATAGTTCTAAAACCGTAGTTTTATGACAGCTAATTGCTAGGTTGACATTATCAAATGAAAGGAATAAATCACGATTTTTTGTTTGCCAGTGATATTACCTAAATTGAAAAATGAAAGAAAAAATTGAACACACGTTTTTGGAGTTGAACGACTGTGTGCAAAAGTGTGATATCCTGGAATAAAAAAGAATTGCATGTACGGTTTAGGGTTATTATAGTATTATGGACGTTGAATATCAAAATGTTTTCAACTGTCTTCAATTGAAATAGCTGGACATAAGATACGAAAGTTATCAATTTATGATGTTTTTTCAGCTGTCACGGAGCCTGTAGATGTCTTCTATTTGTTGGACACATCGAAAGGAGTAACGAAGAATCAATTAGACAAAATGAGAGACTTTGTTACCCAGCAAGCAAAGGCGTACAACATATCGAGTGATGGTGTGAGGATATCGGTGCTTACGTATAGCAGCGATGCAAGGACTTTGTTGCCAGTTGGCCGAGGTACATCACCAGAGGCTTTGAAGAATGCTTTAGATGCTGCTGCGTTGACAGACAGTCCGAGACAAGTGGCTAATGCTCTTCAGTCGGTAAGGAGGACTATCGTCTACAAGACAGGCGGCGTGAGGGATGATGCAGGAAAAGTAGTAGTGTTAATTGTTGCTGGTAGGAACGCACGATCTGGTTTGCCATATGTCAGATCGGAAGGAGATGCTCTGAAAGGAAGTGGAGCTAACGTTGTTGTGATTGGAATGGGCGACGACTTGGACGAAAACGAGATGAAATCTGTTGCAACTAAGCCAGATCGGTTTGTAAAGGTGAGCTCAGAAGACAAACTGTTGGACGCTGTTTCAGCAGTATCTGATTCGATAAGCGATACCCAGAAGAGTTCGTTGAAACTGGATTTGGGATTCATATTAGGAGCAGACGGTGTTAATGCGGAGAAGGACTTTGAGCTGGGAAAAGAAGCTATTAAGGAGATGTTGAGAAAGTTGGACATATCGAGAGAAAAGACACGATTCGGCTTGATTGTGTACGGACAAAGTGCTGGAATGGTATCACGACTGGATTCTGTTAATAGTTTGAAAGATGCTCTCAGTGTTGTTGATAAAGTTAAGATTCCTCGTAAAGGATTCGCTTTGAAAGAGGCGTTGGAAATGGCGCGGACGGACTTGTTCGACGCCCTATCTGGAGGGAGAAGAGATACTGACAAAACAGCAGTGATATTCGTTAATAAGGAGATGGATTCTGCATCGAAAGCTGCAGCTGAGGCGTTGAAAAAGGATGGTGTGAAGATATTGGCTGTTTCTTTAGGTGAAGCAGATGCTAGAGATTCATTGAGAGATGTTACAAGCACGGACAAGGATATAAAGCGAATCGCTAGTAGGAGTGATATCGACAAGTTGGCGAAAGACTTGGCATCTTCCCTGACGTCAGGTAATTGATATGTACTGCAATTGTAACTGATTGGGTTTTACGTGTATGGATGTGTTTTCTGTGGGTTGAGTTTTGGCTACTGGATTCGGGTTCGTTCTTAGTAAGACACTGTAAGGGGAATGCAATTTCTTATCTTAATGTTGTCGGGCATGAACCAGAAAATAAATATGTATAAATATATATAGTTTACGTTGAAGATGATTGTAAAATGAACTATTTTGGTGAAAAGGGACATTGGTTTTTTATACTCTTCTTACTGTTTACAGGTCCATGTGATAAGGTGAAATGTGAATATAACGCAAGGTGCCAGGTGAAGCAAGACCAAACAACCGAATGTGTTTGTCCTGATTGTGACAGCCAGTCTGAAGTAAATGCAGTATGCGGAAGTGACGGCAGGACATATGCTTCTTATTGCCATCTCAAATCAACAGTTTGTCGAACGAAGACATTAGTATCGTTGGTTAGCAAGAAAGCATGTGGTAAGGAGATTTTGGACATGTTCCTTTTCTTTTGTGGTTGAATATCGTCTTTTATCTGCGTAGCGTCATGAAAGACAGCATAGTTCTAAAACCGTAGTTTTATGACAGCTTATTGCTAGGTTGACATTATCAAATGAAAAGAATAAATCACGATTTTTTGTTTGCCAGTGATATTACCTAAATTGAAAAATGAAAGAAAAAATTGAACACACGTTTTTGGAGTTGAACGACTGTGTGCAAAAGTGTGATATCCTGGAATAAAAAAGAATTGCATGTACGGTTTAGGGTTATTATAGTATTATGGACGTTGAATATTAAAATGTTTTTGACTGTCTTCAATTGAAATAGCTGGACATAAGATACGAAAGTTATCAATTTATGATGTTTTTTCAGCTGTCACGGAGCCTGTAGATGTCTTCTATTTGTTGGACACATCGAAAGGAGTAACGAAGAATCAATTAGACAAAATGAGAGACTTTGTTACCCAGCAAGCAAAGGCGTACAACATATCGATTGATGGTGTAAGGATATCGGTGCTTACGTATAGCAGCGATGCAAGGACTTTGTTGCCAGTTGGCCGAGGTACATCACCAGAGGCTTTGAAGAATGCTTTAGATGCTGCTGCGTTGACAGACAGTCCGAGACAAGTGGCTAATGCTCTTCAGTCGGTAAGGAGGACTATCGTCTACAAGACAGGCGGCGTGAGGGATGATGCAGGAAAAGTAGTAGTGTTAATTGTTGCTGGTAGGAACGCACGATCTGGTTTGCCATATGTCAGATCGGAAGGAGATGCTCTGAAAGGAAGTGGAGCTAACGTTGTTGTGATTGGAATGGGCGACGACTTGGACGAAAACGAGATGAAATCTGTTGCAACTAAGCCAGATCGGTTTGTAAAGGTGAGCTCAGAAGACAAACTGTTGGACGCTGTTTCAGCAGTATCTGATTCGATAAGCGATACCCAGAAGAGTTCGTTGAAACTGGATTTGGGATTCATATTAGGAGCAGACGGTGTTAATGCGGAGAAGGACTTTGAGCTGGGAAAAGAAGCTATTAAGGAGATGTTGAGAAAGTTGGACATATCGAGAGAAAAGACACGATTCGGCTTGATTGTGTACGGACAAAGTGCTGGAATGGTATCACGACTGGATTCTGTTAATAGTTTGAAAGATGCTCTCAGTGTTGTTGATAAAGTTAAGATTCCTCGTAAAGGATTCGCTTTGAAAGAGGCGTTGGAAATGGCGCGGACGGACTTGTTCGACGCCCTATCTGGAGGGAGAAGAGATACTGACAAAACAGCAGTGATATTCGTTAATAAGGAGATGGATTCGGCATCGAAAGCTGCAGCTGAGGCGTTGAAAAAGGATGGTGTGAAGATATTGGCTGTTTCTTTAGGTGAAGCAGATGCTAGAGATTCACTGAGAGATGTTACAAGCACGGACAAGGATATAAAGCGAATCGCTAGTAGGAGTGATATCGACAAGTTGGCGAAAGACTTGGCATCTTCCCTGACGTCAGGTAATTGATATGTACTGCAATTGTAACTGATTTGGTTTTACGTGTATGGATGTGTTTTCTGTGGGTTGAGTTTTGGCTACTGGATTCGGGTTCGTTCTTAGTAAGACACTGTAAGGGGAATGCAATTTCTTATCTTAATGTTGTCGGGCATGAACCAGAAAATAAATATGTATAAATATATATAGTTTACGTTGAAGATGATTGTAAAATGAACTATTTTGGTGAAAAGGGACATTGGTTTTTTATACTCTTCTTACTGTTTACAGGTCCATGTGATAAGGTGAAATGTGAATATAACGCAAGGTGCCAGGTGAAGCAAGACCAAACAACCGAATGTGTTTGTCCTGATTGTGACAGCCAGTCTGAAGTAAATGCAGTATGCGGAAGTGACGGCAGGACATATGCTTCTTATTGCCATCTCAAATCAACAGTTTGTCGAACGAAGACATTAGTATCGTTGGTTAGCAAGAAAGCATGTGGTAAGGAGATTTTGGACATGTTCCTTTTCGTTTGTGGTTGAATATCGTCTTTTATCTGCGTAGCGTCATAAAAGACAACATAGTTCTAAAACCGTAGTTTTATGACAGCTTATTGCTAGGTTGACATTATCAAATGAAAAGAATAAATCACGATTTTTTGTTTGCAAGTGATATTACCTAAATTGAAAAATGAAAGAAAAAATTGAACACACGTTTTTGGAGTTGAACGACTGTGTGCAAAAGTGTGATATCCTGGAATAAAAAAGAATTGCATGTACGGTTTAGGGTTATTATAGTATTATGGACGTTGAATATCAAAATGTTTTTAACTGTCTTCAATTGAAATAGCTGGACATAAGATACGAAAGTTATCAATTTATGATGTTTTTTCAGCTGTCACGGAGCCTGTAGATGTCTTCTATTTGTTGGACACATCGAAAGGAGTAACGAAGAATCAATTAGACAAAATGAGAGACTTTGTTACCCAGCAAGCAAAGGCGTACAACATATCGAGTGATGGTGTAAGGATATCGGTGCTTACGTATAGCAGCGATGCAAGGACTTTGTTGCCAGTTGGCCGAGGTACATCACCAGAGGCTTTGAAGAATGCTTTAGATGCTGCTGCGTTGACAGACAGTCCGAGACAAGTGGCTAATGCTCTTCAGTCGGTAAGGAGGACTATCGTCTACAAGACAACGGCGTGAGGGATAATGCAGGAAAAGTAGTAGTGTTAATTGTTGCTGGTAGGAACGCACGATCTGGTTTGCCATATGTCAGATCGGAAGGAGATGCTCTGAAAGGAAGTGGAGCTAACGTTGTTGTGATTGGAATGGGCGACGACTTGGACGAAAACGAGATGAAATCTGTTGCAACTAAGCCAGATCGGTTTGTAAAGGTGAGCTCAGAAGACAAACTGTTGGACGCTGTTTCAGCAGTATCTGATTCGATAAGCGATACCCAGAAGAGTTCGTTGAAACTGGATTTGGGATTCATATTAGGAGCAGACGGTGTTAATGCGGAGAAGGACTTTGAGCTGGGAAAAGAAGCTATTAAGGAGATGTTGAGAAAGTTGGACATATCGAGCGAAAAGACACGATTCGGCTTGATTGTGTACGGACAAAGTGCTGGGATGGTATCACGACTGGATTCTGTTAATAGTTTGAAAGATGCTCTCAGTGTTGTTGATAAAGTTAAGATTCCTCGTAAAGGATTCGCTTTGAAAGAGGCGTTGGAAATGGCGCGGACGGACTTGTTCGACGCCCTATCTGGAGGGAGAAGAGATACTGCCAAAACAGCAGTGATATTCGTTAATAAGGAGATGGATTCTGCATCGAAAGCTGCAGCTGAGGCGTTGAAAAAGGATGGTGTGAAGATATTGGCTGTTTCTTTAGGTGAAGCAGATGCTAGAGATTCACTGAGAGATGTTACAAGCACGGACAAGGATATAAAGCGAATCGCTAGTAGGAGTGATATCGACAAGTTGGCGAAAGACTTGGCATCTTCCCTGACGTCAGGTAATTGATATGTACTGCAATTGTAACTGATTGGGTTTTACGTGTATGGATGTGTTTTCTGTGGGTTGAGTTTTGGCTACTGGATTCGGGTTCGTTCTTAGTAAGACACTGTAAGGGGAATGCAATTTCTTATCTTAATGTTGTCGGGCATGAACCAGAAAATAAATATGTATAAATATATATAGTTTACGTTGAAGATGATTGTAAAATGAACTATTTTGGTGAAAAGGGACATTGGTTTTTTATACTCTTCTTACTGTTTACAGGTCCATGTGATAAGGTGAAATGTGAATATAACGCAAGGTGCCAGGTGAAGCAAGACCAAACAACCGAATGTGTTTGTCCTGATTGTGACAGCCAGTCTGAAGTAAATGCAGTATGCGGAAGTGACGGCAGGACATATGCTTCTTATTGCCATCTCAAATCAACAGTTTGTCGAACGAAGACATTAGTATCGTTGGTTAGCAAGAAAGCATGTGGTAAGGAGATTCTAAAGTTATCCTTATCTTTTGTAGGGGAAACATTTATTGTTGATCGGTTTTAATGAAAAGTGTTTGTGCAATATTTTTTCACACAGAAATGCTTTTTTATTTGAATTAGATGATGTTTGTCTTGTTGAATTTTAAGCACCTTCAATGTGTTTTGTTGCTGTTTAGATCATTTTCTTCTGATTTTTTTTATGACAATTTTTTTAATCGTAGAAGAAGTATCATGTATTTGTAAGATATATGCTTCCTCCTTAAAATACACTAGCCGAACCTCTCATTTATCCTATCATGTCTAAAATTGGTTCAGAACTATACGAAGTTGCTAAGTGGCTTTCTGAAGTTTTGGACCCTGCTCTTCAAAAATATTCAAAACATTGCATCAAGGATTCTTTTATGTTAGCTGAGTTCATGCAAAACTTGAACATCGAAAACGAAACATCTTTCATGTGTTCTTTCGACATTAGTAGTCTTTTCACAAACGTCCCTCTGAGTGAGACCATCAAAATATGTCCCGACGCTTTGTACCGGAGGGAGCATAATAGCCCATCTTTCGAAGAGGAAGTATTTATTGAACTGATTGAAACTGCAACACGTTCAGTTGAATTCAGTTATAACAATGAAATGTACCAACAAAAGGGTTTTGTCGCTATGGGTAGCCCTCTGGGACCTGCCTTGGTCAATATCTTTGTTGGCTTTCATAAAGAGCGTCTGTTCGACTACGACCAAAAGCCAGGTGTCTATTTTTGGTAGGTGGATGGCACATATACCATTTTCAAAACAGGGGTGTGATATTTTTCTTAAACACTTTGATAGCCTACACCCAGCCCTCCAGTTTACGTTTGGAAAAGAAGAAAATGATTCCTTGCCATTTTTAGATGTTTTGGTCGAAAAGTCTAACACTGGATTTCTTACCAGTGTGTACCGCAAGCCTACTTTTACCGGTCAGTACATACACTGGAATTAATTTTGCCCAAAACAACGCAAAGTCAACCTTGTTAAAACCTTAGTACATAGGTCACTCATGATCTGCTCGAAATCTAAACTTCACGCTGAACTGGAAAGATTTAAAACGATCTTTCTAGACATGTCATTCAGAAGATGTCATTTTATCTTATACTAAGGAGAAAATCGCAAGTTTTTCGGCTGTTCAAAAGTTTGGTCCGCAAAAGTGCCCAGTTTATTTGAAACTACCATGAATTGGAAACACTTCCTTGCGATTCGAGAGTCAGATAAGGCAAACCATCACAGGATGTTTCTTTGCTATCAATCATCGCATTGTTTACAGCACTAGGAGAACCTTTCCATCCATTCAAAAGGATTGCGTTCCTACCAACCAAAAAAGTTCCATTTGTTTATGAATTTACGTTCCAGTGTGATTCTGGCTACGTAGGACGCACAACCCAAAGATTGGGGGATAGGATAAAACAGCATGTTCCTTCCAACATAAGAAACAAAACTGCCCCTCAAAGAGAACAGCCTCCTCGATCTTGTATGTCTAGAAACACTGTTAAAACAAGTGATTCTGCCATCGGTCAACATCTAAGATGATATTTTAGACAACCCATATTGGGCTAAACTCCATAATGACGACATGTTTCGGATTATTGGCAGAGGCCGGTCGTCTTTCCATCTAGCAGTTTTGGAATCGATCTACATAGAAACGAAAAAGCCGCCAGTGTGGACAGAAGGAGTTTGTTTTGTCTCTTGGACTCCAGTGGTAATTTTTCTTTAGGCACGCGGAACTGATTGGTCAATTATACCGGTCTTGTGCTTGCGTTTTTCTGATTGACCTATTTCGATCCACAACTGGGTATATATTATATTTTCTGACGTTTTATGCTCTGGGGAGTGTCAGACGAAAAAGCTTTTGGCCAATATGTTGTATAATGTTTGCATTTTTCAAAGCCATTTATGTTTTTCTGGCTTATAAGGCCAAACTGAAAAAAACTGCCTTTGTTATGGTAGATGTTTCCAGTGGTTACTTTAATAATGCATCTTTCATTTCATTGTGTTGTTTTGTTCAGTGTAATGATGGTTGCTTTTGACGCCATGGTCTAGAGCTTGATTCTGACCGAATTTGATGTTTGGACCATGGCAGGATCCTCGTTGATATAACTTCCCCCGTCGGCCTTTGTCTTAAAACTCTTGCGCAACCGGCATGCTTAGCGGCAATTGTATTGAGAAATTGACTGTGTGTTCTTCATGCATCACGATTTTAGGCCGGTTCTTTTAATTAAAGTTGCAAAGCGTATTGGTTGCGTAAGAGCCTTTGAAATGACTAGATGATGTATGGTTATATGGTTACGCACAGACGAATAAAACAGGACAGTTCTGAGCTGTTTACACCAAAGCCTGTACATTTCTTTCCTCGTTTTGCCAAGCCAATTTAATGGAACTGTAAAACAGTCGCCTATTGTATGGTTACATATGAATATATTTATAGCAAAATGTTTGTTTCACAATAGACAGTAGTGAAAATTTAGATATACATATATATATACATACTCAATCTGCAGACAGTACTGTTTCGCCCTTTGTGGGCTCGTCAGTGCAGCACAGAGCTTGTCTGAGACATTGATATATATACATATATATCAATGTCTTTCTTGTTATTTTAGATTTCTTGGAACCCGTGGATTTGGTTTTTATGATTGACACATCGAAGTTTGTCAATGCTTCAGTTTTAGAAGGAATGAAGAAGTTAATACTTAACCAAGGAAGGATCTTCAACATCTCTAGAGACTATGTCAGGATTGGAATTGTATCGTATGGCAAACAAAGCGATGTTTCTTTAACTGCAAATAACGGAGTTTCATTGCATTATTTGAAGACCGTTTTAGATGAAATTAAAACTGGAAAAGATGAGAGATACATTAGCGCTTCACTAAATGACTTTAGAAAATTTATCGAAAAGGGAAAATTAGGCCTGAGGAACGATGCAGGCAAAGTTTTAGTATTGTTTATAAATGGTGGTGATGTTTATGAAAACCCCAAAGATTTGCAAGGTATTCAGAAGTTTTTAAAGGAGAAACGATTCCGAACAGTTGTGATATCTATTGGAAATAATTTTGAAAGTGAAAAAATAAAGGCGTTAGCATCAACACCTGAGAATGTTTTAAGCCTTGTTAATCATAAAGCATTGAATGATGGAACCCCAAAAATTTCAGAAGCTGTCATGAATGCTAATGTTGTTGATACAAAAGTTGATATTGGCTTTATTTTTGGGTCAATGGGAGGAAGTGCAGCGGCAGATAAATTACGTCTCTCTAAGCAAATCATCAAGGATCTACTTAAGAAGTTGGTTTTGTCCAGGGACAAGGTTCACGTGGGCCTCATCAAATATGACAGAAATACCGAAATTGTAAAGGGTTTAGATGATTATTTCGACTTCAATAAAACGGTTGAAGCTGTCGACATGGCTAGAATATTGAACGGTGAACAAGTACTGTCAAAGGCAATTGATTTAGCAAGGAGTAAACTTTTTGATGTACGAAACGGTGGAAGGCCAGGTGTTCCGAAAAATGTAGTGCTGTTTGTCAATAAAGATATTGACACGGACTCCCAAAAAGCTGCGAATAGCCTTGTCAAAGAAGGAGTCAAAGTAATATTTGTCACCTTGGCTAAAAATATTGATCTTGGTTCTTCGGAAACAATGGCAGCTGTAATAAAACACGATGAAAACAAAGATCGAAAAATTACCCCAAAAGCTGTAGTTGCTGCTCTAAAAACAGGTACAATTTTTGTTGTAGCTATTTACGCTAATCAAAGTAACATCATCCAACCTTTTTTAAAACTTTTTCCTGTTTTATTCATTGCTTGAATTGATTTTAAGCGCTTTAGGACTAGTCAACGAAAATTCCGTGATATCAATATTTAATCTTTAAATCGTTATCACTTCAGTTGCTACTAATCACAATAGCCATTACAGCCATTCAGCCTTTCAAACCTTCTGAAAATGTATCGACAAACTGAACAAGTCCTCAGTTCTATATTGTTTATCTTTTTGAGAAATGCCTTCCTTTTATTAATTGGAGTTATTAAGGATATTCGCTATTTCTAGAACCATTCGTAATGACTCCTCTTATGAGATACTAAAGTTTAACAATTTTTTAAGTAAAGGTTTTGTGTAGGTCTCTTATCCAGATTTTGCAGAGTTTGTTCAAAAGTATGCATTTCTTATACAGATCCTTGTGAGGGCATGAAATGTGGATACTTTGGTAAATGCAAGCAGCATGAGAATGGCATCATTGGATGCTCTTGCGATACATGCGAAAATGAACGATATCAACCTGTTTGTGGGGAAAATGGCCTAACATATGCAAGTCTTTGCTCAAATCGCCTACACACGTGCTTAAAGAAGGAAAAAGTCGCCGTTATCAAAGAAAACCCATGTGGTATATATTTTTTTTGTAGTTATAGTTTACAGCGTCGAAAAAAGCAAAATCTTTGAAACATACTAAAGCTTTTTGTCTGACATATTTCGGAGTATAGAACGCTAGAACATAGATGGAAATAGTTTTGTAGTTTCATAATAAACTTTTTTCAATTTAAAATGTATTTAGATCATAAACTGTTCAAAAACCTTTTTTAAAATAATTATTTCTAAAACATCAATCTTTTCATTTCCAATTGTAGCTAATTGGTTTCCTTATGTATTCATGGCAAAAAAATTCTAATGAAATGTTATAATGAGTGTGTTTCTAAGAGAATTTTATGTCTATTTTTCAGGTGTTAGCAGTCCTGTTGATTTGATAATTGCTTTGGACACTACCAAAGGAGTAAATTCTGGGACGCTGTTTAAAGCCAAAGAACTGTTAAAAGCTCTTTTGAGGTCTTATAATATATCGCAATTAGGCACCAATGTAGGGCTTCTCACTTTCGGTAGTAATGCACGTGAAATTGTTCCAATTCGGGATGGCATTGTAAGAACCCTTATTGAAAGTAGCATCGATAAGGCAGTTTATATGAATGGACCGCGAAGAGTCGAAGATGTCCTCTCAAAGGCACTCATCATGCTGCGATACCCTTCAAATAGCGATCAGCGAAGTGAATCATCGAAGCAGATAGTACTAGTCTTATTAGACGGAGTCATCAACGTAGCGCCTGCCTCAGTTGTTCAGCTTGCTTCGCAGATGAAGCTTTTTGACATAAGACCAATTGTCCTCGCAGTTAACGTATCGAATGCACGAGCCCTTATGCCTATTGTCAAAAACAAAGCAGACTTCTATACTGTGGACGAGGGCAAAAGTTTGAGTAATGCTCTTGGCGAGATAGAAAAGAGGAGTGCAATAAATGCAGGTACGAATTTGTACCAAGCCTGAAGAATTTGATATGATAATGCTACATTAAATACAATATCTCTAAAAAACCTGGTTCAACCTGATGTTTACAGGCTGGAAGGCAACATTTTAATGTCAGGCGTTGGAGTTTAGTTTCTGTTGATGTTTTTGATTTTAATGTCATTTTTTTTCAAAACTCTCATAACTTTTAACTTGTTTTAATTAAGATCGCCGCCTTTTTTTGCTTAAAGTCCGTTGATGATGAGACTATTAGATAATATTTTTGAATTCCTTGCTTCTGCATTTCTTGGATCTTACACCGATTCTTGTCTTTGTTTTAGCAAAAGATCTGCCCGTGGATATCGGCTTTGTATTTGGTGCTGATGGCCCAAAAGCCTCTAAACGATTTAGTGAGCAAAAATCCTTTGCCAAGAAGCTAATTGATTCACTGGTTATATCGCCAACAGCTGCATTGATAGGAGGGATTTTGCAAGACAGTAGCTCACGTATTGCGTGGAGGATTGGTGATGCCCAAGATAAGGATACGACAGTCCGGATAATTGATCAACTTCAAATGAATGGCCTGGGCGATGATATTGTGAAAGCAGTTGACATTTCCAGAAGTTTGTTTGCAGAAGTTAATGGCGCAAGGCGAAATGCTGAGAAAATATTGGTTATATTTCTCGATGAAACGTTTAAATCAAATGCCGATCTGGAAAAATCTGTAGAACAAGTAAAAAATTCTGGAGTGAAGGTCATAGTTATTGCAAGTGGACCAGATGTTGATGAAATCGATATGTTGGCACTACCGAGTGATAGCGAGAGTCTTGTTAAAGTACAGGATTTAGCAAATCCAGATGACAGTGTTTTGCCTACGTTTGGTAATCTATTAAAACCAGGTATAGGATTATGCAGCATCTTTGCTTACAAGTTTGTAGCTGTAAATATGGTGTACCTAATAAAATTTAAGTTTGATAAGCGTACATCAAGTCTCTATAAGGATAATTTGTATTGTTTGATTCGGAATTTCGTATCGTCGACTAAAGAATATGTTGTCTATATTTGTGAACTCCCGGTTTTGTTTGTATTTTTTCAAAGGTTATACCTTAGCTTTTGTAATATTTATGTTTTATTATCCCGCTTTTGTAATATTTACATTTTATTATACCTTCAACTTTATAAGTTTTTCTTTTCTTTCCCTGGTAGATCTTTGTCAAAAGAAACAGTGTAAATTCTACAGTAAATGTCATCAGAGAACGGATGGAACAACAGAATGTGTTTGTCCATTGTGCAATGAAGAACATACGTATTCCCCAATTTGCGGAGATGACAGTATTACTTATGCAAGCCTTTGCCAGTTGCAAAAGATGGCGTGTAATCAAAGAAAGGAAATCAATGTTGCAAAAAACAAAGCTTGTGGTAGGTAGCTGCTATAAAATCTTACTGAACTAAAGGAGAAAAATCAATGATGGGATTTATCTGTTTAATTTTGAATTAAGATAACTCTCTGAACCCATCAAGCAAGAACATAAGCTTTTGCTAAGTTTCAAGTAGTGTGGTTTTCAACTTTACAAAAATGGCTTGATTTCATTGATTTGGTCTTTAACTGTAAGGACCTTTTATCATGTGGAACATTTTGTACTGAAGAAATTGTTGCTATTGTATATTGACTGAATTGGTTTAAACAAAGCGCATAGATATTTAAAGATCGTGAACATTTCTCAATGTACATAGCTCAATGTTTGTCTCTGCGATCGTGTTAAGAATGTGAGTTTTCAGAAGTATTTAATATAAGCTCATATAATCTGTGTACAAAATCGGCCTGTCATTACTTAAAGTCTTGATGCTTATTAATTAGATATGCATATAGCGATAAAAATGCTTTTTTGATATCTTATATTTGATGCATCTTCTGAAAGCAATGCTATTTGTTAACAAAGATGGAGGAAATTCAGGTTATTTCAGAATATGCTGTGGTGTGTAAAACAAAAAAGCTCTAAAAACCAACTTTGCGTTTCACGCTCGTGCATCATAAATGTGAACCTTATGGTTGCAACTTAGAGCCTTTCTACTCAAAGCTCAAAGAAGGGTACAGTTATAGGGAATGAGCATTAAATGGCAGACAAATATATGTTAATCTTAGTTAGATTTGATCTTGTATTTTGATGCTTATTTTTAACAGGGATCGACAAGGCACTGGATCTTATCATTGCCTTGGATGTGACGGACAAATATGACTCCTCAAAAGTAAAACCGTTTGTGAACGCACTCCTTGAATCATATAAAATCTCCAAATCAGAGACAAATGTTGGAATTGTCACGTATGGTAGTGTTGCAAATGAAACACTGCCAATGTCCCATGGAACAGATCTTGCTGTTATCCAGCAACATGTTAATGCAGCCCAGCCATTAGTTGGACCTAAGAAGGCCAGCGAAGCTTTGATAATGGCCCGACTTTTGTTCCACGACTCTTTGAGGTCTGAGAAGGCAAAAGGCGAAAGGAAGCAAATTATCCTTGTTTCAATAGGAGAAAATGATAAATCTGATAGCCAAAGCTTCTCTAAGATAATGTCGCAATTGGAAGAAGAGGATGTGGATGTAATCATATTGGCAATAAAAACAAAAGACGATTCAGTGTTTAAAAAGTCATTGAAAAGCCAAGATGGGCTGATCAAGGCTGATGATACCAACTCCCTCAAAAATATCTTTGGTATTTTAGAGAGCCGGAGCCGTAAAGCGACTGGTATATTGATTATTTTTAATGGTTTATAATTCAAAGTTTTTTCTGGCTTATTTATACTTTTGTAAACAATAATCCATTAGAACGCCTTTTCAAGCGATTTAACGTAAGCACTAGCGTGAGGCAATTGGTGCATGTTATCAAGAAGTGTTCAAAATTTTTACTAATAATGTTTCCTGTAATGTTTGAAATAAATGTTGATATTGTTTGATGCATATGATAAAGAAGTGGTAGAACAAAAGGGTCGAAAGCCGACCTGTCTAACAGGGTTTGCATGGTTGTGTCCATAAAGTTGTCCCCATTGCACATAAATTTACTCTAATCGATGTTTGCCTCTGCTGTACAGCTGCGAAATTGGCAGCCCGAAAACAAATAAATAGATTTATTATCCCCTTCACGAAAAGATGAAATCAAGGGTAGAGAAACTTAATTTCATTTTTAACTCCAATTCAGACCAATTGGTAAAAAATGATTATTTTGCCCATTATTTCAATCTATGCCAAAAAGTTTAACTACGGTTTCACTTTACTGTTCTGATTATACTTAACAACTTAACAATGAAACGATGGTCGTTTATTAATAGTTTTAGTGTATTTTGCAGCAAAGCCGTCTCCTCTTGATATCGGGTTTATATTTGGTGCAAGTGATGGGGACGCTGTTGGAGCATTTGAAAATGAAAAGAACCTCGCAAGAAGAATCGTTGAAAGATATTTGATATCAAGAAATAACACTTTGGTCGGTGCAATTGTGTATGGCAGTACAGCATCATTAGCTTGGAGAATAGGAGACATAATTGAATCAAGATCAACCATAGATCGTATAGCAAGATTGCAACCACCCGAAGATGGGAATAACTTGCCTGAAGCCCTTCAAGTTGCTAAAGATGTCTTATTTGACCCAAAGTATGGTGCTAGAAGTAACGTTCCAAAATCTCTGGTTGTGTTCATAGACAGGGCTGATTTCGATAAGGCTGGCTTTGTTGCGCAGGTCAAAAGATTGAGGGATGCCAGTGTTAATGTGATCTTGATAGCTGTTGGACCAAACATAGACATCGAAAAGATGATGTCATCAATCCCATTAAGAAAAGACAAAGTATTGCAAATACCAATAATTGTCCCAGCAAGTGAAGACTTGGTTTCAAAGGTAGCAACAAAAGCCACCCCAGGTATTTTGTCACATCTGTAATATGTATAAATACATGGATTAATTTTAAAAATATCATTTTGCAAAAAAAGGCAAGTACGTTATCTTTTGAGATTTTAATTTGCGTATAATGTGATATCTACGATTTTTAGATAAGTTATTTTTGTTAATTGTGAGTTCAGTTTCAGTGGAGGCACCTACAACATCTAAAGAATGTTTAATGCTGTTAGAGAATACATACGAATGACTGTCTTTGATAGTTATGAATTGCATAGAAATGAATAATTGGCCCCTTGATTTGGTACTCGCAAGCCACAACCCATGATGATCTTTTTGACCAAGTTTCTCTCAAAGTACATCTTGAGAAAGGTTCTACAAGTTCTGAGCAATAATAGACAAATCTTTAGCTGCTACTTGTCTATATGTATATTACATATTTATATATATTTCTTTGCTGTTAGATCCATGTGCCAATCAGCTTTGCCAGTTCCACAGCCTCTGCTTAGGGATGAACGACGGGACATCAGAATGCGTCTGTCCTCTTTGTTATGGAAATGACGCACCTTTACCTATTTGTGGAAGCGATGGAAGAACGTATTCTAATGAATGCGAGTTGAAGAAAGCGTCGTGTAAAGAACAAAAAGCTATTACAGTACGAAAGGAGGGCAATTGTGGTTAGTTTTTTAACATCCTCCTGTATTGATTTAGACGGTATCAAGTTCAAAATTAAAGAAATTTATAGATGATAACTTCTTTGTCTCCTTCTTTTTTACCTTCTTTTTTATCCATTTTGATTTTACGTACTTTTCGCATAAAGTTTAACTTCTCCTTTCTTCAAATTTTCTTTTCAATTCCACTCTCTCATTACAAAAAGTTTGCTATATTCCTTGTTCAGTTCTACCTGAAATTTTTCTATGTTTTTCTTTTTAAACCTACTTTCTGAATGCGGTATTTTGTCTGTAACCTAACCTGTTTCTAGAACTTTATATTCCAATGAAAATATTTTAGCATTAATATATTCCTTGAAATATAAATTTAGGTTTCTAAAATGACGCAAGGCTCTATTCATCTCTTGTTTTAATGATAGTTTTGAGAAATTGGCTAATTGCTTCATTTATGCTACAGGCATTTCAAGACCAGTTCAGCTTGTAATTGCATTGGATACCACAGAAAATCCGAAATCTGCTGATTTCCTCAAGGTGAAAGGGGTCCTTAAAACTTTGCTAAAGTCATACGATATTTCTCAAAACGAGACAAATATTGGGCTGTTGACCTTCGGGAAGACAGCAAAGCAGCTTTTACCACTTGCATCAGGATTAAACAGAGTTCTTGTTGAAAGGAGCATTGACAGAGCAGAGCTGCACAGCAGTCCAAGAAAGGCCAGCGAGCCATTGGCTTTAGCTAGAAACATGCTTGTGAATGCACAGATAAGAGACAAATCAGTTGAAAGAAAGCCTCAAGTACTGTTGGTCATGATGGGAAGCAACGACCCGTCAGATATGGATAGCTTTACCAGTACTGTAAAACAACTAGAAAAGGATGGCATCGCTCTTATCATTCTTGCACAGACTTTGAAGAAAGACGACAAGGCCTTGAAAGATGCAGTAAGAGACGAAGCTGATCTAATTAGAATAGATGATTCATCGAAGGACGCCTTAGGGTTACTGGAACAAAGTAGTGGTCTCGCGGCAGGTATTTACGAGGCAAATTGCAAAAGTGGCCCATATTGTTTTCTACACTTTTTAATAGCATTCATAAGACCTAACACATGTTATCTTTCGCTTATTCAATCCACATTGAGATGATTTTCCCAATTTGGAAGCTATTGTTCGTAGTTAGGGCCCTCCACAGTTTTATTTACTAACTTTCTCTATGTTCCCTTTTATTTTGGTACATTATACGTATAGGATTGACTTGCCCTTGAGTCAGTAATCTAGATTCAATCATTTTATTTGCTTCCTATTTAAAATTATGTTCTCACCATAGAAAAACACCATACTGAACGTTTATTTGCTTTTAGCCATCACCGCTGAGACCTTTTGATTAAGAAATGGTACTGTTTCCCTTAGCTATTAGGAAGTTTATATCACAGGTGATAAAGCCTTGAAATACTATTTCAAAATGAGAGAGGTTCACCTAGCAGCAACTAAAATTCTAAAGAACCTTTATTGGTGTTCTAATTACTTATTTATTTTCACTTTCGCATGTTTAAGTTAAAAGTATGTTCCATCAAGTCCTCTGGTTCTAAAAATTAATTGTTTCTCTTTCAAGCAAAACCAGAAAACCTCGACCTCATCTTCGTTTTTGGTGCTGGTAGCAAGAATGCAGCCAGCGCTTTTGCTCAGCAAAAAATACTAGCGGAGCGTATGGTTGATAAATATCAGATATCAACCCCTGGTGTTCTTGTTGGTGCCCTATCGTATGATTCGATTGCCCGTTTGGGCTGGAGAATCGGGAACGCACGTGATGCAAAGTCTACAGTAGAAAACATACGCAGCATCCGACAAGTAGGAAAAGGAAATAATATATTGAATGCATTGGAAATGGCTCGAGACGAACTACTTCCGGTATCAAAAGGAGCTAGAATAAACACATCGAAGACTCTTGTTGTTTTTATCGATAAAGCACAAGAGAAAGACGAAAAATTGGAAGATCTTGCTGTTGAACTGAAGAGTTCTGGTGTAAAGGTTATCGTCGTGGCAATGGGACCAGAAGTTGAAAAGAAGTACCTTGGAGGAATTGCAAGCGATCCTTCTAATCTCTATAAAGTCTCTGATTTGTTAACCAATCCAGGGTTGCCTGACAAGATTGTTGCACAGTCTAGACCTGGTACGTATTTTTACGTTAAGAACAATTTTAAAATGATATAATTTTGTAATGGCTTAGAGATCAAAAGTGTAGTTATGGCTTTGGGGTCGTTCGAAAACCTTCTATCTTGTGAAATATGGAATTCACCAAACCATAATTATTTAACCAACAGTTAACAAAGATAAGTAAATAGATACTGGTAGCTTTTGATTATTTTTTGCTTCTGTAGAAAGGAACATAGTATGTTCACATAATCCATAAGTGCAAGTAGTTCAATTTTTATGATTTTGGCTATTTTCCCCTGTTTTTGGTTCTGATAGTGCAAGTTTTTGATTGAACAAAACCTAAATAAATGGAGAACGAAAATTTTACTGGTTTGTCGAACCTGTCAACAGAAGCAGAACTCGTCGCATTCACCAAATGAATTACTTTTCACTGATATTTTCTTTTTTGTGCAGATCCTTGCGAGAAAATAGTCTGCGAGTACTACAGCTCTTGTCACAAAATCAGTGGTGGAAGTGCAGAGTGCATTTGCCCAGTGTGTGGAGATGAAAAACAATATTCACTTGTCTGTGGAGATGATGGCAAGACATATGCAGATGAATGTGAACTCCGCAGGACTTCTTGCAAAGAAAAGAAGATTGTTAAGAAGATCAAGGACGGTGCTTGTGGTAAGAAATTTGTCCTATTTTTTGTTTTCTGGGACCAACTTTTTTTCAAGTTAGATTTAAAAGTTACAACAATTTTTTCAAAAAAATACTGAAGTAATTTGTTAACATTATGTCCTGCTTAAGTAAAATTTTCTGGTCATAGTTACTATTTAGGAAAAACTTATCTTAAAACAAAAAAGTTGCCAGTTGCATATTTTTTTTTAATTTGTTTCAATCTTCTCCAAATACAAACCGAACTGCGAATTTAAAGTAGATAGTACAGGTGCTGTTAACACATCTCCCATGAACCAACTGTGTCAAACTTAGCCTAAAGATTCTATATGTAGATTTACATTCATCTTTAATTGTTTAATGAATTTTCACCAAGCATTATATGAAAATATTTCAGGAATAGCAAGCACTGTCGACCTTGTTATTGCCATCGATGTTGTAAAAGATGTTTCAACCCAAGATTTGATGAAAGCCAAAAAGTTATCTAAGACCTTGTTGAAATCTTATAACATTTCTGAATATGGAACAAATGTTGCAATCCTTACATACGGAGCTGATGCAAAAAAAGTCTTGCCGCTGGAGGATGGAACAAGCAAGTCTGCCATCGAGACAGCGCTGGATGGTATAACTGTCAGTAATGACAGCCCAAGGTCGCCAAGTCAACCGTTAGCTGTTGCAAGAAGAATTCTGATAGACGAAAGACGTTATGACAGAAAGCTGAAAACAAAATCTCAGGTGATACTGTTTGTAATGGGAGACACAAGTGATGAAGACCGCTACAGGCTCGATGCTGTTGCATCACAACTTGAGAGAGATGACATTACTTTGATAATCGTTGGCATCAATGTCAAAAATAGGGAACCTTTGAAAAGTGCAGTTAAGCATCCAGCTGACTTGATTCTGATTGATGACGTCAAAGAATTGAAGGGCAAAGTTCCTGAGTTAGAGGAAAGAAGTGGGAAAGCGGCCGGTTGGTTTTCTCATTCTCATTCATTATGCATCTAACTATGAAAATCTTCGTAATTTTGTGAAAAACTCAAAAGAAAATCTATATAGTTAGCCTTTTTTATCTAAAAATCAAATGATAAAATGATGTTCAAAGTATTCAGCATTACAACCAATATAGAAATGAGACGCTAAACTGGTCTCTTTGACCAGTCGCTAGCCTTTAACGCTTTTAAAATTCTTGAGCTGGCCGCAAATCCCTTACAAAAAGCGAATTTCTTTGATTTGGCTAAGGCTGGATCGCTGGTTTTTTAGGAAAATATAAATTCTAGCCCTTTTTTATGTTTCTAACATTTCTCTGGCATAATGCACTGTTTTGATACTATGTTTGAGCCACGCAATAGTATGGTATCAATACGACGACTAGTCAGAAATTTTTCATTTCAGCAACTCCTAAACCTTTGGACCTTGGCTTTCTTTTTGGCGCCGATGGACCTTCGGCTCAAACCATGTTTGCTGCAGAGAAAAGGATAGCAAAAAAGATTGTAAGCATGAATAAAATATCGGAATTAGCAACACTAGTCGGTGTGGTTATATATGACGATGGTGCTTACTTAGGTCTGAAGTTAGGAGAAGCAATGGATCTTAGTATGACGTTAGCAAATATTGATAGATTGCAACGAAGAAATGCTGGAAATAACGTGGCAATGGGTTTAAAAGTTGCATACGAGGAGCTATTTATCATGAAGAATGGAGCCAGATACAGCGTACCAAAAACTCTTGTGGTGTTTATTGACAAAGCAAAAACGAGAGATCTTGAATTAGAGAAAGCAGCAAGAAAGTTGAAAGATGCAGGCGTAAAGATTATTGTAGTAGCTGTTGGGTCAGAAGTAAACAAAGATGCGCTATATGGACTTACAAGTGATCCTGCGTATTTACTGACTCCTAATGATTTGGTGACGGAAATGGAAAGTATTTCGTCTACAGCTGCAGCATTGACAAAGCCAGGTAAAATCTACAACACTACTAATAACCATTTGAATTGAATTTATCACTCTTTACCTTTATAAACTGTATCAATGTTCCTCTTGTTTTCTGTAATTTCCGTTAGAATTATCCTTGAAAAAATTATGGTTTTTCTAAGGTTGACTATTTTGACAGATTCTCTTTGTTCTTGCTGAAAAAAGACTGAATAATTTTCTTTCTGTGTACAAATCTATCAAATCTATCTAAAGCTCTTGGCAATGTTCAGCCCTTTTTGTATTTGAAAAACGTTTTTTGCCCGTTTTTAAGAAGGCTTTTTAAGTATTTTTGCGAAAATATTTGTGGATTTTCGGGGGCAATTATTAAAATTAAATAAACAACTTAACGTCGTAAGAAGCAATCAAGGATACAAAAGAACTCAAGGGTGTGCTTGGAAAAATTAATTTTTAGCTTGAAAAGTGAAATCAAAATTGACAAAAGACTGATCATCGTAGACCTGGAAATTATCAAATCAATGATTTTTAGCTTGAAAATACTTTGTAATAAGAATTAGGACGATGATTTTTTTGGCTTTAATTAATCGCATCCCATAGCATAATTTTCGAAGCAACCATCCCTTGGATATTTTTTTAGCGAAACTTTAATTATCGTTGAGAAAATGCAGATCTGACATCTGAATATGTTGCTAAAATAATATTCTATGTTTATCATATGTCATTTTCAAGACCATAAAAAACTATACGGAACTAAGTTGTTACTTTGATATGTCTTGTGATTAACAACGTGCAATTTTTTTCTTACACCAATAGCTATTTTAAAACGATATTTTCTTTGCCAGATCCTTGTGAATCCAAATCTTGTGGCTTTTTTGCCAAATGCCATAGACGATCAGACAACTCACCTGAATGTATCTGTCCCATTTGCGACGCCGATGAAAAATTCTCGCCTGTTTGTGGAAGTGACGGTAGCACCTATGCAAATCAATGTGATCTGGAAAAATCCTCTTGCGCTGGAAAGAGGCTCATTCGTTTAACCAAGAAAGAGGCTTGCGGTAATTTTTTAAATTTTTTTAACGTTTAAGAGCCTGCTTTCTGTTGATGTTACTGCAGAGAATGAAGTGCTTCTCACAAATTACTTACGACAAGATAATTTGTTATCTGCTATCTCAACCGAAATCTGCATTGCAAATTACGAAGCATGCCTTTGAAGCCTCGATAATCATGCATATTGTGTAGAACAGCGTTAAAGATTGGTTTTTTAACTGTCAAGAGATATCTATTTATGTTAAATTCTATTGCTTCACAGGAATGACAAAGCCGCTTGATGTCGTAATTTTCCTCGATGGGTCAGATCATGTAAAGAAGTCAACATTTGATAAAATGAAAGATTTCACCAAAGGTGTTCTCCGAGCATACGATATAGCAAAGAACAAAACCAGGGTTTCTATCACCACGTTTGCCGAAACTCAAAATAAAATTGTCGACCTGAAAGAAGGAGCCTTTAAATCTGTTGTTTATCAAGCCATTGAGGATGCAGGAACATTAGGAGGGAAAAGACAGTTGGTAGATGCCGTTAAGTATGCAGAAACTGGCATTTTCGAGAAAAATGATAGAGGAAAGCTGGTTGTTTTACTAGTCAATGGTTCTCCGTCTTCAAAAAACACACAAGATCGCCTCGAAGCCCTGGTTCGTGGAATGAAAGGAAGAGGAATAAATGTTGTTCTAGTTGCTGTTGGGGAAACAAAAAATGACGAAGAACTACGCGGTATCAGCAAGGAGGCAACAACAATATTGGTGCCAGACTCCAAAGATATCAGATATGCATATACAACTGTTCTAGATGCAAGCGAAAAAGCTGCAGGTATACGAGAGTTAATTGTTTCTGATGCACAGGATTTCGAATGTTTGTTAATCAAATGATTTTCTATTTTAAAAAGCAAAAAAACAACTTAGCGATAAATTAGCGATAAATTTTCTTCAAATATATACCGGTATAGATTGTAAAGAATGGTTAAGTTATTAAGGAAAAACGATTAACAAGAGTTGATGCTTGATGTTAAATTGTTTGATAAGAGTTTCATATTATTCAAAATTTCAATTCTGGAACAAATTTCAAGCCTATTTTGTTCGTTATCAAATGTCTCACAATATTTTTGTTTTCTTAATTTTGTCATGGCCCGTTAGCGCATAATTTCACGTTTATTTTATTTTTAGCCAAACCGCTCAAGCTAAATGTTGGTTTTGTTATTGGCGCAAATGGTGAGAACGCGCCAAGAGCATTTTTCACAGAGAAGGCTCTAATTGAGAAGCTGGTACGTAATTACAACGTCGCAAAGGCAGACGCCATTTTTGGAGCAATAACTTACAATCGGGATGCTGACGTAGAGTTTGCCTTTGGAGAGGTACCTGATGCAGAGAAAGTGATAACAAGGATCAGAAACTTAAGAAGGACAAAGACTGGTAACAATATTCAAAGAGCTTTAGAGCTGGCAAGGGATACTTTATTTAGTCCTACCGGAGCTATGAGGACAAATAGCGGTAAAGTCTTGGTTTTGTTCACCGATAAAATCAGCATGAATGACAAAAGCGTTGTTGATATAGCCAAGCAGATAATAGATTCTGGTGTGAAAATGTTGGTGATTGGAATAAAACCAGGCGCCGAACAAGAAGCGTTGACAAGATTGGCAGGTGACAAAGAAAATGTTTTTGTAATCGAAGATTTGCTGAAGAATACAGATGTGCTGATTCCGAAAGTGGCCAAAGCACTATTCTCTGCCCAAGGTTAGTAAATTAGCATCAGTTTCTGGAAAATTAAGATGCTTTTTTGCTCTTTTCGGAATAGGTCTATTATTGTAACACATATTCAGTTATGCAATACTGTGAAATTCTGTGATACGTATGCTAAGCAGAATTGGTATTATGATTTATATACAATATTTACTTATAACTTTATACTAATACTAAATATTGGTCATTTATCCGAACTAAAGTAGGTATTATACAGCAATTTGCATTTGCATTCATTTGTGAATCACTTTGTTCAAGGCTAAAGCTTTTCACTTAAGTTTGCCCTTGGCGTTTTATCTTCATGCTTTACAGTCTTCGACTCAAGCTGATAGCAAAGAAGACAATTTTGAATATTCTTCACACTAATTACCCTTCATATCTTAGATCCGTGCAAAGATGTTTCTTGCGGATATTATTCAATGTGCCTATCTAAAAAAGATCGGTCAACTGAATGCATTTGTCCACCCTGCTTGGAAAACGATGTTTATTCTCCTGTTTGTGGTGACAACGGAAAGACGTTTGCAAACACATGCGAGTTAAAGAAAGATGCCTGTAAAAAGATGCAGTCCATCAAAGTGGCCAAAATGGAATCTTGTGGTACGTACCAATCTCATTGTCATTTACGTACGCAAGATAGCTGATTGTTTAATGAAAAATCTTGAATCTCCGTTTGGTATTTGTTCACACATGCCGTTTGAAACATGCCTCAAGTAACAACATGCTCAAATGCTCAAATATCAATGCACAGGACAAAAGAGATTGAAATCTTATGTTTTGATTTGCTAAAAATGTTTTCTTATCTTCTGCAGGTGTCTCTAGTCCACTTGATGTGGTATTTGCCTTAGATAGCTCAAGTGATGTAGACATGAGTACCTTCAAAAAAATGAAAGAATTTGCAAAAGGTTCTTTACAAGCCTATAATGTTTCTGTAAACCAAACACGCGTCGCAGTCATGGTGTATGGTGCACAGCCTATCAGTCAGGTGAGCCTTAATGACGGAATACACAAGTCCGTAGTACAGCAGAGAATTGACACGACAAAGCGTATTGGAGGCGACAGAAATATCATAAGAGCTTTGGCATATGCTCAAGATGAAATGTTTACAGAAGATACAACCCTAGAGCCTGGGAAAATCTTGATACTGTTCGTGGCTGGACCAAGTAAAGTGACCGCCCAAGCAACCGAAATCAAGTCGATTGCTGAGAAAACGAGGCAAAGGGATATTGAATTACTTGTAGTTTCGCTTGTTGGAGACAAAAATTTGGGTGGTCTTGAAACTATTTCCAAGAAGGATAACCTTATAAGCATTCCAAACCCAGACAGATTGAAAGAAGTCTTCATGCCTGCTTTTGAAGCCAGCGGTAAAGCTGCAGGTAAGAAGAAAAAATAAGAGCATCAACAACTTTAGAAATGCCTTATTTATGATAAACAGAGGATCATTTATTTTTAGACCGTTATTCAAAGTATTTTGATTGAAGTCCCCAACCTCTGTCGGAACCCTAAAATTGTGCGATTTGAAACTCATTTTAATATTTTAACATATCTGTTCACTTTCTTACCTTTTTCTTGAATTTTTCTTTTGTGAGATTAATTTAAACTTCTTTTGTCGTAGCTAAACCTGTTGTTCTTGACCTTGGCTTTGTATTTGGTACAAATGGGGCAAAAGCAGTCGAAAACTTTAATACAGAAAAGGATCTTGCCAAGAAAATTGTAGAAAAGTATGATGTTTCGAAATCAGCAACTTTGGTAGGTGCCATTACGTATGATGATGACGCAGTTCTTGACTGGAAAATTGGTGACGCAACTGACAAGAGAGCGACACTGGATAGAATCAGTCAATTGCAAAGAAAGGGGAATGGCAAAAATGTGCTGAAAGCTCTTCAAATTGCACGCAGCAAGCTGTTTTCTTCTGAAAATGGATCAAGAAGAAATGTTCCAAAGACGTTGGTTGTTTTTGTTGACAAAATAGAAGACAGCAGACAGTTGGATATTGTGTCTAAGGAACTGGAAGATAATAATATTAATGTAATTGTTATCACTGTCGGTAAAGAAGTGCTGAAAGCAGACGTTTCTGGGATCGCTAAACAGCCGAGCAATGTGATCAATGCAGATGACTTTGATGACAAAAAGGGCGAGCTAGCGTCTTTGGTTGCTGCAAAGTCAGTTCCAGGTATTTAAGTTTTTCTTTTGCATGTTTAATACCTACGAGGGATTTTATATAAATGTGGTTGTGCATAAACGTGACATTAATGTGTGCAACTAAAAGTTTATGTGAATAATAATGACTGCAACTTAATTACATCAGGTTCAACAATATAGGCATTTGGTTTATAAATAGGGTTGCAATGCATCAATAATGTTCAGCATTACATTGATTTTATAGCCTTTTAAAGCTAAGTGTGTTCTGATATGGATCTTCTTTTGTGTTAAGTATATATTAAAAACAGTTGCACTTCTGTTTTACACATGCACACGCTACCCGTTAACGTTGTTTCCTTCAATTATTAAGATTCATGCAGCAAGCAAGTTTGCGAGTATCACAGTAAATGCATTACCAAAAGTGACCGAACTGCAGAATGTGTTTGTCAAATATGCGATCCAGATGAGAGGTACAGTCCAGTTTGCAGTGAAGATGGAGAAACCTATGCAAGTCAATGTGAGCTGGAAAGAACATCTTGTAAAAGAAGAGTGAATATCAGAGTAGCAAAGAAGGAAGCTTGCGGTAATACTTATCCTAGAATTCACTCTCATGGAAGTCTCCATCAAAATTATTGAACTTTTAGGTTTCAGAAAGGTTTCTTTAAATGAACATACAGTTCTATCAATCCTAATTTCAACCTTAAAGCCTTGTAATGACAAGCGGATCTCAAAGCAGCCATAGAATCGCGTTTTTATGAACACGAGAGCCTATTTAAATCAACTGCTTATATTTACTCGCATTTTTAACTTTATTTGCTTACGTTCAAAAGATGTAAACAAATAGAAAGCTGCCTGACATAAAAGACTCGGAGCACCTTCAGCTTAATGCCATTGGTAAAAGTTTTATTCACAATGTATTTTGCATTCTTCTTCTAGGAATATCTGAGCGTGTGGATCTCATTTTCGCAATGGATGGTTCTGCCACTGTCAAAATACCGGATTTTAGAAAAATGAAAGATTTTGTAAGAGGAACCTTGTCTGCCTATAATATCTCAGCCGAGAGAACTAGAGTATCATTGGTCACATTTGGCGATAAAGCAGTTACACAATTATATCTAAAGGATGGTATTGATAAAGCTGTTGTTGAAAAGTTCATTGGAAATTTAACGAAAATTGGTGGACAGAGAAATGTAATAGATGCATTGAAATACGTATCAAGGAATACGCTAGCTGGAAAAGTAGATCATGGTAGACTTCTTGTTTTGGTGACAACTGGGCCAGAGTCCAAGTCCATTAATACTGATGAAAGAAAAATGATACTTGATGAACTGAAGGAAAATGATATAACAATTCTTGTAATTGGTATAGGAGACGAAGCTAGTGGACGAGAGATAAACGAAATTGCTGGTGACGATAATACAGTTGTAGTTAGAGATGTAGATCAACTGCAAACTACTGTACCGAAGATCGTTAGCAAATCTGGTGAAGTTTCAGGTATGCTCTTTCTAGTATTTCAAGGAATATTGGTTATTATTTCATTATTGTTAATGATTTAAGTGTTGTAAAAAAAATTCTAGAATTCTAAGATCTTATGCAGATAAAAGACTTAAATTTACCCTTTTTTGATTTAACAGCCCATTAATCCTATAAAATCCAGCTTTTTGAGAAGGGTTCGAAAATTGTAACAAGATAATGCAAAGATGATTGAGATAATTTCCCCAAGGTTATCGCATCCATTGTTCTTCGCTTTTTAGTCAATTCTTCTGTTTCTTCTAGCAAAAGCAGAGCCGCATGATCTTGGCTTCATTGTTGGTGCCAGCGGTGAGAAGGCTGACTCTGTGTTCAATGACCAAAAGCAAATCAGTAAGAAAATGGTTGAGAAATATGACATTTCAAAATCGTCAACATTGACTGCTGCTATAATATACGATGATAAAGCAAAAATGGTCTGGAAACTTGGAGATGCCTTAGATACGAAATCAACACTGCAAAGGATCCAACAACTTCAACGACAAGCAGATGGTAGCAATGTATTACGAGCCCTTGAAATTGCTCGCGATGAAATGTTTTCAGAAAACAATGGTGGAAGACGGGCATCGTCAAAGACTATAGTCCTATTTGTTGATAAATCATTCAAGGTCAATAAAGATTATGATATCGTAACTAGAGATTTGAAGAGTCTTGGCGTCAAACTCGTGGTAGTTGCTATTGGTCCAGAGGTTGACAGAGCTGCCACCTCTAAGGTAGCAAGTGGACCTGATGATGTAATCTATATGGATGAATCGTCTACATCAGCTGATGGTGTTGTATCGAAAGCTGTTGAGCAGACCCTTTCAGGTACGTTTGCTGAAATGAGCAGCTGTTTAATACTGTCTCTATATTAGGACTCAAAAGTTGTATATATTCAAATTAAATAAGGAGTTTACTTTACTTTAATGGCAATCGACAGATACAAAAATGGCTTAAACCACCTGTCAAGCAACATCAGCCAATCAATTAGCGTGTGAGCGGAGTCACACTCACTGATTGGTCAATTCTTGATTGAAAGGTGGCTTGGGCCCCTTAGAATATGTCGATTGCCTTTAAACATTCTCAAATAAAGTTCTCATTTTAAGAAGATTCAGAGGTTGTTCAAAATTATTCAAGGGTTGTTCAAGTCAGAACAATGTTGTTAAAGTCAGAAAATTGCATACGATTGATAAAATAGATCTACGTGCAAAATGTCAGAACTTGACAAAAGTTGTTGAATACTAAAAAGTTTTCAGGGTTTTCAGGTTGAATACTACACAGATTCAGCTTCTTTATCGTTACAGTAGTTTATCATGCTTTGAACTTTTTTTAGTTTTCTCAACAATATGTACCTGTTGTGATTTCATTGCAAATAAAAAACTTATGGAGTTGTCTTCAATGACGACCGATTCCTAGAACGAAGATTTTTTACTTGACTATAGTCTTTAATCGCAATTAATATATTATTTGCAGATCCTTGTACGAGAAGAGTCTGTGAGTTTTACAGCAAATGCTTGAGAAAACCTGATAGAACTGCAGAATGTGTCTGTCCGGTTTGCAGCAAGGCAGAAAGTAACAGCCCTGTCTGTGGTGATGATGGAAAAACCTATGTTAGCCAGTGTGAATTAGAAAGAATTGCATGTCTGGAGAAGAGATCGCTGAAAACAGTCAAAAAAGAAGCTTGCGGTAACAACCCAGTTGATTTTTTTTGTTTTGTATCTTTTTATAACTTTGTTCTCTAATAACTTAACTAGAAGAATTTTCAAATTGACAAGAGTGTAAACAAACATGGATTTGGACTTTTTCAAAAAGCCTTCGTACATTTATTTTGATATGTCTTCAATAACCCACATTATCAAATTAAAGGTTGCTAATGAATGTTTTAATGTGATTAAACCTTTGTATTAAACTATATATATGATTAAAGTTGCAATAAAGATTTGCAAATATCTCTCTCTATCACCCATTAACGAAGTTTTTTACAATTCCTCTTTAATTATCATTTTTTAAGAAGTTTTTGTTAATTGAATATTTTTAGGTATTATGAAATAAAGTTTATGACGGGAATCAGTTCAAAATTTGTTTGCTTTATGCCACATTCCAGTAAACAAGCTCTGTTGTGCATGTCCAAAATTTTTGTTTTTGAGGCCTTCGATTATGACAGTTCTTTACCGACTCTGATTCCACTTTTTATGTTTTCAGGTATATCGGATAAACTTGATTCAATATTTGTCTTGGACAGTTCTAGCAATGTTAACAGAACAATCTTTGCAAGAATGAAGAGATTTGTTAGTGATGCCCTTAAAGCATATGAAATTTCACCAAATCGCACACGAGTTGGTTTGATAACATTCGGAGAGACTCCCGTAAGTAACCTTGAGTTGGTTGATGGTGTTAATCCAACAGTGGTGAATCAGGTATTACACGATGCACAGCTAGTAGGTGGTGAGCAGAATTTACCAGAGGCTATCAGATTAGCTCATTCAAAGATTGCACCTGACACAAAAGATGATTCTCGAGGTAGGATGTGCATACTTCTACTTGGCAGCCATTTGCCTTCAAATGCACTTGCCACAGAGACCAAAATGGCGCTTGAACGGATGAAAAACAAAGGCATCACAGTTCTAGTAATCGCACTGGGTGATGACGTAACTCCAAATGAGCTGAAGAGTATTGCAAAGGAAGATGAAGTGATAAAGGTTGCTGATGAAGAGGATGCGAAAAATGCATTGGCAAAGTTAATAGATCAAAGCGAAAAAATATCTGGTATGCCATTTTTCTATAGCAAATTCCTGTTACCTGGTCTTGTTACACCTATCTAAGAAATGTAACTACGAGGTTTTGGAGATATCTAGACCAAACACATAGTGATTTTTGAGCCACATTAGAACATTTACAAAGGTTTTCATTAAATTTATTCCTGGTCCTGCGATTAATTATAAAAAGATATTTGCAATCCTCATGGAACTGATTGAAAGTTAGATTCTTCGCAAAAGAATTTTGATAAATCTAACCGCAAATTGAAGAAAATGACTGCAGAACTTGAGTTATTAATTGCAGGACTTTGAATAACGTTGCAGTTCAGCTCGTTGCACTTATATTTTCAATTTTTATATCATTTTGAAATTCCTTTTAGCAGTTTCACTGCTTGTATACCTCGCTAGAAGTAGGTATAAGCTCTCTATATCTTTATTAAATTGTGTTTTTAGCAAAACCATTGAGACTGGACCTTGGCTTAGTGTTTGGCTCTAGTGATCCTTCAGGAGCAACCTTCGAAGCGGAGAAGAATTTGGCAGTCAGGATTATTGAGAAATACCAAATTTCCAAGGATGCCACGCTAGTTGGAGCAATTCTGTACGGAAAAGATGCAAGTGTTGCTTGGTACATAGGAGATGCACTTGATGATATAAATACAAAGTATCGAATCAAGAGATTGAGTTCGGTTAGTCCAGGAAATAATGTTCTGCATGCGCTCGAACTAGCACGTGATCAACTTTTCTCAGGAAACAAAGGAGGAAGAAGTGGTTTCCCCAAGACGCTTATAGTTTTTCTCGACGGAGAGGAGAAAGTGGAGAGCAAGCTTTTGAAGATCTCTGATGAACTAAAAATGATGGGAGTTAAAGTGATTGTCATTGAAATGAGACCTGTTGCAGACAGGCAGCCACCTTTGGGAATTGCAAGTGATGCCAAGAGTATAGTTTCGGTCAAAAATGTATCAAAAGGACTGGATGACGTAGCGTCAAAAGTTTCTAAACTCTCGACACCAGGTAAAACTGATATGTTTTGAATATTTTGGTACAGTGGAAGGTGATATCGTGGGTAATATGTCAATCCTCAATCGAATAATTTATCAAATATGACTTTTTCTTCAAAAGAAGCTGTTTGTGAACTTAATATTAGGATTTGTTGCTTTGTTATAGAATACCAGAAATATTTATGACAAATTGCATTGTATTAGAACACGGACGCAATGCAAAGATGTAATGGCCTATGTTGATTTTTTGCTTATTCTTTTATGAAAACTTTACTTCAGTGTTGAGTTTTTTTCTCTTTAACAGATCCATGTGCAAAGAAACAATGCGAATTCTTTGGAATATGTGTCAGCAAGAATGATGGAACGGCAGAATGTGTGTGTCCCTTGTGTGACAAAGATAATTTTAAACCAATCTGTGGTGATGATGGAATGACTCATGCGAATATGTGCTATCTTAAAAGGAAGGCCTGTATGAGCATGAAAATGATAAAAGCAACGAGAAATGAAGCTTGCGGTATGACATTTGCAGGTTTTTTCGATGGTATCAATAGTTTAATGGAGTCTCAAATTTGTGAATTGTCTTTTCAGTTATAAAAGGCCTTTTTATCAAGGCAATTGTATTCTGGTTTATTGAATTAAAATCTGATGTAGCAGCTTTTTAAATAGAAAGACTCAGTTCCATTATCAGGCAACTCGTATATACAGTGGCTACTTTTGATGAAATGTGGCCTTTCCCTAATGATAACGTGGAAGGAAGTGTATTATGGAACATTTTTTTGCACTTTTTGCTGCTCTTAATGTAAACTTGCAGTCTTTGATGAGTTTGCACTGTTCTTTTCTTTGTCAAGGTGTTGCTGGAAACCTTGATATTGTGTATGCAATCGATGGATCGCAGACAGTTAGCTCGGAGACTTTTATGGCTATGAAGAATTTTGTCAATGCGGCACTGAGTGCTAATGAGATATCTCCTGAGAAAACACATGTTGGCCTTCTTGTTTACGGAGGGTCTGCGCCAAAGTTAGATTTGTTACTCAATAAAGGAACATCAGCTGATATCGTAAAGCAAACTCTGTCAGAAATGGCGAGAAGAGGTGGAAAAAGAGAAATGGATAAGGCATTGCTAGCAGTAAAAGATGAGTTCTTGAGCAGTAGTAAACGTAAAGATGTTGGAAAGTTGGCTGTTTTGTTGACAAATGGCAATGACGAGAGTGACAGCAAACAGGATGTTGAAAAGGCAAATGCAATGCTTAAGAAAGAGAATGTTAAGCTTGTCGTTATAAACATTGGAAAACCAGTCGAGAAGAAAGACTTACCAGGCATTGATGAGCTGAAAAACGTTGAGACTGCAAACGACTTGCCTAATACAGTTGGTTATATTGAGCAAGCAATGGCACGCTCAATAGGTAAAAAACTTTGTATCATATTGAGCAGACAAATCCTTATTAATTCGATTTCATTAGTAAGCCACTGCATTAGAGTAAGATCTCTAATTGACTCTTGTATAAATTTGAATTATTGGTATGTACTTTTTGCAAGAGGATCCTTCATAATAAAGACAAAAAGACTCAGCTTGTTAAGGTCTATTTTAAAATAAGGACTATTTGCCATTTTTAACGTAAACAAAACTTCTTCTATCTCCAGATTTTTTCAAAATCCACATAATTGTTCAATAGCCTTTTTAAGGCCCATCTAGTTTTAATTTTGCTACTTTTTAAGGCCCATCTAGACTTTTAAATATATCATTTTGTTTATTTCAGCCAAGCCGATGGTGCTTGATCTTGCTATTTTGTTTGGTTCTTCTGGGAAGAATTCGTCAATGATATTTAAAGCACAGCAAAACTTTGTTACTAACCTGGTGGATACACTTGACGTTTCTCCAGATTCTACTCTTATTGGAGCTGGATCCTACGGACCTAGTCCAAAGGTCGAATGGAATATTGGTAGCCACAACGACAAACGTTCCACTGTCAATGCTGTACGATTGCTCAAAAATGCTGGTTTTAATGGCGATATCACAAATGCTTTGAGAATGGTTAATGATTCAATTTTGAGCTTAAGCAACGGTGCACGTGCAGACGCTCCAAAATCTATCTTGATATTTGTGGATAAGAACCCAATATCGCACAAGAATGAGCTGGCTGATTTGGTGCAATCGTTTAGAGAGCGCCAGATCAAACTCATTGTTGTTGGCATTGCCAGAGATGAAGACAGAGATGATTTAGAGTCTGTTTCTTACGATAAGCAAGCCGTTTTCTTTCCACCGAATCTAGAAGAGTTAGAGAAGCTTGTGCAACCAGTTACCTTGGCTATCCGACCAGGTGCGTATAGTATTACCTATAAAAATATGATTCATGCGATTCTTTCAAATTCTTTACAGTAACTTTGCCATATGCGTCTATGTTCCAGCCGGATCAGATCCTCTCTAGAAAGAGGCTTCTATACAACCTTGGCTTATCTTCTCTTGTTTCTGAATGATAACCTTATTTTTTCTGCAGTTGAAGCATTCTAGCGATGGCAAAATTTTAGACATCAATATTATTGAACTTATATGAGTTTTCAAAACTTGAATTTTTTCAATAACAAAAAAATTTTTTTAAAGAAGGGATTCTTTAAGTTTCAATGAAGATTGAACAAATAGTAGAGACTCGCTATTTGTGAAGATGATTCTGATAGCCATCTGTATTTGAAATCCTTTTACACTTTGCATCGTTCTAGATCCATGCTGGAAGAAGGAGTGCAAGTTTGGTAGTGTCTGCTCTGCAACGACAGATGGACACGCAAAATGCGTCTGCGAAACATGTAGTGAGAAATATTCCCCAGTATGTGGATCAAATGGAATGTCTTATGCAAGTGGATGTTATTTGAAAGCAGATGCATGCAAACGGAGAACAGACATCTTTGTTACAAAATATCAATCTTGCGGTATGATCATTAAATTTTGTGCGAAATGTTTTGTAAAAATAAACAAGCAACAAAATGCTGCATGCTTTTGTATTAACGTATTAACTTCGATGTTTTGTGCTTTGAAGCCTTTCTCTTACAAAGCCTTCTACTTGGCTTTATTGTAGCCCTCTCTTCCTTGAAATTATCTCTTAAACTGTTGTCTTGTCTATGAAAAGAGTATCGACGAACCATTTACATGATAGAATATTGACGTAATAACAGCAATAGTGTTTTGATAAGATGAGCTTTGAAACTATCTTATAAAACATAGAAACAGTTGATGATTATTCCTTTAAATTCATTCAGGTTTGGATGATGCAATGGATGTAGTGTATTTGGTTGATGGTTCCAGTCACGTGGATTCTCCAACGTTCGAAAGGATAAAGAAACTGGTCAAATCATCTTTTGGTTATTACAACATATCAAAACAGAATTCGCGCATAGGTCTGGCCCAGTTTGGTGATGATACGCAAGTCATTCTTCACCCAAGCGAAGGAACAAGCAAGGCCATCGTCGAAAGTTTCATAAAGTTTTTCAAAAGGCCAGGTGGTTCTAGAAGAATTGACAAGGCGCTGCGTGCTGTCCGAAAAGAAATTTTCGAGAAAAGTGATAGGAGTCAAAAGAAAGTGCTTATTCTTGTGACTACAGGCATGAATGCAGAGGAAGGAGCTGATATGTTGTCTTCTGAAGCTGATTTATTGAAAAAGCAAGGCGTAGATACTGTTGTGTTGTCAGTAGGGCAGCTAAGAAACGAAGAAGAATTGAACGCAATCGCGAAAAAAACGGAAAATGTTGTCAAAGTTGACAAACCAGAAAGACTGCCGGAATCTTATGGAATTCTTGAGAGGAAGATCAATAATGCAGGGAGTAAGTGCTTTTCGTAAATCTTGATTAGAATAATTATATAATTTGAACGTTAAATATCATGTAGATGATATTCCGTGCCTCTTTACATGAACTTTAAATTCATTTGGTCTCTAACCATAGAGGAATCTTTTTTACCGATGATTCCTTGTACCATAACATTGAATGGTGTTTTAAACTGTTCATGGTCAAGATAAAAAGCACTGTGTGTACTTTTTTGCTGCAAAGGTTGATGTAATTCTCTTTTCCCATAAAGCTTTGCCTGTGCAAGTGGATATTGCATTTATTATGGGTAGCTCTGGAAATGAAGCAAATGAAATTGTACGAAAGCAAAAAACAATTGTGAAGCACATGCTGAAATCATACGAAGTGGCTCCAGGGAAAACTCATGTTGGGGTAATCAGTAAGGCAAAACCGGCTGCTATAAAGCTGAAAATTGGCCAAATTCAGAATCAAGCCAAGTTGTACAGGTCCATCGAAGATATGCAGTTATCTGGCCCAACTGAAGAGCTCTTGAAGGCTCTGCAGATTGCAAGTGATAGTATATTTGCCGCTTCTAATGGAGGAAGACCAGGATACAAAAACAGTCTTGTTGTTTTTGTCGAAAAGGATATCGATCCAGACAATGGTGCTTTCAAGGCAGTACAAGAAAAGCTCAAAGCTCTCGGAGTTAACATCATTGTAATTGATGTGACATCAAAGGTTGATCCAAAGAAGCTCAATCAGCTTGTACCAATGCACAATGTGTTCTTCTTCCCACCACTACTTGATGAACTAGATATGTCAATGTATCCGCTTGTGAAAACAATGCAGCCAGGTAATATACTGTATTAATTTTATGCATGCTATCACTCTATTTGGAAATTCACTGAGATAATTTTGCACATATTTGAAAATTGTAGTTGCATTCAGCACTACAGCAAAATACAAAATTTCATTCGGAAAAAACTTTCCCTTCACTTGTTATTACATTATCAAATGTTTTAATCTCCGAAAATTTAGATTGAAAAATTGCGTTTCTTGCTTCGCTGCTTTAGGATATTTTTGATATTATCTGGCAAATTACGCAGCTAGAGTTATCTTTATAGTTTCCAATAAATTATGTCTCTTAGACTCATGCGAGAAAGTTAAGTGTTCAGAGAAGGAAGTATGCCAAGCAAGAAGTGCAGAAAACGCAGTTTGCACGTGTCTACCATGTAGGCCAAAATACGACTTGGTTTGTGGCACAGATGGAAGAACATATGCGAGTGCCTGTCACCTGAAGCGATATACATGCTTGGAGAAGACTCCAATAAAATTGGAATCCACAAAGCCCTGTGGTATTTTTGCTTTCTATTTAATATGCAATTTATCACAATTTATGAATCTATAACCTATTGATAAATAAAATTTCACGAAATTTTGCTTCAGGAAGCCTTTTCTAGCAAACAATCTTGCTAGCGATTTTCAAGATATTTTTTAATACTGTGTCTATCTTAATTAAGCATCTTAATTAAGAAAGAAAGGTCAGAATTAAGAAAACTTGAAGACAGATATATTCATTGTTTTAGTGCTATTCCATATCTAGTCAGTTGCTTGGTCGTATTCTTCAGTGAACGGTGCTTGTACATTTTTTCGTAAACTTAGTTTACACAATCGTAGAAGTTAAATACAATCATTGGGTATTTTACAAAATCCACTATCAGCATAGAGTTGTTATCAAGAATGTAAAGCTCAGTTTAAAAATGTTTATAAAATCATATCTGTTTTTTAAAGAGACTGCTCGTAAATTATTTTGGATATTTTAATCAAATTAAGATACATTGATTATGGGTGATTCATTTTAAAGGATTGTTGAATATTCATGTATGGATAGTGTGATGTTTGTCAAGATTGAACTTAAATCACCACCTTTCTTCAAAATTCGATATATAAGGGCCATCTATTGCTTGTACTGAGTTAAACAAAAATGTTCTTGATGATAAACTGTTGAAATTTAATCTGAACATATATGTTCATCTGATTATTGTCATATTTCCTCATCTTTAGACGTATCTGGAGCAAGCGATATCGTATTTGCAATTGATACTTCACTGCCGCAAGAAGTTCTTAGCGACATAAAGAACTTCGTGAACGAAGCTGTCAAACTTCTCAGTGATGACACATCGACAGCGAGAATAGGCTTGGTCCAATACAATGAGAAACCATCTGTTAAAATCCAGTTCTCAGAATCAAGCAAATCTCTCTTGGATCTTGCTCTAAGCTCCTTGAAGTCAACAAGAAAATTGTCAAAGCCTGTCGTAGCGATTGATTTTATCCGTGAAACATACTTTGATCCATCAAAGATTAGAAATGGAGCAAAGAGATCGGCAGTGATAATTATGAACGGAGAGACCAATGGAAAAGATTTGGCGAATATTGAACAATCGTTGAAGCTGTTGAATGATTCAGACATAAGCTACATTCTGGTCATGATAGGCAGTACCAAAAGCACTGGAGCTTTGGTTGAGGAAAAAGGAAAGGCATTCGGCAAAGTGGTTCTATTTGATAGTCGCAATCAGCTACCCGAAGCTATTCCAGATGTCAGTGAATTGTCAAGGGAAAAACTAGCAGGTGCTTATACTTTTCTGGTTCATGTTTTCATAAACTGTGGTCAAGTGTGATTTATAAACTGTGGTCTTTGCTCTCTTCAATACACAAATGGATGTGAAGTTCAAGAGTATGTCACTTTTCGTTAATTCTGAATAACCAAGCCAAAATTCTGCAAAAATCTCTAATTTAGCTGTATTTGAATATTAGCTAATAATGAAATCAACTTCCAACCACTTTAATTAAACGAAATAATCGTTAGAGGTAACATCATTTAGGAATCATCTTTTTTTTAGCAGAAAAGCCAGTGATGGATCTCGCAATATTGACTGGTACATCACCTGCAGTTGACGCAGACTCCAAGTTTGAGGCTCAAAAAACGCTTATAGAAGAGGTTCTTAGACAGTATGATTTATCAAGAGACAAAACTTTGGTCTCGTTCATTTCACGTGACACACAACCAGTTCTATTGTCAAAACTAGGGGATATCACTGATCAGAACACAGCAATTAACTTTGTAAATACGATGAAAAATCCAAAGAAATCGGGAGACCTAGATGATTACTTATCTTTCATTAAAGAAACAGTCTTCTCTCCGAAGCAAGGAGCAAGGGAAAATGTTCCCAAGTCAATCTTGATTTTTGAGGATAGCAAGAGAATTGGAGACAAAGCAGATGAAGTATCACAAAGTCTTAAAGATAAAAAAATGAAATTAGTTATCGTTGGATTGGGAAATGATATTGATAAAAGCGGTCTTGAAAAGCTTGCTGACAAGGAGACCATTTTCTTTCCACCTGCTTTGGAATCAATCGAAGCAGTAGGAAAGCCAGTGGCAAGTGCATTAAGACCAGGCAAGTCACTTTAATTAATTGAGAAACTACTTACTGCAATTTGTTCTCATGATGCGTAGGTCCAAAGCTTGATAACAGATTGTTAACATCTACTTTTGCTTGTCTTTTTTGTACCTTAATTGTCCTAAATTTATCTTGTTCTTTTCTTGAACTCTGTTATTTTCCTTTTTGTTATCTTTTCGTTATGATGCAAACAAAAACGTAAAAAGGTTTAGAATTTGTTGCTACGTGTAATAACTGATAATTTGAAGGACAAATTAGGCTAATAATTTACTTTATAAAACACAGGTTTCTTAGATTCCTTGGCATTAGAATATATTGTTAAATGATATAAATTTCTTTCTGATAGATTTGTGTTGGAACACAACTTGTCACTACAATGCTCGTTGCATGGTAAAGGAAAACAAAGCCAAATGCATATGTCCTGTTTGCAATAAGAATGATGTATCAAAGCCTGTATGCGGATCTGATGGAATTACGTATGCCAGTCACTGTCTATTGAAAGCTGCAGCTTGCAGGATACTGAGAGAAATAACTGTTGCGAAAGAAGAAGCTTGTGGTACGTCATTTTTGAATTAAAATTAAACTTGAACTTGAAAGTAACTCAATTCAGTAGAATTAACATTTTTCTTTCCGAGAGAAGGCCCATGGACAAAATACTTTCTGATATATAGGACAGGATGGCTTTAGAGAAGATACTGAGTTTTATCGCTCACTGCAATCCCCAGGCAATGTGCAGCTTAAAGCTTTTTTTATTCTTTACAAGTATTAAATGTCAAATTGAATCTTATTAATTGTTGCTTCTAGGAATAACTGGTAAAATTGATGTCGTCTATGCGGTTGATGGATCGCGGAGAGTTGATGCAAGCATGTACGAGCAGATGAAGAACTTTGTAAAGTCATCCTTGAGAAGTTTCAATATCTCAGAATCAGGTACACATGTTGCAGTGGTTCCGTATGGTAGCAGAGCTGAGATTAAAGCCAACTTAAAAGATGGTACTAATCTTGCAAGGTTGGATGATATCGTTGGTCAGCTGTCAAGAATAGGCGGACCAAGAAGAATGAATAAAGCATTGAGACTTGTCAACTCTGATGTATATGGGAAGACGGACCAGAGCAGAGTTGATGCGAAAAAAGTGTTAGTGCTTTTAACAACAGGAAAGAATAGTGGTGATGGATCAGGTGAATTACCAAGAGTAGCTCGTGAACTGAGGGACCAAGGTGTCGAAATTGTTGTTGTGGTTATTGGAAAAGAAACTGATCCTGCTGAAATATTGGCGATTGCTGGAAAAGGTGGGAACGCTGTTCAAGTGAGCGGTGCTGGTAACCTTGACGCAGCAGTTGGAGCGCTAGAAGGCACGATTAAAGATACTGGAGGTATTAAAATCATTTTTCACTACAGCAGCAGAAAAAGGAAATTTGTGTGATTTTTATGTCGTAGGCGTAGATTCAACATGAAAGTTAAAGCAAACTGTTTTTTTTTCAAACTAAGGCTGAAAATTGAATATTTTTCTGGACTTATCATATCAATCAAATAGGTTTTCGTTTTAAAGATGTAGCTTAGTTTAGGGCCGAATGCATATCATTGTTAAGTGGGGGTCAAGGTCTATAAGGTATTTTGTATGGGCCATCAAACTGCTTGGGACCCAATTTCGTATACTTTACAATTCGTTATTATATTAGTTATTTATGAATCTTGTATAATGTTATCATTTCTATAAATAATTTGAATTTAAGAATAATCAAAGTAATATTACTTAATTTTAGCCAAGAAACCTGAACTTGACCTTGGTTTTATTGTCGGGGCAAGTGGCCAGGAAGGACAAGCATTGTTGAGAAAACAGCAGCAGATAATCAGAAAAATGCTTACTTCATACGATGTTGCTCCTGGTAAAACTCAAGTCGGATTGATACAGAAAGGAACAACACCAAGGTTGATTGTCAAAATTGGTGATGCGGCAGACTCAAACAGGCTACTATCTGTAATTGACAGTCTAGAAACAAATGATGATGGACGGCTCCTAGATGCATTGAAATTGGCTAATGATGAATTGTTCAACGCTCGGAATGGTGCTAGGCCAGGATACAAGAGAAGCTTGGTGGTGTTTGTAAACGAAAAGATTGACGCAGACACAAAAGCATTGGAAGATATCGGGAGAAAGTTAAAAGACAATGGTATTAATGTTATTGTCGTTGGATTGAATGAAGAAGCTGATAAAGAGAAGATGATGGCAGTAGCACCTTTAAATGATGTGTTCTTTTTCCCGCCATTGCTGGATGAGCTTGATATGGTCTTGTATCCCATCGTGAGGACGACATATCCAGGTAAGTTACTGGAATACCAAGAACATGATATATTTTTGTTAAGTTTTAAAGTGAATGGCTGAGTTGAAAGTGGATGTGTCCATGTGTTTTGTTCTGAAGAAATTAGATTTAGTCATTTTCCAATTAAATTGCATTGTTTCTATATCATGCAAGCTTTTTTTGATCAAATATCTCCACAGTGTATCGTAGTTTGCTTGCAAGGAAGTGAACTGGGCATTATTTTATAATATCAGCCTTTAAGCACAGGCCATTCACTTTAAAACTGTAAACGTTATTTAGCAGTCAAAAGAACAGAAACGCTTAATTGGGAAGTTCTGGGAACTTAATTAAATACAAAAATTATCAACGTTTACGTGTAACTTCTTGTGAAGTCACTTTTCATCTGCATATAGAACAGAATGAATAGCCAAACTTAAATTTAGCTTTCATATTTTGTTCACGATTGGAATTAACATGTTTAATTTCCAAACATTAATGTATTACAAAACAGCCGATTTTTCTGGTCACCCGGTTACTTACTTGGATTTTGAAAACTTAAGATTCATTCTAAAATTTTCACTGTAGAGTTGGTTTTTATTCCAATATAATGTTTGGTTTTAGATCCGTGCCAAAACACCAAATGCAAAGACCACAAGATCTGCTTGCGGACCTCTATCAATAGTTTTGAATGTATTTGCCCTCGATGCCGCCCAGAGTACAATTTTGTCTGTGCTGATGACGGTCGAACATACGCCAGTGAATGTCATATGCAAAGATATGCGTGCCAGGAGACTGTGACGCTTTCAAAGTCATCTAATGGAGCATGCAGTGAGTGTGCTTAGCTTTATGCCATAACATTTCAAAAAAGCCTTAATAAAGCGGGCCACTATTGGACCAGATTCATTGTTTCGCTTTAATACACTTTTATCAGTCTGTTTTAATAACGTTCAATACGTTTTCAGTTTCAATAGGTTTCTTGTAATAGTACTTTGACATTTGTATACTCTGAAAAGTTTTAGCATGTTAAGCAAAAATGTCAAGTGTCAGGCGAAATGCTTAAGCATGTCTGAGAATTTTTTATTTTTTCAAAAGCGTCTTAAGAAAATTTGATAGAATGATTATAGAAACAAATCTCTTCCTCAAATTGAGTTTTTCATATATCCATTATTTTCTATATCAGCAAAGATTTTTCCATAGTAAGCTTTGCCAACTATTTCGTCAATGTATATCTTTCTAGCTATCGCTGGCATTCAAGACATGGTGTTTGCTGTAGATAGCTCTTCTCCAGATAGCGTACTAAGACAAATGAAGCTGTTTGTAAAAGAATCATCAAGGCCATTCGATTTTTCGAGTGGAGCATCTCGCATTGCCCTTATTGAATACAATTCAGAGGTCAAGCAACGCCTAGGCCTTTCGTCTATCACACAGTCAAAGTTTTCATCAGAACTGGACAATATTCGAGCACAAGCAAGTAGCAGTGACTTGAAGAAGGTGATCCAGCATATTCAGGATAACGTGTTTCCACGTTCGTCACCAAGTCGCCCTGGAGCAATTAGGATAGTTGTTTTGCTCATGAACGGTGATTTGCCAGCAAGTGACATCAAGCCACTTGAGGAACGGCTCAAAGCAATGAAGGCAGCTGGTATTCGTTACGTTATTGTTAATGTAGGTAGCACAACAAGTAATGGCAGATTATTAAAAGATCTTGGCAACAGATTTGGTGAAGTTATGTTAATAAAAGAAGCCGAAAATGTTCCAGAAGCCACACCAGTGGTACTGAAATCAGCAGCTGCCGTTAAAGGTAGGTCCTCCAAGGAAAGTAGGCAACAGTTCACTTTAAGCGTGCTTGTATATATGAATGTTTTTTAGGGATTTTCACGTCGGAATTACCCAAGATCGCAATAAAAGAAACTAGAAACTAAGTCAGATTTAATGTATTCCCACAAAATACCATACACTCCCCTTTAACGTTACAACTAAAAGGGTTAAAGTTGTGAAAATGGAAGGGACATCTGAGGAATGAGGAAAGCCAACCTCCGTTAATTCTTTTTAAGTTAGGACTGCAAATGGCTGCCCACCTTGTCTTTTCATCACTACAAAATCTCATGAACAGCAAGTAACAAGCTAATGTCTTTTGTAGCTTTTGTATTACAATTCAAATCCATTTAATGGTATTTTTCCCAACTTAAAACTATTTTTTATACATAATTATTAATAGTCGATGGCGGATATGGACCATGGAGTGCCTTTACTACTTGCTCGAAGAGTTGCGGTTTAGGAGTAAAAAGGCGAACAAGACTTTGCAACAACCCAACACCTGCATTTGATGGAAAAGATTGCAGCCAATTTGGTGCTCCAGAAGAGATCGCAGCTTGCAGAATCAAGCAATGTCCAAGTATGTTTTAAGGGTTTTATATCTTAAACGCAGTTGATATCTTTCTTGTTGGTAGCGAACATCCTATACACCAGACCTGGGCATCTTATGACGTTTCTGTGTGGTCAATCAGAACATGAACTTTTGTAGGAATATTTTCCCACTCGATCTACACAACAATTACATGTATTTACATAAACTTTTAGGTAATATCTATATCTTTCTAATAACAGCTAAAATACAGCTTTAATGGGTGTTTTACCTTCTACAGTAGACGGTGGCTACGGTGAGTGGAGTAACTACAGCCCCTGCAGCAAATCATGCGGAGGAGGTGTGAAGAAAAGGGTTCGTGCATGTGATCAACCTGTGCCTGCGTTTGATGGAAAAGACTGTTCTGAACTTGGCCCAGCCAGCGAAACTATTTCCTGCAATGAACAAAAATGTCCAGGTATTGTTCTAATCGTAAATATTCTCTCCTGTGATGGGCTGTATTTGAGTCTTTTAGATTATTCTTAGATCTTAACTGTTCTGTATGACTTTGCAACTTTAGTTATGTGTAATATCAAAAAAAGGTGGCTGTTCCATAATGCTGTCAATGTATAATTTGGTTACTTTTCGGCTCAAGCCTACGCATAGAAAGTTGCCAGGAGCAAACATCTTAAGCATTGACAATGCCTGGGTTTCTTAACTGCCAGGAAAAACTGGCATTAATTGCTCGTTGTAGAGCAACCTCAAGCTAGTTTATGTTTTAGCTTATCGTTTACTTGCTTTTGTTGCTTATTGTCACATGTACATAACTTTGGTTTATGGACCAAGTCAGCCAATCTCACACAGTTTTCAAGGTGTTTTTCAAATTCTATTTTAGCAGCATTTTTTAACGAATGTGCTCAATTCTGGAAATTGAAATTTATGTTGGAATCTACTCCAGGATATTTGCAAATAGAATCTATGAACTGTACCTAAAGTAACAAAGTATTCGTATTTTTTACATAGTTGATGGTGGATACGGGGCATGGGGTAACTATTCTCCTTGCTCAAAGACCTGCGGAGAAGGTAAAAAGGTAAGAAGGCGACAGTGTGATACCCCGAAACCAGAATTTGGTGGGCAGAACTGCACTAAGCTTGGACCAGCGGACGAAACTGTTACCTGTAATCTGAGACCTTGCCCAGGTAAGTACTCTCGTAGTTATTCAACTTTACATTTTCTGTTTCATTTTTAAAGCTTCGATTGCAAAGTCTTTCAGCCAAGGGGATAAGGGAGAACTTGTTGGTCAAGCCTTTTGTCTTACAGAAAAGAGTCAATAATCTATTGTATGAAAGAAAGTAGCGTCACTTTGCTGTAGTCGTTTGGCTAACGCCAATGGGGTGACCTCAAGGGGTCGTTTTCCCCTAACTAATTGGTTTATAAATTATTTTATCTTTGAGGTTGTTTAGTGTAAAAAGGCTCACCTAGCCAGAATTACATGGCATTGTTGTTAGATTGTTGGTTTCTAGATAGTACCATGTTGGTTGATTCAGATTTTTCTTTGTCTTTGGCAGTTGATGGTGGTTATGGTGCGTGGAGCAGCTATACTCCCTGTAGCAAATCATGCGGAGGAGGTGTGAAGACAAGGGCTCGTGCATGTGATAAACCTGAGCCAGCGTTTGGTGGAAAGAACTGCTCTGAACTTGGCTCAGCCAGCGAGATTATTCCTTGCAACGATCAGAAATGTCCAGGTATTGCAAGCTTCTATATTTTATACAGTGCTTCTTACCTGGTCTTGTTTAATTAGTTGTTTTCTATGGTTTCTGCAGGTTTATGAAACATAACATTGTATTATCCATTATTAATCGAATTTTACATTAAAAAGCGCCTGCCATTTGGTAATAATTATTGATCAAAATGAAAAAGGTATATATAAGCGACCATTATCATGATTCAAACTGTATTAGTAGTAACTAAGAGGGCTCTATCTTTGCCTTGTAGAAAAAGTTGATATTGCTATACTGCTTGGCTCATCAGAACCAGATTTAGAGTCAAAGTTCAATGCCCAGAAATCCTTCACAAGGTCATTGATTAAGAAATTAATCATTTCAAGACAAGGAGTTCTGCCAGCGTTTGTCTCTTACGGCCCTGAACCAGTCATCAGATCGAAAATTGGAGAGCTAGCAGAACAGCAAGCTGTTCTAAGATTTATTGACAGGATTCCAAATGCAAAACAAAGCAGCAATATTTCTAGTGCTCTTGGGGTCATTGATCGCATCGTGTTCTCAAACCAGCAAGGCGCGAGACCGAATGTTCCAAAGTCCATTTTGGTATTTGTCGACAAAAAGAATATTGGCAACGAAAGAGTGCTCACAGGGCTGGCTAAAAAGTTTAAGGATAAAGGAACAAAGTTGGTGGTCGTAGGACTAGGTGACGACGTGGATAAAGATGCATTGAGACCTTTGGTCCACAACAATGGAGCCATTTTCTTCCCTCCAACATTAGCAGAGCTTGACAGAGTCATCCAGCCTGCTGTAGCTGCATTGAATCCTGGTTTGTTTCAAACTATTTTCTTGTCTATCATATTTCTGCATCCATTTGATATATATATCTGTCTTTCTAAACTGTTTTCTTATTCGTTCGTATTCTTTCATGATGACTTACATAAAGATTATTTCAAGATTCTTTTAAGGTTTGTTGTGAGATCCTGAACTTCAATGCCTGTGCGTCAAAGTGCAATTTTGGCTTTGATAATTTTTATGAAGATTTCAATCTAATTAATGCTGCATTTACTATTTATTGCTTTATCAGATACCTACGAAAAGAATTTTAGTTTTTGTAAATAGGCTGTTAACTTCAAATAAATTCTAGTGAAAAATAGGAATGGTAACTTTTCAAGTACAATAAAGAGAGCAGCTGTCTACCAATACATCCTTTTCATGCTTTTTACTTTTCATTTAACGGTGCTTTTTATTGGCGTTTTCTATTTCTATCAGAAATTTGCTGGAATACCAAGTGTGAGTTCCATTCACAATGCAAAGAGAAGAACGGGAAACCTACTTGTTTGTGTCCTGTTTGTAATGAGACTGAATATGCACCAATATGTGGAACTGACGGTATGACATATGCAAATGACTGCTACTTGAAGCAAGCATCTTGCAGAATAAAAAGACCCATCAATATTGCCAAACATGACGCTTGTGGTAAGTATTTTATACACAAGGACAAGCGTAAAGACAAACAGAAACTTGCTTGAGAAAGTGCTCTCCCAAATTAATGCAATCTTTATTCTTTTGAAGTGACTTGAAAATGAAGAATTGAGAAGGCTGCTGTCTTTAAAATGTGCATATCTATGACATCTTTGCGTAATAAGTTGCTTCTTTAGTCACTAAGAAATAGACATAGCACTGAACGTCTTGCCTATGTTCTAAAACTTTTACTCATTGTTGACAAATTGTATCAGGTTTGGGAGCTCAGCAAAATGTACCAGTTTCCTCCCCATTATTGTATGCAATGGTTCCAAGATTTTTAGGAAAACATTGTTTTCTTTTAGCGCCTGTCTATTGATAAGTGTCAAACTTTGGTCATTTTTCAGTAGGTCCTCGATTAATTTACTATGCTAAATAGTTAAATTATATCTTGTTCGTTTGCAGGAATCGATGAAAAGATGGATGTAGTTTTCGCAGTTGACAGCTCAAGAAGAGTGGATGAGAGGATGTTTGTTAAAATGAAGAAGATGGTGAAAGCTTCCCTTAGAAGCTACAAGATCGCGCCAACTGAAACCCGAGTAGCAATAGTAACTTTTGGTTCCAAGCCAGAAATTAAGGTCAATTTGATTAATGGAGTTGATCGTGGTGCTGTTGAAAAATCAGTAGACCAGATTGTAGCTATTGGAGGCCCTAGAAGAATGAATAAAGCAATGCGCACTATTAGAACAGACATTTTTGAGAAAGAAGAAAATAAACGAGGAAAATCAAAGAAAATGCTGATTTTGTTGACAACTGGGAAGAATAGCGGCGATGGCTCTGGTGAGCTGCCAAGCGTAGCACGTGAATTACGAGCTGGTGGAGTAGAGGTGATAGCGTTGGTCATAGGAAAAGAGAAAGATGCTCGAGAAATCGAGATAATCACTGGCAAGAAAGATAATGCAGTATATGTTGATGATATCAGCATGCTGCCTAAAGCCATTGGTGCTGTGGAGGCGAAGACGAGGGAGGCTGGTGGTATGTACAATTAACTGTTTACTACCTCTGTCATGAATTTAGTTTCTAAGGACTTGAACAAGGAAAAATTTCCCTTCCTTCTTTGCTTATTTAGATAATTTTTCTTAATTTTGGACTTAACCTTGCTTATTGATCACAACAACATGACGCCTAGTAAATTTAGTAAGTATTAAAATTCTCTAAATCTTACTTCTTATTCAATTTTTTCTCACTAGCTGTAAAACCAAGCCTTGATCTAGCCTTCATCCTTGGAGCAAGTGGAGTAAACAGTATTGGAAGTTTTAGAAAACAAAAAGATATTGCGAAACATCTTCTTTCCTCATACGATACTTCGCCTGGTAATACACAAGTGAGCGTTGTTATCAACACACTTCCGACTACAGCAGATATCAAATTTGGACAGTTCCATGGAGCAAATCTCTTAGCAGCAATAGAAAAGCTGCCTAACACTAAAACTGAAAGTTTGTCAGACGCATTGCATTTCGCAAATGATGATTTATTCACACCGAGAAATGGAGCAAGACCTGGGTTCAAAAAGAGCCTTGTTGTTTTTGTTAATGACGATATTAAAGATGATGGCGACGGATTGTTGACAATTACGAAAAATATCAAGGCCAACGGAATCAATTTGATTATTATCAACATGGATCCAGAAGCCAATAAAGACAAGATGCAAGCTATTTCTGGGTTGAATAACGTCTTCTTTTTCCCACCATTGCTAGAGGAGCTAGATTTAGCTTTGTATCCAATCATTCGGGCAATATACCCAGGTATAAATTCATATTTTTTTTCTCTATAAAAGGTTTTAGTCTATGATCGACCATCAGGTGTTTTTTAGTCGAATACCTAAGAAGCATTTTTACCCAAAAGATTTAAGAAGCGGTTTTCTGAAAAGGCGTGATATTTAAAGAGAGGACGTCTTAAACAGTTAAACAATTTTAGATTTTTCGCTTACATAACTTCAAAGAACACTATAAAAAACCTCTTAATATGCAAAATCAGCTAGTCGAGAACTGGCTGAGATATGGCTAATGAAAGATCTGAGGTTTGCGAGAGGATTTCATCTAAATTGGCTTTGTTCATAAAAGTTATGAATAGAGACCAAATTACAGCAATTTGATGAGGGAAAAGAAGCTTGTAACGCATTTAACTGAGTTACCACATAGAGAGGTATTTTGTGATGGTCTTTAATACTATGTGGTTCAAGTGACGACATTCTAGATGGGTTTTTTCAAACATCATCACTTGAGGACTACCTGTTCTCTTTACACATACATAAACCACCGTTTATGCAACTTTGTAATAATGTTTTTATTTATTTATAGACCCATGCCAGTCAGTTAAATGTAAGGGATACAAGGTTTGCGCTAGAAGATCTTTCCAAACTCACGAATGTGTCTGCCCATCATGCAGTACAAGGTATAGCTTAGTTTGCGGTAGTGATGAGACAACCTATGCAAGTGAGTGCCATATGCGAAAGCATGCTTGCAGGACACAAAAAGTCATCAATGTAAAGAAAGATGGACCTTGTGGTAAGCATAGCTAGTATTGGTTAAAGGTAGCTTTAAGGTTTCAATAAAAATAATAGATATCAATGTCATTGCGTATATGAATCCTGAACCCTTATACTTATGATTAAGAACGCTAGATAATATAAAAACTATGTACTAGGGTCTCTTGGATGCAGTTATAAGAAAGATATTGGAAAAAAGTGAAACTATGCTTGAAGAAGTGTTCCGCGTCGTTTCCTTTTCTTTTAAAGCTTTCTTTTCCATTCACAACCAGTGTTCAATGGACAATGTTTGGCCCAATCAGTGTTGATCGAAATGAATCCAAAATCCAGGTTAAAATGACAAAGGTTGCTTGAATTTTTCTATTTATGAATTGAATGATGGCATGCTTCAATTTTCCTTTGAAAATGGTAATGACATTGTTTTTCATAACCTTTTTACCAACAATCGATTCTTTTTTCAGATACCACTGGTCTTTTGGATGTTATATACAGCGTAGATGCAACGTCTTCAAATGATGATCTACACGAAATGAAAAAGCTTGTTGATAATGCAGTTAAACCTCTTAATGTTGATAACGGAGAAGCAAGAGTAGGTCTTGTCAGCTTTGCAAATGTTCCAACCATGCTTGATGATTTCACCAAAAACGATAAATCTAGGCTATCTCTAGCGTTGGATTTTATAGAGCAGGCCCCAACTACAAGTAGTACTACTGGAGCTCTAGCGTTTGTGAAAGAAAAGTTCTTTAACCCCACTATCGCAAGAGCGCAAGCAAAGAAGCTGATTATTATGTTTGTCAATGGAAATAAACAAGTTCCTGATACATCAAGACTGGAACCAATGCTGAAGTCATTTAATTCATCAAACATCGGATATATTCTCATAAGCAATGACAGAGCAGGCATTTACACTGTTGCACTGAGACGAGTAGCTGAAAAGTATGGAACAGTGATTCGAACTGTGTCAAACAGAGAACTACCTGACGCCCTGCCTGCGATAATCGAAGCTGGCGAAAAAGAAAAGGGTATGTTCTGCTACTCTCATTATCATGCGTAATTAAAAGTAATTGAAATAAATCTGCGTTCGTTAACAATCAGCGCTCGGTTAAGAAGCTTTTAGTTATTTCAATTTAGAAAGAAGATCATTTAGAATCATTTCAACATAGTACAGAATTATTACTGTAAGAAAGAGGCTGATTTACAGAAGGACGTTTAATTGTTGCGTAATCTCCATAAAACCAGACTAATGATACCTATGAAACAAATGCTATCGTAATTTGAATGCATTTTTTTGGTTATTATTACCATTATTATCTTCTCGGTTAGAGTTTCGTTTGCCTATAATTCTTTAGAAACATTGCCCATTTATTCTATAGCAATATATTGCTCTTGATATAGCATGATTTGATGCGGCCAAGCACACTAAGGTGATTTGATACAGTATATAGCCTGCTGTATTGTGTTTCAATATCAATAAGTTTCTATTTGCGTTCCAACAGATCCTTGCGAAGGTGTGTCCTGTGATTTCTTTGCATCATGTGTCAATGGAAAATGTCTATGTCCAACTTGTGCCGAACACCAGAGATATGATCCTGTATGTGACACTGATGGACTGTCCCATGCTAATGAATGTTACCTGAAAAAGGCATCGTGTGAGCAAAAGAAAGTATTCACAATATCTCAGAGAAGGGTTTGCGGTAAGAAATCTATTTTTTTCTATTTGGCCATGAAAGGATGCAATGATTACCACCTATGGCTTACATCATATATGTGTTTAACCTAATGAATCAACAATTAATAGGGCTTGGCTCAAATACCATTTGATGAGAAGATAAATTCTTAGATAATCTTTAACGGATTCATTGTTGTAATTATGGATATCCTGACTTGAACTAAAGTATATAATGTCGAAATTATTGTACTAAGCTAAAATTTCTCCCCGTCGTTGAATAGTGAGTTTGATGACATAAAAGCACAGAGTATGAAGACAATTTCCTTCACAGTTATATACTTGATTTTTTATTGACTTACACCTTCCATGCTATTATCTAACCCTAGTCGAGGACGAAAAAGCTTAAAATCCTACTATGTTTTTAGGTGTCTTGGATAAAATGGATCTTGTCTTCGCAATTGACACATCTTCCAGGTTTAATCGAACGGAGGTAACAAAAATTAAAGAGCTTGTTGCAGCATCGATTAAAAGCTACCAAATTACACAGCAGCTTGCTCACATTGGTTTGGTGAGCTTTGGCAGTATTGCTACTTTGGCACTGCCCTTACGAAATGGTGTTCAACGTCGTAGTGTGAGGACAGCCCTGGCATCGCTCTCTGAAATCAGAGGACAAACGTCTCTCAGTGTTTTGGCGCAAATGTTAGAGAGAACAGCTTTCAGTTCAGCATACGGTGCGCGGGCGTCAGCGCCAAAAGTTGTTGTCATTATAACGGATGGAAAATCAGGCGTCTCTGATGAAGCACAGTTCCCCGTTTATGCAGCTTTGCTCAACAGAGCTGGTATTAAGATAGTTATCGTTGATATTGGTGGGAATGCCAAGACAAGTCCACTGAGTAGAATCCCTGAAAATCCAACTAACTATATACCAGTTTCTAATGTCAATCAGCTACCGGAAATATATGGACTTTTAGAGAGACGAGTAGCTGTTATTACAGGTAATTTTCAAAACAAGGTTTTCGCTTGATGGTGTTAGTTTTGAAATTTCCTATTCAAATTATTCAAATTTCTTATTTCTTATTCAGTTGATACTTTGAGAATGCAACTCATTCTATCGTTTGTGTTAGCAAAAAACTTTCTGAAGTAGTTAGCACAAGTTTTTTGTTAGAATTTTATTTAAGTTTGATTGAAACTATCCTTGAAAAAAAAAACTGTTTTTTGCCATACCAAGCATTGTTATTGCGATTTTTAAGAAAAAATGCGAGGATATTTTGCATCTAAATCCAAGTGTTTCATTCTATATTAAATGATGCTTGCTTAACTGCAAATAAACGCTCAAGGCTTTAGTTGTGGCCGACTTTGTTACCAAAAAGCAACAGCCACAGTAAATTGGCTTTTAAATTAACTCTTAACTTGTAACTTCATTTTTTTAGCAAAACCAGAACCACTTGATCTCGGTTTCGTGGTTGGAGCCACTGGTCCAGAGGCATCAAGTATTTTCCAAGCTCAGATTGGTTTCCTAAAATCACTTCTGTCATCATATTCTGTGTCAAAGTTACAGACGCAAGTTGGCGTTATAACGTACGGTAGAAAAGCCGAATTGACATTCTCTCTCAACAAATATGACAGCAAATCAGACCTAAGAACCGCACTGGAGAAACTTAGAAACCCTGGAGACGGCACCAATATTGGGGAGGCATTGCAACTAGCCAGGACAGTGCTCTTTTCTGAAGAGAATGGCGCCCGTCGTGGGGTTCAAAAAACACTTGTGATATTTCTAAATGCAAAGATCGATGAGAATAATCAAGATTTTAGGACAGAGCTACAAGCCTTGAAGAGTGCAGGAATTCGTGTGGTGGTCATTGGAATCGGTTCAAATGTTGATAAAAAACAGGCCAGAGAGATAGCATCAGCAAATGCTGTGTTCTTTCCTCCTATGTTAGAAGAAATGGATCTATACCTATATTCTGTTTACATAGCAACTCTTAAAGGTTTGTGCATAGTTTGTTAATGGTATTCTTAAAAGACATAGCGGGATTTATCAGTAATGCCAAAGGGAAAGTAAATATTAGTTGATTATTTTCATTCTCGACACTGCAGTTCTTTCGGATGGATGCATTGTATGATGATTCTAAAACAGAGAATACAAATTTTTTGCCTGGTTTCATGAATGATTTCATGAATGAATTTACTCTGAAAATTGTTTTAGTCAACCTGACATTTATCTTAGAAAGTGCAACTTAGTCGAGAATACGGTTCATTTCTTGCAAAGGAATTCATGTGACACACATAATCAAACATAATAAATGACGTCATCCCAATTTCATAAATTTCAAATGTAGACTACTTTCTTTGCAGATATTTGCGCTGGCAGAAAATGTCATCGTCACAAAGTGTGTGTTGAGTTGCCGGACAGACGTGCTGGTTGCTACTGTCCGAGCTGCCAAGATGTTTATAAACCTGTTTGTGCAAGTGATGGAAAGACGTACGCCAGTGAATGCTGGATGACTTACAAGGCCTGTTCATACGATCTAGAACTGACAAAATCGTCTTCAAAGCCTTGTGGTATGTCAAAACAAATACCAAATAGTGAATTCATAATTTTTATAACAAGTCTAAAGAGTCGATTGATTATTACAAATCCAAGAATATCCAGCAAGTAATTTTGTTGATATTTCACGATAGTTAAAAAGATGTAGGTAGTTTTTCTTCGTTTGCTTCCCCATGAACAGATATTTGTCTTACCCTTTTTAGTCCATTTCTGATACTCGCAAGTCTCATAGTAATTGTGTTTTTTCATTTGTAACCATTTCTTTTTAGCTGTTGCCTCATATGCTGATGTCGTGTTTGCTGTTGATGGTTTAATCAAACGCCACGAACTGATTAAAATATCGGAGTTGATTCTGGGGGCTCTGCAACAATATAATCTTTCACCTACAAATACCAGAGTGGCATTGGTACAATATGGAAGCAGAATAGATGTATTGCATTCACTCGGAAACCCAGATTTGACTGCTATTCGAAACAAAGTCTATAGTTTTTCCAATCAAAAGGGACAACGTAATATACCAAACGCTCTGAGCCAAATAGATTCAAATATCTTCCAACAAGCTGTGCGTTCAGGATCTAAAAAGGTCGTTTTCATGTTTATCGCTGGGCCTAGTAGTGAAGTGAATAAACAAGAGGTGGACGCTGTAGCAAAGAGACTCATGGCAAAGAACATTCAAGTTATTTTTGCTTACATTGGTGACCACGACAGCAGCATGTTGCAGCCTTTGGTCAGACAAAAGGAAGATATTATGCACGTGTATCCATCCTTTGAGATTCCTTTCGTCATTGATCCTGTCCTTAGAATGAGTGGTGTAAGACAGGGTATGTTAATGTATTACTTATTATTACCCGCAACATAAATTTATATCTCATGACACTAAGGACCTTCAATTTATATTCATTAAATAAATCAAAAAATTCAACACATAACGCAATCAGTGCTTGATGTGGATCTTCTGATTTTCTTTCTTGGTCAAATTCACATGTAGCCATATCATCTGATTCTAGATCCACGTGCATAAAAAATTTCACAAAGTAATTAGAGAAAAACTTTCTACTGTAAGATTCTTTGCTAAAAGAGAAATGAGTTGAATCAATTGAATGCTTGAATAGATTCAGCCTGTCAAGAGATAATATCAGCAAAAATAAAACAAGAAGAGACGCTGATAATGTTGACTTTGTTCAGAATTTCAAGGTCAAAAGTTACAAATCCTTGATTTGTAGAGGTACTTTGTAGCCTTACTTTTGAATGTAGACAATTATAGTTTGTTTTGAGTATAAATAATTATAGTTAGTATAAATAACCGCTAAAACGCTTTCAATAATTGTTTTTATAGACGAGAAAAAGCCATGTGAGCCATCGTTGCACTACAGCTTTGCAAACATATCAAGGAATATATTTGTCAGCGATGACTCAGGCCATGAAAACAGTGGATCGATACAAGATGAAGCCTCCTTCCTAGCCAACATTGGGTATTGCATGTCAAGTGCGCAGCTGAAGAATGGCATAATAAACATCAATGGCGCTAACTTTAGGCCAAAACCAAGCACTGCAGTGACAATCGCCGCGTGGGTCAAATTGGATAGAATAGGCCCAACTCATGAGCTCTTTGTCACTATAGACCCTGGATGGACATCACAAAGGCTAAAGACGATTTATAATTTCGAGATAAACGGCGATGGCTCTGTTCAATTTACACACAGGTATGTATGGTAAAAAGATTTTCTACAAGTGATGATAGATAATATGCATAAATTTTATACATGATTATGCAAAGAACTGTTAAAATGCATAAGCTCTCGTTTTTTGATACATATACTTAGTGGAAAATATCCTCCCAGTTTTTTAATTGAATTGCTCACATTCTTTTAGGGGTGTTTTTGGCAAAAGAAGTGCACCCGCTGTAAGAGCAAACGTCTGGACCCACGTGGCTGGAACGTTTGACTCTGCTACTCATGAAGTTAACATTTATGTAAACGGCACGAGATTAACACGATTCATGAGGTTCGATCCAACACAAGACAATCTTCTAAGCAACGATTGGAGTGAGCTTGCCGTGATTGGGCGACTTGACTATGGCACCGCAAGCTCTACAAGAAAGCTAGAGGGACTCATTGATGAGTTCTACATCTACCCATGTGCCTTGTCAGCGAAGCAAATTGTGGAGCTCAAAGATAGAAAATGCGACGAAAGTAAGCTAGTTTCCATTGTTTTTTCAGTTTAGATAAATAGTTTACTCAATCTTCTAAGAATGATGAAATATCTAAGTATTTTCGACAAAAGAGGGCCATGGTTGCTGCTTGAACCATTAACGACAAGAATATCATTCATAATCAAATATGGTTTTTTTGTTAATCAACAATAAATCACGAGACTTATCGTGGCTGTATTCCCTCGGTAGCTGGTTTCCTTTGAACAAGCGCACAATTTCGTTAACTGTTTTTATTTCCCAATCCCCTAACTATTTCTAATGAATTATTTATCTTAAATAAAAAGAAACTCTTGATGATTAAATCGTTGGAATTTCTTTCTTAAAGGACCAAGAGACGCCTGTGCTAAGAAGGTTTGTAGTTACTATGCCACGTGCAAAGTAGAACCAGATGGAATTTCAACGAAATGTGTATGTCCTGAGAAATGTGGAACTGTTAACGATCCAGTCTGTGGAGACAATGGTGAAACTTATAAAAGCGAATGTGAATTAAAAATGGCCTCCTGCAGAACGAAGCAGCCTATTGCTATTGCCTCGAAGGGAGAATGTGGTACGTTTGCTTAAAGAGCGTAACATTCTGTCTGATTCTGTCGAATTTCTCATGATGCTTTAAAAATTTTCAAAACATTGTTTAGGCCATATATAATTGTTATGGTCTCCTTACTTCCCCTATTGTAGGTTACCCAGGTAACTCACTGCAAAGAAGAAACGAATCTAAAGTGATTTGCTTAAGACGTAGAAAACGTGCTAGGTTTAAAAGTTTGGGATCTATCAAACGATCTTTTATTATTTATCCTCTAGAATACAACGCTCACTTTGGTGGATCATCTCATCTGCTGTTTAGCATAACTGGTGTGAACGTTAAATCAAAATTTGATATTAGCTTGAAACCTGAATATGGAAATGGCATTCTCTTTTACATCGGTGCACGAAACGATGGAAGAGGCGATTTTGCTTCTTTGGCTCTTGTGGATGGATTTGTGGAATTCAGGTAATTATATATTTTTTAACTGCTAGAAGATATAACGAGGGATTTGTAAATTGACTGTAGACTATTTTAAGGCAGAAGACCTCAACGGCTTTCGTAGACTGGTACCTTCTAGGCTATGTGGTAATCTCACTCTTTCTAACTGAAGATTTTTAACTCAATGAGACTTTGATTATAGGTTTTGAAGATTGTGAAGAAAATAACAGAGTATATTGAAATGTCAAGGTAGTTGAGAAATAGGATTGCATCAATATTATTCATAATGAATTCATTATCAAATAAATATCACTGATTAATTGTGGCTGCATTTTAGATACGACCTTGGACAAGGACCAGCTCGTATCCGTTCTAAAGAAAAGTTGTCACTGCATAAATGGCATAACATTGTTGCTTCAAGAATCGGTTTTAGAGGAGAACTCAAGATTGACAGCCTTGCATCAATCAAAGGACAGCCTACACGTGCAGGATTGACTCAGTTGAATGTCAACAGAAACTTGTATTTTGGTTCGGTGCCAAGCATTTCAAAAGGGTGAGTATACTCAAAGCATATGTTGGATCACGTCTTTAATTTTTATCACGTATTTACCAGAGCCTTTATTATATTCGGCTCGGGTCCATATCTCTCTGGGCGGGATTGGATGCTTCTAAAAGAAAGTAGATATATCATCATTGAAAATTCCAATTTTTAGAAACTCTGATATAGAATCTGTATCGAATGAAATACTTTTTTTAGGCAAAAAGAAAACGCTGGAACTGACATTGGCTATCGGGGATGCATCCGGAAATTGAGCTTAAATGGAAAGGACCTGAGTCTGAAGTACCCTGGACCAGATGTGAAGGAGCAAAACAATGTTTCACCAAATTGTGGGAAAAGTCCATGTTCCTCTGTTCCATGTCTCAACGGTGCTGCGTGCATTGTCACTAGTGCCAATACATACAGATGTCAATGCCAGCTTGGGTTCAAAGGGACTAAATGTGACGACAGAGGTACTTTTTACTTCTCTTCTGCATTCGTTTCACTTCACATACTTTTATGCTTGCGATTTGCTTGGACTCAAAAAGACTTTGTAAACCACTTTAAATGTAGTTTTTTAGAAAATGTATTGGCATTCTTTTGATTTCTTCGAATAAGACTCTAAATTTTGTCCTAGACAACATTTTATTGGTAAATCCCTATTCTCACAGTACTTATTGTAATTATTGAGCAGTGGAATCCAAAAAAATCGGAAAAAATGAAAAGTACAAATGCTAGACAAAATATTTAGGTGCTCTAAGGAATTTTTTATCATCTCGTGAAAGTATCAAATCGAAATGAGACCAATTATTATTTTTCTAGTATACACACTACCGCCACCTCCTGCGTATTTCAATGGGAAGACTTCGTACGTCAGCTACCAACAATTGAAAGATAATAAGCGTTCAATGAAATTCGCAATGGAGTTCAGAGCAGAGAAAGAAAGCGGCATGTTAATATACAGCCAAGGACCAAAGGGTGTAAGAGACTTCTTCATGGCTGCACTGGAAAATAGGCACATTGTCGTAAGGTAGATACAAATATGGTTTTATAGTATTACTTTAAGTACTGTCTGTATTCAGTATCTGGAGTTATTGATTGTTGTATTATTTTCCTTTATGATATCAATTCATATCTAGTTATATTTCTGCAAACACATCAAATCGCTAGCACCATGTAAACCAGGGGTCGGCAACCTTTATAAAACAGGGGGCCAAATTTGATTTTTGAAATGCATACGAGGGCCGCAACTCAAAATACAGTAAAATTTTAAGATATACCAATTCTACCTGACTACTAATCTAATCAATAAAAATGTATTTATTGGTAAATGTACTGTAACGTGGGAGCTGTACGTAAATACAAACATAGATGTAAAGTACATGTTCACTGTTCAGTGTATTACAAGAAGCTAATGGGCAACTTGGTGCTGCACGTCCTTGGCCAACTTCTCAACATTTCGCAGAATGGTCGATGTTGGCAGCCGCAAGGTGCCTTCAAGGTGCTGATCAGTCATTCGAGATCGCAGTCGACTTTTCGCATGCTTCATCTTTGAGAAGAGACTTTCGCAAAGGAGAGAAGTACTTCCAAACACGCAACACATCTTTCTTAGCATGCTGCACCAGACCTTGATATGAAGCATCATCCACCATGGAGATACTCCATATAAAACGGGATTATCTGAGTTTCCTTGTATTTCTCTCTCAATTCACTGGTACCCTGCAGCTCGATCAACTCCATTTGAAGATGGAAAGTGAACCAAGTTCCATTGATTCAGCTGAGTTTTCCAAAGATGTAGCATAAGCAGAAACATGACGTGTTCATACATGACATTCACAAATTGACAATGGCCTTGAAGCTTCTTGTTCAGCTTGTTCCAGTGACTAGTAATGTGAACGAGGAATGCTAATCTAGGCAAGAATCTAAGATCACTGAATCAATATCGAGCTGACACTCGTGCGTTGGGCCACATTATTTACAGGTTAACAGGGACCTTCCGGGCCACACAAAAGTACCTTGCGGGCCGCGGGTTGCCGACCCCTGATGTAAACGTTTTAACGTGCAAGCTTCGCATTAAATCTAGTCCTATGTAAAAGTCCTCAGAATTCATTTTGTTAGACATATTCTGTTCAGATCATGTAAATCCTATTGCAAATAATGGATATAGCTTGATTTACTATTTCAATCAATTTTCTTGCACATGTTCAATAACAATATTATTGAAGACAATAGTTTGAGGGCCTTTTTGATATCATAATGTTTTGCATGCAGAAGTCTTTTTATCTTCAAAAACAAGCATTTGATTTTATCTTATTCTTAATAGCATCTTATCTAAATCTTGAACTTAATGGATTTTGTCTATAAACTCAGCTCTGTTTTGTTTTTCAGATTTTAATTCCTTTTCTCATCTCATAATATTAAACATCATCATTCCATGATCAAGAGATCAAAGAGATTTAATTTTAACTACCAATAACATCTTCATTGGTTTCTTGTATACTTCATATTCTTTTCTTCCATGTGGAGGAAGATTACTAGTTGTGTGTAAAATATTTGAGCTTCCTTTCTATTTACCGAACAGTTTTTTATAACAAAATGTTGCCCTTTGCAGCTACGATTTGGGTGATGGGAATATAACGACGAAAAGCGAACTTCGTATCAGAATGAACAGCTGGGTATTTCTTAATGTGACAAGAGACAACAAAATTGTTCAAGTCTTGATAAACGGTCGAAGAGTATCCAGGGCAGTTTCGCCTGGCCAAAAGACTATCTCAAATTTGCATACGGTCATGCTTATTGGTAAAGCAGAAAACCTTATTAAAGGAAAGAGGTAAGGCTTATTTGAACGAAGATTTATTAGAGTGCACTATTCCGCGATTTGTCTAAGATTTCTATTTCACTCTTTGCCTTGGATAAAGTCGGTTGCTTCTGACATGTTCTCGGCTGGTTTAGGGTAGATCCTCATTTTTGTGATGAATTTAGGAGTTTCCTAGCGTTTCTGCAAGGAAAGTTTGCTAGAATCATTATTTAGAAGTTTGGGAATTGACTACCAGAAGAAGTAAAACCTTTCTCTGTAAGATCTCCTATGTAAGGGACACTTGTGGAGCAATAAATTGCCACCCATCGATTTTCATATAAAAATACTTGTACAACAATCATCTTGCATTTTCCTGTGTAGGTACAAAAAATATTTCAAATGTTTGCCAAAAAAGCTTATTCCTTATGAGGACTAGCAAGTTAGAAATGACTTTTGAGCAGTTGGCGACATGAAGATAAGGTAAAGATAAATCACATTTACTAATGCATGATCTTTCTAATATTTATAGGCATCCTGTCCAAGTTCACAGCCCATTTAAAGGATGCGTCAAGCTTGTAGTTGTTGATGACGAGCGACTCAGTTTGCGCAAAAACGATAAATATTCCATCAAAATCAACGATATTACACGATGTGCAGGTATGTTTTTATAACATAAAATATGAGGTCGAGGATATTACACTTTTCTCAGAATGGAATGTTTTTGGTGTTGTTCTGCCTTTTTTGAGGAACATAGTAAAATATGATGAAAAGTAAGCTCCTCTGACATGCAACTGACAAATTCTGAACGATTTGGAAAATTTGCCTCTTAAATCAGATATATTCCACAAAAAAATCGACCAGGCAAAATACACAGAATATTCACTTAACGTGCACACACAAAGCTGAACTTCATCAAATGAAAATTAGCGATCTTAATGGTTTCTTCTGTATAAAAACTCTCTTCTCTTCTTTCGAAAACATCCAGTATTTGAGAAATAAGCAAATTTTCTGTAACATTACTTAAAACGTGGGTAACATAATGAACTTTGAAGGTAGCATTTCTCGTTAAAATTCACTGTTCGTCTAGAACAGTAAGAGCTGGCTGATATTATTTGGTTTCTTGAGCAGACAACAAATAATCAGGCAAAATATTTGATCCACGTTGTTCAAATCATCATCCGATTTGACATTAATTACAGAATTGGCAGCAAAGAACCTTTTTCCATTGGGTTTTATTCAATCAATTCTAGGTTGTTATCAGCGATCAAACATCCTCTTCCTGTTGGATAATTCAAAGAATATTGGATACGATGGTTTTGAAAAATCAAAGAACTTTATCACTGCCATTGCTGGATACTTCAGTCCTGAGTCAACAAGTATTGGTTTGATGGAATTTTCTGGGCAAGCCAAAGCAACGATACCTTTTCAAGCCAATCGCAAAATCGAAGAGCTCAAGTCACTTGTGAGCAACATTAAATTTGAAAACGGGCAAGGACATTCGATTCTAAATGCTTATGACAACGTGGTGACATATTTCCCTGAAAAGCCTCTTCAAGGTGGGAAGATTGTCGTTCTCGTTACAGCTGCGGAGGAGACAGACCCAACTAAGCACTTGTCTGCTGTTTTAAAACGGTTGGCTTATGAGCGTATTGGCGTGAAGTTCTTTGTTGTTGCTGCTGATGATAAAGTCACGAGTAAGAGGCTTACAGACTATTCCAGTGGTGGAACATACATGTATCAATCAGAGAATTTTGATGATATTATTGGATCCGTAACTAAAATCCGGAACACAATATGCCGCCTTGCACGATTCAGTTAAGAAAAAATAATCAATACTTTTATAGAAGGTATATGGTTACTATAAACAGTGACATATTTGCAAGACTAGATAAAATTTGAAATTTTTTTGTAATGCTACGTTTAGTTTGCGCTTAGGTAAAAATAAAACTTTTCAACGAATATGAATGCTCTTGGTAATCCAAAGCAAGAATTTAACGAGGTAGGCCCTTTATTATTGTCGTTCGAGAAATTCAGCCCTGAATAGGATTCGGAAGAATATAACGAAGCACGAAGAGTCATTTAGTCTTAGTCTTACCCTTGGTTAGACAAAAGACTCACAGTAGCAGAGTTCCCTGCAGAAAAAGCTGGGTTCCCTACATTCGAAAAATCGTCCGATTGTCCGATTGAAATTGTCCGATTTTCGGTAAATTCCTCTCAAGTTTGCTAATTTCAAAATAATGTTCAATATCATCTCTTTCTTTGCAAGTAAAATATTTCTTCAATTGGCTGTAGTCATTTTTCATACGGTAACTCAACTGTGACTTTTTAACAAGTATAAACCTTGAAAATTTTACTGGCTAAAATACGTTTCTATTAATACTTTCAGGAGAACCTTGTATGTTGAGCCATAAAATAAATGAATTGAATATAACCATTTAATTATACTATTTGGTCTACCAAATATCATATGAAGGCTAAAATCTCGTTAGATTCTGCCCTTGTATTACTGTCAAGAGTATTACTGTTTTTAGGGTGAACTTGAATTCACTTGTGTTTGTAATCCATTGTATAAAGGCTAATTAATATTACCGTTTAACTATCTTTGGTAAATCCCTAAACTTCTCATAATACTTATTGTAATTAGGGTATTTTATCTTTTACGGTATTTTAACATTATTCTTATCTGGTTAGAATCACTATTGATAAAAGTTTTTAGATATTTTTGCAGAAGTATTTAGCTTTCTTATGAATATTTTTTAAGTCTTGAAACAAATTTGTAACTTGAATACTGTCTCTCGTAAATTTTCACTTCTTCAATAATTATTGTTCATTAATTTAAATTGTCGATAATAAAACTTAATGGTTATTTTTCAAATCTTTATTCAGGCCTGGATTGCTATCTTTTTTGACTTTCCGAATTAATCACCAAATGATTACACATTTTACCGATTACCGAAATGATTACCAAAAAATAACTTTATTTTGTACTATACAGTATTTTTTGTTTGATTTTACACAAAACCGTATTAAGAATTAGAATAGATTTCAACAAACTTTAGTCTTTTTCCACCCTGTAGGATTGCAAAGAGTATCGGTTTTAGTTCAAAACATAGTCCAGCATAAATTCTGTTAAAAAATATTTTTTCCGCAAAAAATGACTAATAGAAATGCCTGAGTTAAAATTCAAACCAATTAAAGCAGGTTTGGCTAGAGAAAAGTGGAGTTTTTTGACATCACCATTGTCGGCAAGAACGAAGGCTATAGGCCTTGGTAAATTTTTGGCTTTCAACCAAGAAAATTAATGGTCAAAGCTCCAATTTTTCCTCAAAGAAGGCCAATTGAATGGTCTTATTTCTGTTTCAAACCACCTCAAGCTTGTTTGGCTACAGATAAGTGGAGTTTTTAATCAACATTTTCGACGTGATAAAAGCAAGGCTATAGGCTTTTCAAAATTATTGATTTTTGATCGAGAAAATTTCCTACATTTCCAGCCAATGTATGCTTGTTTGGCTAGGAAAAAGGAAGTTTTTTATCAGCACCTTCCTCGTGATAAAAGCAAGGCTATAAGCTTCGCAAAATTATCGGTATTGACAAAGAAAGTTTCTCTTCAAAGCTCCAATTTTTTCTCATAAAAAGGCCAACTAAATGGTCTCATTTATATTTCAAACAAATGCAAAACTGTTTGGCTAGGAAAAAGTGGACTTTTTCATCAATACTTTCATCGTGATAAAAGAAAGGCTATAGGCTTTACAAAATTAGCTGTTTTTGACCAAGAAAATATCGTTTCAAAGCTTCAATTTTTCCTGATAAGAAGGCCATTCAAATTGTTTTATATATATTTCCAGCCAAATAAAGATTGTTTGGCTAAGAAATAGCAGAGTTTTTATCAAAACTTTCGTCGTGATAAAAGCAAGGCTATAGCCTTTGCAAAATTGAGAAAATTTATATTCATAGCTCCAGTTTTTCCTGATAAGAAAACCATTCAAATTGTTTTATATATATTTCCAGCCAAATCAAAATTGTTTGGCTGGGAAATAGCGGAGTTTTTTATCAACACTTTCGTCGTGATAAAAGCAAGGCTATAGCCTTTGTAAAATTATCTGTTTTTGACCAAGAAAATATCTATTCAAAGCTTCAATTTTTTCCTGACAAGAAGGCCATTCAAATTGTTTTATATATATTTCAAGCCAAATCAAGATTGTTTGGCTAGGAAATAGCGGAGTTTCTCATCAACACTTTCGTCGTGTAAAAGCAAGGCCATAACCTTTGCAAAATTATCTGTTTTTGACCAAGAAAATATCTATTCAAAGCTTCAATTTTTTCCTGACAAGAAGGCCATTCAAATTGTTTTATATATATTTCCAGCCAAATCAAGATTGTTTGCCTAAAAAAAGCGGAGTTTCTCATCAACACTTTCGTCGTGTAAAAGCAAGGCTATAGCCTTTGCAAAATTATCTGTTTTTGACCAAGAAAATATCTATTCAAAGCTCCAATTTTTCCTGATAAAATGGTCATTCGAATTGTTTTATATATATTTCCAGCCAAATCAAGATTGTTTGGCTAGGAAATAGCGAAGTTTTTCATCAACACTTTCGTCGTGATAAAAGCAAGGCTATAGCCTTTGTAAAATTAAGAAAATTTATATTCAAAGCTTCAATTTTTCCTGATAAGAAGGGCATTCAAATTGTTTTATATATATTTCCAGCCAAATCAAGATTGTTTGGCTAGGAAATAACGGAGTTTTTATCAAAACGTTCGTCGTGATGAGAACAAGGCTATAGCCTTTACAAAATTATGAAAATTTATATTCAAAGCTCCAATATTTCGTGATAAGAAGGGCATTCAAATTGTTTTATATATATTTCCAGCCAAATCAAGATTGTTTGGCTGGGAAATAGCGGAGTTTTTTATCAACACTTTCGTCGTGATAAAAGCAAGGCTATAGCCTTTGCAAAATTGAGAAAATTTATATTCATAGCTCCAGTTTTTCCTGATAAGAAAACCATTCAAATTGTTTTATATATATTTCCAGCCAAATCAAAATTGTTTGGCTGGGAAATAGCGGAGTTTTTTATCAACACTTTCGTCGTGATGAAAGCAAGGCTATAGCCTTTGTAAAATTATCTGTTTTTGACCAAGAAAATATCTATTCAAAGCTTCAATTTTTTCCTGACAAGAAGGCCATTCAAATTGTTTTATATATATTTCAAGCCAAATCAAGATTGTTTGGCTAGGAAATAGCGGAGTTTCTCATCAACACTTTCGTCGTGTAAAAGCAAGGCCATAACCTTTGCAAAATTATCTGTTTTTGACCAAGAAAATATCTATTCAAAGCTTCAATTTTTTCCTGACAAGAAGGCCATTCAAATTGTTTTATATATATTTCCAGCCAAATCAAGATTGTTTGCCTAAAAAAAGCGGAGTTTCTCATCAACACTTTCGTCGTGTAAAAGCAAGGCTATAGCCTTTGCAAAATTATCTGTTTTTGACCAAGAAAATATCTATTCAAAGCTCCAATTTTTCCTGATAAAATGGTCATTCGAATTGTTTTATATATATTTCCAGCCAAATCAAGATTGTTTAGCTAGGAAATAGCGAAGTTTTTCATCAACACTTTCGTCGTGATAAAAGCAAGGCTATAGCCTTTGTAAAATTAAGAAAATTTATATTCAAAGATCCAATTTTTCCTTATAAGAAGGCCATTGGAATTGTTTTATATATATTTCCAGCAAAGTCAAGATTGTTTGGCTAAGAAATAGCAGAGTTTTTATCAAAACTTTCGTCGTGATAAAAGCAAGGCTATAGCCTTTGCAAAATTGAGAAAATTTATATTCATAGCTCCAGTTTTTCCTGATAAGGAGACCATTCAAATTGTTTTATATATATTCCCAGCCAAATCAAGATTGTTTGCCTAGGAAATAGCGGAGTTTTTTATCAACACTTTCGTCGTGATAAAAGCAAGGCTATAGCCTTTGTAAAATTAAGAAAATTTATATTCAAAGCTTCAATTTTTCCTGATAAGAAGGGCATTCAAATTGTTTTATATATATTTCCAGCCAAATCAAGATTGTTTGGCTAGGAAATAACGGAGTTTTTATCAAAACGTTCGTCGTGATGAGAACAAGGCTATAGCCTTTACAAAATTATGAAAATTTATATTCAAAGCTCCAATATTTCGTGATAAGAAGGGCATTCAAATTGTTTTATATATATTTCCAGCCAAATCAAGATTGTTTGGCTGGGAAATAGCGGAGTTTTTTATCAACACTTTCGTCGTGATAAAAGCAAGGCTATAGCCTTTGCAAAATTGAGAAAATTTATATTCATAGCTCCAGTTTTTCCTGATAAGAAGACCATTCAAATTGTTTTATATATATTTCAAGCCAAATCAAAATTGTTTGCCTAGGAAATAGCGGAGTTTTTTATCAACACTGTCGTCGTGATAAAAGCAAGGCTATAGCCTTTGCAAAATTAGGAAAATTTATATTCAAAGCTTCAATTTTTCCTCATAAAAAGGCCATTCAAATTGTTTTATATATATTTCAAGCCAAATAAAAATTGTTTGCCTAGGAAATAGCGGAGTTTTTTATCAACACTGTCGTTGTGATAAAAGCAAGGCTATAGCCTTTGCAAAATTAAGAAAATTTATATTCAAAGCTCCAATTTTTCCTGATAAGAAGGCCATTCAAATGGTTTTATATATATTTTCAGCCAAATCAAAATTGTTTGCCTAGGAAATAGCGGAGTTTTTTATCAACACTGTCGTCGTGATAAAAGCAAGGCTATAGCCTTTGCAAAATTAAGAAAATTTATTTTCAAAGCTTCAATTTTTCCTGATAAGAAGACCGTTCAAATTGTTTTATATATATTTCCAGCCAAATCAAGATTCTTTGCCTAAAAAAAGGCGGAGTTTCTCATCAACACATTCGTCGTGATAAAAGCAAAGCTATAGCCTTTGCAAAATTAGGAAAATTTATATTCAAAGCTTCAATTTTTCCTCACAAAAAGGCCATTCAAATGGTTTTATATATATTCCCAGCCAAATCAAAATTGTTTTCCTAGGAAATAGCGGAGTTTTTTATCAACACTTTCGTCGTGATAAAAGCAAGGCTATAGCCTATGCAAAATTATATGTTTTGACCAAGAAAACATCTATTCAAAGCTTCAATTTTTTCCTGACAAGAAGGCCATTCAAATTGTTTTATATATATTTCCAGCCAAATCAAGATTGTTTGCCTAAAAAAAAGCGGAGTTTCTCATCAACACTTTCGTCGTGTAAAAGCAAGGCTATAGCCTTTGCAAAATTATCTGTTTTTGACCAAGAAAATATCTATTCAAAGCTCCAATTTTTCCTGATAAAATGGTCATTCGAATTGTTTTATATATATTTCCAGCCAAATCAAGATTGTTTGGCTAGGAAATAGCGAAGTTTTTCATCAACACTTTCGTTGTGATAAAGGCAAGGCTATAGCCTTTGTAAAATTGAGAAAATTTATATTCATAGCTCCAGTTTTTCCTGATAAGAAGACCATTCAAATTGTTTTATATATATTTCCAGCCAAATCAAGATTGTTTGCCTAAAAAAAAGCGGAGTTTATCATCAACACTTTCGTCGTGATAAAGGCAAGGCTATAGCCTTTGCAAAATTATCTGTTTTCGACCAAGAAAATATCTATTCAAAGCTTCGATTTTTTCCTGACAAGAAGGCCATTCAAATTGTTTTATATATATTTCAAGCCAAATCAAAATTGTTTGCCTAGGAAATGGCGGAGTTTTTTATCAACACTTTCGTCGTGATAAAGGCAAGGCTATAGCCTTTGCAAAATTGAGAAAATTTATATTCATAGCTCAAGTTTTTCCTGATAAGGAGACCATTCAAATTGTTTTATATATATTTCCAGCCAAATCAAGATTTTTTGCCTAAGAAATAGCTATGTTTTTCATCAACACTTTCGTCGTCATAAAAGCAAGGCTATAGCCTTTGCAAAATTATCTGTTTTTAACCAAGAAAATATCTATTCAAAGCTCCAATTTTTCCTAATTAGAAGAGTATTCAAATTGTTTTATATATATTTCCAGCCAAATCAAGATTGTTTCGCTAGGAAATAGCGGATTTTTTCATCAACATTTTCGTTTTGATAAAAGCAAGGCTATAGCCTTTGCAAAATTAAAAAAGTTTATATTCAAAGCTTCAATTTTTCCTGATAAAAAGGCCATTCAAATTGTGTAATATATCTTTAAATACCAATTCAATCTTGTTTGGCTAGAAAAACGTGGAGTTTTTCATCAACACTTTCGTCGTGATAAAAGCAAGGCTTTAGGCTTTGCAAAATTATCGGTATGGACCAAGAAATATTTTTTTTCAAATATCAAATTTTTTGCCATAAAAAGGCAAATTAAACTGTGTTATTATTATTTCCAGCAAATTCAAGGTTTCTTGTCTTTAAAAAAGTAGAGTTTTTTGACATCACTTTCATCGTGAAAAAGCAATGCTATAGGCTTTGAAAAATTGTCGTTTTTCGACCAAAATTACGTTTGTTCCAGAAGATCATTTTTCCTCATAAAAACATTGATTATAATAAGACTGAATAAATCAACGAAGTTTTTTCTTGTTTTTTAAGATCATTGGAAGCGTCAAAAAAGCAGGATTTGTTTTACTTCTTGGTTAATGGCCTTTATATTTTTGTTTCCGAGTTTGCTTTTGTGTTTCATTAAAGAAGTGTCATAAAAAGGCCTGCTAAAAGCTCAAAATTAGACTAGCTTTTCTTACCTAGCCATCACGGTCCTATTTTGATGACTATAGACTTAGAAAAATATCTGATTTTTGTGCAAAGATTTTATTTCAAAACCCCCTTTTCCCAAAAGACCAAAATTCCATGAAACTTGCAACGTACAAAGCAAAGAACCCTTGTTATAAAGTATTGCCAACTGTTGGTTGTATATCACTTGGCAATCATGTTTCAAGATTAAGTAGGGAGCAAACTTCTCTTTTCAATAGTTTATTTCAAGGTTGATATTTCAACGTAAATATTGAAGAAGCGGAGAAAGTTCTTCTTGCTTTAGAGGTGAAATAGAATTTAACCTTTATTCTATCCTTACAATCCATTGAGCTATTGTTTTAAGGAATGACGACAAAGTACAGTAGCATTGTTAACGGAAAATATTCTAATATAAATAAAGATATAACTTCTACTTTACACAGCACTATATGATTTACGTGTTAATGGATAACATGTAGTAATGTCTTGATTAAATATCGCTCAGCTTTCTTCACAACGGGTGTCGATCTGGCCTACCTGGCAAACAAGCGTATTTTTCTCGTATGACTTTTGCTACTCGTCAGGGTTATCGTTATGTAAACTAGCAAACTCAAACACAAACTATTTGAAGAAATACTCATTGGTGTTTTAGAAACAATTTAGAAGCTAAAGCTTTTCTCTAACTGCATACAAAAACATATACCTGGAAATTCCATAAGAGGTAATTAAAAATTTATAATAAACGATACCCTTAGTTTTCTACACTCGTTTCCTGTCTTAACCTGCTCGTTTCTTCTTAACAAAACTCTCCGCGTTTGTCTTTTGGTACACATTACCTTTGCAACTAACTGGATCAGCACTAACTACCAAAAGTTTCTTAACTTAGCATCCAAACTTTGGTGTTTGAGTACTAAAAGCTTCCTAGTATGTTTCTTATTTTCGGGACTTACAATTGTTCAATTGTTTTCAAGTTGAGCATTTTTGGAAGAATATAAATACATATCGTCACGAAAAGTCCCATGCAGATCATATTCCAAAAGATGCTATCTTTTCCAAGAAAAATGAACAAAACCAACAAATTTTTGGAGTCATTTTTTAAAAATGGAAACTTCACAGTTTCTTAACTATTTAGCCTAGTACTAAAGTTTCTTGAATTTTTGGCCATCTTAATACAAGCTTCCTATAAACAAGTTTCTTATAGAGAAAGAAACGCGTAAATGATCTATTAACACATCTTTCAAAGTTCATATACATAGATGTGTTTGTGTCTTTAGAGATATGTAGCACAATTGCAAACCTAGAAACAACAGTTCTCTCGCTCTCTATATCACAATCACCTCAAGATTCAATGCAGTGTTGCTTCTTTGTGCCAGTTTACGGGTAGTCAATAACATGAGATACGTCTCACGCCTGTTGTATCAAATTTTACCATCAGATCTCTTCGGAAGCTAGTGGTGCCTTTCCAATTTGTTTTTTATCTGGACTAATAGACATGAACTCTCTTCCAGTGTGAACAGTCGCTTCTATGTGTTTTTGTAAATCTGCTATATCTGGACTCGTTGGATTTGATATTGCTTCGTCGACCGAATATGGTTCCCATTCGCAAGGTGAAACCAGGCTGTGTCTCATTTGCACGCCAGTTGGGTCCCAGTCCATGCTGTAATTCGAGCTGCGGCCAATACTGGCCTGTGGCGAGTCCGGGGCTTTTGCTCCCATTTCCTTTAGACGCTGAAGTGCAAAAGATGAGGGTGGTGGGGCTGGTGACGGTGGAACATATTCATCGATAGGAGAGGAACATGATGAATCCGAAAGAGAAAAAGACGGATCCCATTCTAAGCTGTGAAGTGAGCCAAGTGGGGCACTTTCACGCGCTGGTGTCCCTTCCAGGCTTCTCTGCTCCGACTTTTTCCTCTTGCCCTTGCGTTTGGGCTTTTTCTCTAATTTCTCTGGTTCCTTTTCCTCCTTTGCGACTAAAGGCTTAAGAACATCTTCTTTATCATCATCTATATTTTCATTATCGTCAGTGCCAACAAAGAAAAAAGTAGGTCCTCGGCTCGGCACCCGATCAGGATCCTCGCCTAATAATGCTTTATCCTCTTCCTCTGAACTCTTCTCTGCCTGCCAAGAACTTTTTGACTCTTTAGTTTTAGCTGTGTTGCTTTGGCTAGATACTCTAGGAACTGATTTTTTCGTAGTGGGGTCAGCATCTGATAAAGGAATGAATGAAGGTATCCTAGATTCACGACTAGGAGTTGTAACATCAGAGGAATCAGTTCCTCCTTTTTCTTTTGATAATTTTTCGTTACCATTCTCTCTAGATTTAGCTGAATCTTTCGATTTAATTGAATCTTTTGATTTCACAGATTCCTTTGATTTCGCTAGCAGCTTTCGTTTCACCTTTTGCTTCCTCTTTTCATTGTCAGGATGCTTCGACTCGTCTCCACTTCTGCTCGGCGACGAAACAGTACTGGCATCAGAGCATGGGCTATGAGTGATTCTGACAACTTTTGATGTATCCAAACTGGCAGCACGCTTCTTCTGCAATGAGCGCTTTACTGGTGATGGTAAGGCCGATTTGCACGGTGAATGAGAGAGTTTTGCATGAAGAGGAATTTTCTTCCGTGCAGGCATGTTTTTCTTTGGTGACGTCAACACTGGCAGACTTAAACTGTTATCTCGTGACAAGGCTCTTTTACCTCTATTAGAAGACTCCAAAGAATAATCAAAGCTTTTTCCTTTGCACGCGGAGAAAAGTCGGTCAATATCCGATATATTTTCCAACTCAGCTTCCTCTATAGTATCCATGTTGATGATGGGATAACTGCGAGAAATTAATTTCTTTCTCTGAACCTTCAAGCTGCAATGGGTCTCCTTTTTGTAAACACCAAGAACATACTTAAGATCATCAAGTGACAGCGATTTACGACGATCACCGAAGCTATACATATCGCACTTTGAGATCATGTCTTGGTGCTGCATCTCACAGGCATAGCACATATTGGTACTTTCACCTTTGCATTGGCACACATGAGGATCATTCACACCACAAGCTTTGTGTTTTGAACAGCAAACTCGACTGTTTCGTATCACAATCAAAATAGGTAATACAATGGCCCCAAACATCAATGAGCAATTTCGGACAAGCGATGTCAAAAATTCACTAGTAACATTCAACTGTGGTATCGTTACAATGAATGGTATGGACCAACTTAAAAAAGTAAACAGCGTCATGACGAAGATAGGGTGCTCTCTTTCGACGACTTCTTTCATTTTGATGTAGCTTGGCGATGGCTCCTTTTGGCGAAAGGTTTTATAAGGGTAACGAATCGCAAGTAGAAACAGACTGGCATGGTAGCAATACTCAGTGACGACAAGAATCTCATCGGCTGTCTTCCTTGTAACAAAAATCTGGCATGAGTAGTCCCAATCGTCAAACTTAGTCCAAGATAAGATACAAATCATTGCTGCAAGAACAGATCCTTCAAGAACATAGACAACAGCTTTGAATCTGACGTCTTGTGAATTGTAATTATCATCGGGCGGGTTTATTGATGACTGGAACGTCAGGCATAGCAAAGAAAAAATAATGGCACACATCGAAAACAACTTCAATGCAGTCATCGCCTGACAAAATGACCTTCCCCAAACTCCTTTTTCCTGTGTCATATATATAGCAAGGGCGATTCCGTATTCTGCCAAAAGCACGTTGAAAAGCATCAGGCTCATGCCGAATATTTTCGAAACTGATTGATGTTTGCAGGAGCACATTCGCGCCAATATTACAAAGTTAACAACCAAAGCTACAACGCTAAATGTTCCGAGTATAATGCTGTACTCAGTGCTTTTCTTGTTTTTTGAGACTTTATTCAATTCAGGCCGTAAACTGTACGTTACGTTGGTTGAGTTGAGATTATCAGTAGAATTTAATGCAACGATCTCAGGTATATCAGCAACATAGCACCTTTTGCATATACACTGGCCTCTCTTCCAGAATGAGGATAGCAATATAGCACCCTGCGCACATGTACAGGTTTCACTGCTGTTTGCGGATTTGCTATACATGCAGATTGTCTGATTGTTATCTGCAATTTTAAGTTTTGTAGCAGTGGATTTTGCAAGCACAACCCTTAGAAGATCGTCCGTCTCGCTGCTGGTTACTAGTGAAACAAATTGTAGCTTTGGCATCTTGGAAATGATCCTTTTTACTGCATCAATTGAGATTTCAATCGAAAAATGGCTAGGAAAGATTTATTAAATTCATGGTTAAAAAAATAAGTCAAGTTATAAGAAAGACCTCAAAGCAATTATTAACTTACATGCTAAGTTTGATACGCAGAAGTTTAAAGGAAACCCGATATTCCCTTACTTTGAAGTATATTTACCTGTGGCATCGTCACTTTAACTAGAAGTCATTTGACCCCTTGATTGTATTTAAATGACTGGTCAAATCATCATTCAAATAATTTCATTTTAAGCTTTGTAATGAATAGAGAATGAAGTCATTACCTTTTGAAAGTATCTCTAACCTACTCCTGATGAATCTTCTAAAGCAGGTTGTCGCATTTTATAATTCTATATTTTATCAACATTTCAACATTCAGGCCTAGACAGACAATCTAATGGCACCATTCCCATAAATCGAAGGCATGTTTCAGGACATGTTTTAAGGCCAAAGTGACCATTTTGTGCAGATATGGAAAAATGCGTTATCTGCTTACCTATATTAAAAAACTCTCTACTGCTTCAGACCTGTTAAATACATTTTTCCTTTACCCTGAGATATTGTTTTCTCATGGAGCACTCATCGCTTGTCAAGCAATTCAAATTACAACACAAACAAACATAATACCAAATTTGTATATTTGCGTCAAATAGTGCATTGACAAATGCCAATAGATTAACTCTCTGCAATGTCTGAGTAATGTTTGCGCTAAAATGGGCTATAAGCTCTGCAAACAAAGCTACGATTTTTCCCTTTGGAGTAAAATGCTTGCATCGCCATAAAACTTATGTTTGTTCAGGATCAAAAAGCGTCCCAGCTTTCTCGCATATTCTTAAACCAATATTGGTCTCTAAATTCTTTGCAGAGAATTGCTCGATCAATTATTTTACAACTTTAAATCTCCTAAGACCTACCATATCTTAGTTAAGCGTCAATATGTCTAAGCAGCTATATCTAAAGAAAGCAGTCAATTTAGAATGCAGTTTAGCATAAATATGATATGCTTGGTTCCATCGAAAGGTAACATCATGGCAAACTGAAGCTCCGTTAATTGAAAGAATCGGCCGCCAAAACTCACGGAGGCCATGGCTAGTTAAATTGTTCGTTTAAGAAAACAAAAACTTCTGCTTGCTTCTTTGTTCAACTGAATGTCTTATTCAATACTACAGTAATAGTACATTTATTGCAGCTTGGAAATTTCGACAAGATACTCACAGATTTTGAATGTTTGCCATTTTACGATCATTAACCATTGTCACATTGTCTATGGTACATCTGGAGATGCTGCTGGAACAGTTGCAATATTCCGGGCAGTCAGGAATCACCATTGCCACAGAAATTGTGATAAAAGACAGAAGAATTGATGCGACTGTTGTTAGCTTCATTACCTACAAGAAATAATGCTAAAAAGATTAGTTTTTATGTTCACCAAGCACACCAAACAATAAGCAATCGTATGATTTGTTCAAATTTGGGAGTGACAGCTTTGTTTGAAAATAGACAGCTGTTCTTGATGAACGGTTTAATCTATATCTGATGTCCTTCAAAATGGTAGTAATGATTTAATTGAACAAATAAAATGATGGACAAAACTACATTCAGGCCACTGTTTACCATATATCATGAAAAGTTTTTAACACTTTCCTTGCACTGTAAATAAAAGCTTTTCAAAATAAACAAATAAGCAACTACAGAGATGGATTTCCAAATTCTTCAAACACACTGTCTCTACCATTAAACCAATGACGGAAATTAATAATAAGTGCAAGATTTAAATGAACTTCTTTAGGCATGATCATCATCAGGTACCATCTTCTATTAGAAGGTTGGCTACCATGACCCTCCAACTATCCCAAAATCTGAGTTTTGGTTTGTTGTCATGGTCATAGATAAAACTAAGGGGCTAATAATAGAGATGGAACCCCAGAACCACCTCTACAGTGTTTTTAAAGGGACATCATCCTTCTTTAGGCATGATAGAAAACGCTAAAAATACGATTCTATAAATTTATATTTTGCAATCATTACAATTATATACCGGCTTACGGTAACACATGTATTAACTCACCAGAACTGTAGACTCAGCTGGGAAGATTTCTCTTTTAATTTCTGTCCTTGTGGGGATGACTAAGTTTCATTGTAATCATATTATGGCAGTTTTGAACAGGATTATAAGTGACCTTGATGTGAAAATTGCAACAATACGATGCAGTTAGTACTCGTTATTGTTAATGAAATTGTGGGAAGATATGATAATCTTGTATAAGCAACACGAGGCTTTTTTTGACAGCTGAGCAAAGCTAGCTTATCTTACGCTCACAGAAAACGAAGACCTTTAAGCCAGGATTTTGGTTAGTTTTCCAAAAGATTTTTCATAATGCAGCTTCAAGAGTTTTCATCTTTAATTGACATTTAAATTGCCATATGAATAGCAAGTTAGTTATAAGTTTGGAACTACAATAGAAATGCAATAGATTTTGTACTTTTGTAACTTTAAAATTTAATTAAGATTCCATACAATAAGTTTGGAAGATATGCTTTTCATTCAGATTACAAAAGCAAAGAAAAATTCACCAGATAAAATAATTTCAGCAAAATGTAGTAAAATGTATTCTCAATCAGAAAATATAGAATTGAGTATGAGGTTCGAAGCATTGAAACATTTTCCTTAAACAAACACGATATGCAAATTAATATGCACACATTTCTTTCATTTAGAAGAATCCGAATATAAACTGGAATGATCGCCCCTCCCATTAAAAACTAAGTTAAACTCGGCATGGATTTATTTCAGGAAACAAAACACAGTCAGCTCATTAGCAATAGTGATATGTTTTGATTAAATTGCTGGTAGCCTAGACTAAATATTCAATATTTTTACCAATTGCATAAATTGAAGGATTTAGATAATTTTCAAGACTGCAACACAGTCAACCTAAAGGTTTCATCGTTTATTATAAGAGCATGAAAACTTTCCTTGTACTACAAAAATGTTTTTCGTTCAGATGTTTCTAAAAGCTCTACGGAGATTTTTGATACCTCTAAAAGCTTTTGAGTTTTTTGATACTTCAAACAAATTGTCTTTATCTAAATTCTCTATAAATTGTCTATATAAGTTAATGACAAGAAGTTTTAAGAAACAGCAAGATCATTCAACTACAATATACATCTGTATTTGGCAATGTTAAAAGGGAATTGCGTTTATCAATTGTTCATAAATACTATTAGGAGCCTTTGGCATCAAAGCAAGAAGGAATCCATTCGAAAATGTTAGTTAAACTTGTCAAAAATTTTATTTATCCAACATGGACCCCCTTTGTGCTGTGAATATTTGTAAATTTATGAAAACTGAAGTTACAATAAAACTGATAAATTGTTTTCATTCGCATTACCGCATCGAAGTTACAGTCGGATAATATAATTGTATTCTAATAGATGCAATTGTGGTAGAAATATTTATGACTGACTTCATATTCACGTTGAATTAAACGAGCTCCACGCCTTGTTAATCTAAACACACCTGAATACCAACTTACCGATGTTGATTGGAATCTGCAGTCTACAGCCTACAAATTTGCCTCCAAAAATCCAGTTTCAAGGAAAAAAACACCCATTCTGAAGCTCTTTGATCACAAAGCAAGAACTAAATCCTCTAAAGGTGACTGTGGAAGTTTTAGAAATTAATATTCAAGATACATACGCCGCTGACTGAGGTTTCTTTAGCGTGGGCGAGTAAAAGAGATCAAAAGAAGACAGAATTTTCCATTGCTTACAATCTAGCTGATAAATTTTTCATGACGCTGGCCAGTAGAAATATGATTAATAAGTAATGCTCTCAATAAAAATGACCAACCATCGCTTGATTTAGCCTCTGATTGCTTTAACTAATCGCATGTCTATTTCATTCATCGACCATAATTACAACAACAATATTAATCCAAGTATGAACTTATCCGAAGAATAAATTCTCTTCATTTCCAAACTCACGGCATGAAAACACACAGAAGAAAAATCAGCTCGTCCCATAAGCTTAACAAACCGAGACCGTGTTTGAAAACGAGCTCTTTCTTTTGATCTCTTATTTTCATTTCATATTTTTCTGTCTAAATCCCATAGAAGAATTCGAGATTTTCACCACAAAGCACTTCAATGCTAGATTCTACATCAACAGCAGAGTTAACACAAGCCTCGAGGTTCAAGGCATAAATTTTAATGAGATTTCAAACTTGAAACAGTCTTTATAAGAAAGACGCTATTTTCTATGTATCAGCGATAGCTTTACCTGCTAAGATTTTTCCTTTTATTTTTCTCAGTGCAATTTTTCTATAGCCCTCAGTTTTTCCTTTATTCCTATGAAATATTATTAAAAATACAATAGTGAGTAGTTTCTTAAGGATATGGTAAAAACAGCACATTCAATTAGTGGAAACAGCTATCAATTTACTGGAAATTCCTCTCTCGTTACTATTATCTAAAAGCAAATTATATCCCCGAGTAGATACACTCTCTTGAACAGAATAGATAAGAAATACTTTTATGTGCAGCATTATTCATCAGAGCTTAAAATGTTTGAATAATTGCTCATTAAACAGCAAAACTTGAAGACAACTGTTTTGAAGAAAATAATCCTCATTAATTGGTATTTGCCAGCATAATATCAGTACTTCAGAACTTGAATTGATTCTGGGATGATCACAAAGCCATGATTAAGAGTTTAATTTAGCATATCGTAAAATCTGTTAATAGTGTGGCTTGAATTGTATATCTACATAAGATTGGAAAAAAATAGTAAAAAGCAAAACCATAAAGAAGATAGAGCAGCAAGTTAAGAATAGCGATAAAACAAAGATGAGGTTCATTAAGAAAGGCAATTTTGGAATAAAAGAATATATAAAACATAAAAAGAGGCCAACGTTACTAAGATTGAAACTAAACATGACCGATTTAAAAGCTAATTACAAAGAAAAGTATGATAATATAGGTTGCAGAAGGTGTGGATTACATGAAGAAAACTTAGAACATTTATGGCAATGCGAAAAATTCAAGAGACTCCTTCCAAGAATGGAACAAATTCTAAAAAGCAAAGCAAAAGGCCTGATGGAAATCGAGAGATTGGTTGAACTTTTTCAAACCTAAGTGAAAATTAGCCTGTGGTACTATACTGCACATGACGTCTTTCCTGGCAATTCGGTTTTTGTGCTATCGTAACTGCTCCGAAACGGAGATTTAGCGAGTTACATTATTATTATTATTACTATTATTGTAGACAAGCGGGAAAGACTGTTTCTTAAACTTCAGTTCCCTACCGATAGAGATTATGAGAGATGCCAACCTATAGCGAATGTCACAGAAACATCAGTGAGCCATATGTAAAGAATGGTCCTGAATACATAGACCTGAAATCAGCGACCTATGTTACACTGCCATTATGCCGACCATATGGCCCACTGCCATTATGCCGACCAAATGGCCCACTGCCATTATGCCTATTATCACACGGTTTGAAATGCTCCTGCATACATTTGATGAGACAGTTTCAGCTGCATTGCTGCACTTAATCTTTGATGTATAATCATTCCGTTTATTGATTGTTACAGAAAAGCAGTTGGTTCTTGTATATCAGCAAACACAACATAGTATATGCTGAAGAAATAATTTTTAGACAATATTCTAGCTTCCAGATACTTTGATGTGCAGACTCGTGTCTCTAATTGGGCTACAAACACTAACAAACTGCTGATGTGATCATGTTTCTTGAATATAGAGGTGTAGTAATACATGCCATTTCCATCTATGAGAGTTATTTCCATCTATACAATGTATGTGTGTAATTATTGGTATCTAGCTCTTACAGGATCGAACATAAAGGTCACATAATAACTTAAATACATAAAAACATGTAATTTAAAAGCTCACATAATAACTGCCAAAGCCTTACGTAAATTTAGGTGTGCTAATTTCCCTTTTTAACCTAAGTAATTTTCTATCTAGTCTGTTGCCGATTTCATCCATCTATCTTCTTTTTCAGCGTAGAGCCCAGATCCCAACTAGCATTTCATCCTTCCAATGTATCTTTTTTGGAGGAAGTTTAGGTTAAGAAGGGAAATTGGCACACCTAAATTTACGTAAGGCTTTGGCAGTTATTATGTGAGCTTTTAAATTACAGTCTTTTATGATTTATCGTTTCAATTAGAAAAAGATGCAGCATAAACATATGATATTTTGAAATCACAAAAGACATCTTTGTAATCAAGGCAAACAGAATTGAGGTTCAATAAATTAATTCAAAAACAGGTGGTTTTCCTTCTTAAATCAATAATTACAAAAGAATATTTAAGTTTCATGCACTTACATTCTGGTAGAGACAAAGAAAGTTCAAAGATGTGATTAAGGAGCAGGTGAATTCTGACATAGTATGTTGTAAATGACAAATCAATATGATTATACACTAATCAACTTGGTTTAATGAAAACCTACTGATATGTTTAAAGAGCTTTCAGGTTTTATACCGGTTTCATCTGCTGACCTTGTGTTATTTCAATATATGTGTGCATATATGCATGCAAAGTGTTATATTTTGTTGGCATATTGTATCAGGCACGCTGGAGCCGGGAGGGGGGGTGGTGGCTTTGGGGTAGCTGTAATCCCCTCAGTTTTTCGTTGAAGTATGATATCTATGTTGTGACATCAAAGATTATTGTCGAGAAACTACTATGAAAAATTGGCAATTTGTCTAGAGCCACACCCTCCTTTTCCCCAATACGTGCTCTGGTCTCCCTGTGTATGTCTGGAGATGCGTACATCTGTTTCATGGTACAAGACTTCAGTGTACCGAGTCAGATTATCAGATGATAGCTTAATATATCAACCTACTACAAACATTTTCCAACTATGATTTTGTCGGTTACTAAATTAGAATTTGTGAGAATGTACTTTATTAGAAAAAACTTTAATCTTCTGAATTGTGGTGACTTCGGTTAAAGTTTCATTGACAAGCTTAGAATTCTTGGACAAAGTATTTGAAAAGAAGTAACGCATATTAGCAGATTACATTCGCAATTGTGAGGAGTTATTTCTAAAGGAAACAAGCAGTTTTACTGCTGATAGGATTACAGTAGGTAGCAGTCGATGCTCATTCTAGAAGAGCAAAGCCTTCAAATCGGAAAGTTTCTGTGTTTGGTTATCAAAGAAAACTGTATTTAAAATATATTCAAACATGAAAAGCTGCAAAATAGCATGCTGCATAATTCTTTTTGCTGAAAAGGTACGTCAGTACATTGTGATAAAGTGCCAGCTATTGATAGGGACACCTTTCTGGGAACTGCTTGCTTATTAAGTAACATAAAGGCACTTTTCAGCCCACCTAATAAGCTACTCTTTCTAACAAGCTTCGCTTTAGTGCCTCGGTAATTAACGCCACCCCATAAGGTCAAATTGGGCTTTTATAGTATAATTTTCAGCACATTCAATCAGATCCTTACGATTAATGTTTCGCTCTTTGCCTATATGAGTAAAAATATCATTATATAAGCTCAACGGAAAACGGCTAAGAAAGAGTTGCAAGAGAACTGCTGGCATCCAATCACATGGGCTCCGACACAGGTTGGAAAGTGAAGGGGGCAAGGAACAATTTTGCACCCGTAAAAAAGATTTCGAAAAAAGCTCTATTGTTTTGCAAAAAAATTGCAGGGGGGGGGCAATCATTTTCTAGAAGGCATTACTACCCTCTGATAGCAACATAGAAAACTGAGTCCATCACTTAATGCAGTATTTGAAATTGTCATGAATAAGTCTCGGCTATGCTCGAAACTACATCAATGCTCTTTCTTCATAATATTTGATACAAGTTCAAATCAAATTGTAACATTACATTGTACGCCATGCATCTGGTATTCTTATTGAATGTATACGGGCAAAAGCCACGTGGTATCGTCAAGGTAGTATCGTAAAGTTATACAGAAATTTTGAAAAGTAGCGTAGCTTGAAAATTTGTAGTGAAATCATATAGTGTATATGTAAAGGAAATCCACAGAAGATTTGGTTTATTTGATTTGTTAGAAGATAAGGATATTTTAATTAAAGAAAGAAAAAATAGAACAAAAAAGCGAAAAACGGAAAAGGATAGTAAATAATTGAAATTTCATATCTGTATATTTAGAGTTTTATTGATAGGATTCGTTTTTTTTTTAATTCTATGAATGCCTTCTGAAAGTATTGCTTTTCGCGATAGCAAAATTGTAAAGCCTGTAATTGAATTTTTCAATTTCTACATCCTTTGAATATTTCAGTAGAAGTTTCGATTCAGATGCATATTGTAGTCTCACCTTTGCACTGATAATCAGAGTCACAATTCTGAGAGAAAGGGGAGGAAAGGGGCAAATCCAAAGAAAAGCAAGATATTACATATTACCTTAATATTACAAAACCAACGCCTTGCAGATAATTTTTGAAATTTTTGCGACGAGTAGCAATTCAAGCAGCTCTCAAAGTGGAGCTTCTAGTGATATTTTGTAGATGATGCAAACATTTTATAGTCTTTCACTGAAGTAGCTTGTTGAAAATCAATGCAAAATAACCTAAAAATGTAATAATGTTTTTATGGAACTTTAGTGAAATTCTTTGTTAAATCATAAACAGCTATTACAGTGTATACTACCATTTTACAAACCGAAAAAAGCTACGTAAACAGGTAGTCATTCTCAGTATTCTTTGAGTAGGCAGTTAATTAGGTAACATTTTAATATTCCTAACTCTACTTTCAACCTCATGTTTTGAAAAAATCCAGGAAAACAGTTTACTTTTGTCTCGGTTGGTTTCAAAATCTCTATTTTCACTAAGCTTAAATAGCATGTTTTTTCCTAACTGTTTATGTTACCGTGCAAAATAACGTGAACGTACTGTAGAGCACAACCTTATCATTAAAGTTCTAGGCCCTTTATTAGGCGTCAATTAAATCATCTCAATTCTAGTTTAACTTCATATTCTGAAGAAACCTAGGAGATTATGAAACTTAACAACAATCTGTTTATATTCGAAAGTATTGTATTATCTATTAGCTTTAGCGATGCACTAACAGCAAAATATTTGTAGCATGCTTTTCTCTTACTATAACACTGTCTTCATTTTGTGCATAATTGTACGAAAGGCAATCCCTTTGCAGATAAAATTTAATCATAGCCTAATATCGAAAAGCTATGATGTATTCTGTATGGGTGTATTTGTGTATAAAGCAATCAACTTTTGACTAGCTGATCTCCTAGGTTCCTCATTCTGTAGATTTATCTCGCATATTTGTGTATGAAGAAATCAACTAAAGTTAGCCTTTGAGTAGATAGTCTCAACTTTCTATTAATACTTACGTGATATGCTTTTTGCAGTTACTCGAATTGAACTTGTGAAATGCTTAAAAATGCATTTTATACGCTAATAACTAGTTTTGGTATGTATTACAGGACATTTCTAAGTTAGAACTCTGAGTTTCACGATTAACGCAGTCATCAGGCAATTGTACATCAAAGCAAGTAAAGCTCTGCCTATGCAGAATTAAGCACCGTATGACAGACTGGTAAAACAATAAGTATCTTAATAGGCACAAATATTTAAGAAACATGTAAAAGGCAATAGGTTAAGCCCAGCAGTAAAGAAAGGCTGTCTTATATGTTTCAATTGATCATGATTGCTTTCTTTTATCATCTTAACATAATGTTGAATGATGCTTCTCCTTTAAAAGATTAATGTAAAGTTTTTAGTCGATCAATGATATACCAAAAATATATTGTTTCCAAAACTTTTCTTCAGTGAACAGATAAAAATTGAAAGGCTATAAATATTGAAAAATAGAAATCTTACCGTTATTATTCTTGAGCAGCTTTCAGTTATGTTTACACTTCAAGTTATCCGACTGATGTCTGTACTGGTCAGCATTTCTCATAATGTGGACTATATTCATTTACTTAACATCATCTCGATTGTTGAGTTGACTCTGCATACATCCTCTTCTTTGTAGTACATGCGTTAGGAGGGGCTGCAAAAAGCCAATGCATTATGGATTTCGTTTGAATATTCATTTCAAAAGGATAATCACTTAAACTGGGGGACCAACCTATGCTTACATCCTACAGTCAACGTATTCTGAGAATTAACGAGAAATGTGTGCAAAATGTCATAGTTTTGTCATTCCTAGGCAACTTTCTATGTTTTAAAGCACTATTTGTACTTTTAGAGGAAAGTATTTTATCCGTCATCAAGTCAACGTTGTATGTCTTCAGGAAAATGAAATGAAAATAACAAAAAAAAGTTTCATAAGTATTAAGTGAAATTAGCGTTAGAAGAGCATAATAATGTAATTTTTATTGCTTTAAAATCTACTCGTATATTCAGTTACCATTTAAATATGACTTTGCTATTCTAGCTGTCGACAAATTATTCTGCATTTGAAGTTTATGCAGATTTTCTAGGCCGAAAACTGCTTGCTGCCTCTATGATGCAGACCCGTAAATTACTATAAAATTTTGTTTTACACCTTTTAAAAAAAGCAATATTTCTTGCAATTTATCTAAATTCTATGGTGAGCGAACTCAATTTTCTTCAAGGTAATGTCGTGACATGTTAAATAGGAAACAGATGTCTCAAGTTATGTAACATAATTTTATTAAAACATGCATTATAGATATGAAGGATGTACGTCTAGAGCAATCTTACTGTCTTAATAAATGCCTTTATCACTTTTGAAACTGGTTGTACATTCATTTGCAATATTTTTGAAATTTTTTTCAAAAACTTGTAACAACAGCTTTTCCACAAAAATTGGAAAGAGAGAAAGAACATGAAGGTCTACCTCGATTGGGCATTGAATAGACTAACTGTATGCTGTTTAATATCCTTAGTTCTTTTTTTTACGCAAATAATCATGTTTATATATTTTCAAGAATATCCCGTTGCCTAGACATACAGAGAGAGGTAGAAAATATTTTTTTCTTTACAAAAGAATAAGTTGTATCAAAAGCCTTTCTCTAAATAAAGCTCGCTTGTTTGCCTGTGTAGACTGGTGAATAATTTGATGCTATCGTGGAACCAAATTTTATCAAATTCCTGGGTGCGATGGCATGAAATAGATCGCATAAATTCCAATAACTATATTCACAATCACTTAAAACAGACTTTACTTATAGAGGCTCTATTGGCTGCAGGGAAGAGCCTGCAGACACTCTTTGTGTATCATCTTGTCTCGTTCCATATCATTGCAATATAGCTGTAGCATCGTTTCATAGCAGTATTGTAGTAATTCAGTATTGTAATATTAAGCATTTTCGTTTGGTTTTGTTTAGTATAGTCGATAATGGTAGCTTTTAACATTAGTTTATAAAAAATAAGTATACAATATGATATATAGTAGAATATTACCTATAAGAGTTCTGTCACGCTTGATGATCTGAAAACTAAAGCTTAACATCGAGCTTTTGTTTCACATATATGCTCACATTTCTAATGAAATAGATAATCCTTGAACTTTTTTGTGAAAAAATACATAAACAACGAGAAGATGGCCTGTTAAGGCAATTAAGTGTCCCCCCGGGTTAACGCAGCATTAATGCATAAATTAATAATGCTTCGAACTACCACTAAGAATTAGTTTGAAAATTAAAACCTATTGATTAAAAGAATTTTGGAGCAGATGTCCTTTATATTTACAATTCTAGAGCTTCTTGTAATTTAATTCCATTTTCTCTGACTCATTCGCTGGTTTAATGTGGTATTTTTCACGAGTTTGATGCTTGATATCATGCAATGACGAATGGTGCCTTGCAGATGAATGCAATATGAAACTGACGAGAAAATGTATTGTCTGAGAATAGGTTATTTAACACTTCGCTTGTTTGTTGTCAAGGAAACAGATATAAATTTTAAGATGCAATGTGAAAGTTATCCAGAGTATGTTGCTATTCAAACTCGCTTGATAGCAATGATATGTGATACACCATCATGAAAAGGCATAGAGATTTGAAAAAGTACAACGTCGGTAATGTAAGAAAGAATTGCATTCACATGACAAGGGAATGATGAATGGAAATGCTTGAAGTTGAATTCATGATGCTACGTCATTTTAGGCTACCTATTCATTATAGATTGATGATTTGAAATAATTTGTAAGCATTAGTAATTAAAAATACAATATAAATGCGTCAATCAATAAAATGTGAAAAATATATAGCAATATAAACATTGTGTGGGACGGAAATGTGAATGAAAATTATTTTGCTTTATTTATCTCTTGCTGTAATAGAACGTGGAGAGGTTTGGAAATGAACTTTCAAACCAATCTTCAAAACAACATGAATTACGACTTCATCTGGCTCTATATTATATTATTTTCTGCTGTTATAATACGTTACAAGCCAGTCTGAACTCAGCCATTAAATAGATCAAACCCAATAATTGCAGAGAAATTTTGGAGAGATCCTTTCGATAAGAATAACCAGTAACTTACAGCTTGTCCACAATCAAAGCCAATCTTTTAATCAAAATTTGCCCAAGGCAGCTTTTATCTCCTAAGGCGACCATTCCCTTTTGTTTGTTCTCAACCTACTTCACTTTAATCCAATATAACTCGTATTAATGCGTCTAACTTTAATATGTACCACAAAAATTGCCTATTTACAAAATCATGCTTTAAAGTTTGTTTGAAAAGATCATCAATAAAAAAAATCAAGAAGTTGTCGGAAATTTCTTTTCCATTCCAGAAAAATAAATAGATGCGTTTACCGTAAGATGATATAAATTAATCAACAAAGCACGGACAGCTTTCTTCCACAACGGTCACTTACTCCTAATGCTAGCTAATTCGCTCTCTAGCTGACTCTCTGGCCGTTCAGTTGGCTCTTTTTTATATATTCACTGCTTAGGGTCTAGAAAGTTCTCTCTCTAAGTTTAACGAATTTTAACAACGTATGTGAATATATATTCTAGAAGAGTCCTCGTTATTTATCTACCTAAACTACTGACCTCTTATTGTTCCTCTCTATAAGCGTTGAAAATACTGACGTCAATACCTAATACACAACCTTTGTTTTCATAATCAACTAGCTTTTTAAGGACAATCTGTCAATAACTACGTTCTTTGACTAATCGCAGTGAAAACTGAGAAGAGAAAATATTAAAGTGGTTGCTTGAAGAAAGCTAAAATGAATAGCAAATGTTGTTTTATTCTTTGTCAATGTTACAGATAAATCTATACTTGTTAGTTTAAAGGCATTTAGGCGTTATCTAGATGTCTTTCTAATGTTAGCTTGCATGATTTTCATTTGGTTTGATGTATATTTGAAGTCAGCTCAGAAAAAGGAAGGTCAGATTTCTCAGAATGGAGAATACCCTAAGATTCTAGACATACTATGGGACTGAATTGACATGCTACGTGCATTCATTAGACGACGGATTTATCAGCTGATTTAACTCACTACAGGGCAACTCTTGTGGGTGCTGTACCGAGCATGCTCAAGATTATCATAGTACACTTTCACTAAATTTTTGAAGGGTTGCCAACAGAGACACCGCATTTTCTTGGCCAATTGTCAGTTCTGCAATTACTAAATCTTAGTCTACGTTTTGCATACGTTTTGCAGTCTCTTTTTGCTTTGAAATCATCTGTTTTGGTTAATTTGGCTCCAGGTACTTATTGTACATAAACTTCATATCTGCTATCCTCCTTTCTACAAAATTTTCATAACATTTTCTCCACACATGAAGCTGGTCATTTTGACCTCTGTCTTGAGGCCATAACACATCAAAACAATACAGTTTCTATAGTCAACGGTGTCTTTGGTAAACTTGATTTGGTTGTGTGGAAAAGTCATCCAAATAACTCATGAAACCAAAAGCTGCCTTGTCAATTAATGGCTTAATAGCTTGGTTTGCCTTTCAACGCACCCTTGCCCTTTTCACTTAAGAATAGAAATTGTCTCTAAGAATTAGTTGAATTGTATACTTCCTTGAGGGTGCCAAGAAATGAGATTGATCATACGCAGTTTTCAGCCTTTCCAAGTAACGAAATCTTAAAGGTTTTCTACAGTGACTATATCTCATTTCGTACTCTGTTTTCTAGCGCCTTACAATTATTATGTACACGCAATCGTAGTGCTAGCCACTTTGCTCAATCAAGAGGCATAGCATTCTATGTTTTCTGCCAGACATGCAGTTCAAACATCTTGTTGGCCTCAGCTGATATAAATTTTCTCCCCGAGCCTGTGTTTAAACATGCCAACGATGCTTCCTCATTTGATGCAACATGCATTATTTGAGGCAGTGAACATCAAGGGACTGTGAATAACCCTTGGCACAGGGTATTTTTCTTCTCCATTACACAAGCTGCTATGATGTTCTTTTGGCAAAAGTAGCATTCCTTACTAAAAGGTCTGTGCCCCGTTTTTCTAAAAATAAAGCACAGAAATTTTAAAATGCTCTTTTCTTGCATATAAGTTCTCTGCATAATTTTCATTTTCCTTCAATGCAGCACCAAACCTTTGATCTTCAATTGAGTGCCTTCATCTATTTTGAGCTCTTCAAACCAAAGTAATAAGTCTATAATCTGTTCATAAATTCTTTCCATTGCTCTTTGTATATTTGCTGATCTCAGTTTTCATTGGTCTCTCAGTCTCCTCTGAGGATGGCCTCATTCTTTGTCGCTTTCTTATACATTGATTCATCAAACTCGTTTGGCAAGGTATTCACAAATGTATAGAATCGTTGCTGGCTTGACAGGTGTACGACATGGTCTAGGCACACCTCTCACGTTTCCAGCATAATTAAGAACAACATTCGGTAACGAGGATCTTCAGCCTAAAAGAGCTAAATCCCAGTCCTCATCTAATTCGAATCTTTGTAAATGTACTCTATGTACAGGCGCGATGTTACTAGCAAAGCATCATTTTCAAAAACAAACCGAGTTGATATGGCGAAACTGGAATGTTTTGGTAAGGAATCAAAGCTTAGCGTCTAACTGGATTATCAGGTGCACCAGACAAGCCCTTG